CATGCTTCAGATATCATAATAACTGATGGTTGATATATGGATACAAACAGGGCTAAATCCGTCTTTTTGTTGCAGATCGACCGAGCGTTGATAAGACATATATTAAGCAAGTGGCCTACCAAGTTAAAATGGGTGTGGGTATTTCGGATAAAGTCGTCGTAACCCTCGCGGGTGTGAGATGAGTTTGAAATGAGGGATTGAATGTCCTTCATTAGCTCGGTATTTTGATAGCTAGACTTAAAGGGACATGTATCAAATGAGCTAGTGAAGTTGATTGAGGAGTTTACCCAGGAGGAATGGGTGAGAGTACTCTGTGATGAAAACTGTACGGCGGAAACGAATTTATGGTTTGCATGTGGTTTGAAATAACCTGGGCTATATGCTTCAACAGAGGTGTCACTAGGGGTCTTATTCCAAAAAAATCTTGTACAGGCCTACTGTGAAGTGTATGGTTATTTACAAAATAGTCTTGATTGTTAGACTCGTAGCCCCTGTTATGGCTATTTACGTTAGCGTGAGAGGGGTCTGCTACGCGTAACTGGTAGGAGTTGCGACTGTTGTTATACATGGGAGCCGTTGTTATGTGATGGGTCGGTAGTAAAGGGTATGAGAAGTTTTCTTTCTGAGAGTAATTACAGTTGCGATCCTGGGGAATGTAGGTAGGGTGTGGAGTGAGAAACCTATTTTTACTATTCTTATTTATGGTTTTAGACTTCAAGGGGTGATTTGGGTGGGCAGTTCTCTGCTAGTTTTCGTTAGTCTGCGTGTAGGAAGGCTTGCTACGTTGAAGCCTACCACCCATTTTGGAACTTGGAGGTGTTCAAGGCAAGTTATACGATAGCAGCGGGGAGAACCTGTTCACTGTTCTTGGGATACCTATAGAGCAGTTGGGTTCAATCTTACATGTTTCCCTACTCGGTATCATGAGTTTTGTCTTCCCAGGAAATTCATAAACCACTATCAAAAGCTAGGGCCGATAAATATTCCACTCGAGTGATCCGACATCTTGACGTTGTAAGGCAGTTTACCTGTGACATACGACATGCCAAAGATCAGGCTAATCAAGCAACGGATGCACTATCTTGACCAGGAATGAACATAACATGACAAGTGATCATGAATTTTCAAGTTTTGGGAGATAACTAGAAAGAAGATACAGAATTACTAAACTGATTTGCGGCATGGGACTCTAGTCTCAATCAAAAGTGAACACCATCATCTACTGAAGGCCGTTTAATTTAGTCTGAAAGGACCAAAGCTATGAGTCGTCCTTTTGTTCCGAAAGATAATCGAAAATTAATACCTAATGACTCTCATGCTGTGTTTTATCCTGGCATGAAAGCTGCTACGAAATTAATTATTCTCGGATATATATTGCTAAATTTACAAGATGTACTCATGTACGTTGAAGAGTTTCCGAATTGTCAACAACAGGTTCATCTGTGGGAGTTTTCTCATTGCAAGATGTGCGTTTATCCCAAACTCATATCAATTTAATAGGTTCTTTGCCGGTCCTTTGTGAATTAAAGTAGTTATTTACATGCATTTACGGATTTTCGAGGTATTTAAATGCCATATCGATAACTAACATCACATCTGAAACAATGGCCGAAGCCCTCGGGACTGGAAGACTATGTTTGTTACATCTATTTCAGAAAAAAACTGATGTAGAACCCCAATTAAGTGTGAGCTACCGAACAACTTATCGAAATTTCCGGGTTCTTACAGGATACTTTTCACAGACTATCACCACCAGGAATACAGAACAACAATCGTCAGTTCAAAGTCCCCTTAATATTACACCCCACCAAGAGGACAGAATCCCTACCATTAGTTGTGTTGGGAATGATGACAACCGTCGAAACCAATCAACAATATTCAGCTGCTGGACTGGTCATCGAGCGACTCTACGACTATCTAGGAACTATTTCATATAACACAAATACACCGTTGCATAAAAGCAGGGAAACACTGAGACAGTAGTTATTGACAGGCTAAAACCGGCTTATATAGATGATGATCCACTATAAGTGTTATTAAGCCGTTCAACTGACAAAATAATTACAGAATCTTTGAGTAACAAAGCGAATTCTTCGTAGTTGGCCTAGAGGATTAGATGTACACAATCAATTACTAGAACAGAGATATCTTCAGTTCTAAGGCCTAAATGTAATCACATATCTACTAAACTTTTGTTACGATTAATTTTTTGTTTGTGTATTCAAACAACAAAGACAAAACGGAGAGGTTTTTTACATAACTTTTCACCCTTTATTTAGAAATCTAGTGCAAAAATTATAGTAGCCTAAAGTAATATCTTGTCCGCTCCTCTTGAGATTTTTACATTTGATGTATGAGTGTTATACTCATTGTTTATGCCAAGTTCATAAACAATTTACTGTTTAACAATCTAACGGCCGATCTAAGTTGAAAACATATCAGCTGGGGTAAGTAGTAAAGGGACGAAGAATCTTCGACTGATGTGAGCGAGCTTTACCTGGGCAATTATTCGTTTTTCTAGATTTTCTTGCTGACAGAAGACAATGAGAAAGTTGGACGGAAGCGTTGAATCGAATCCCCCTAAATAATGACCATAAACGCAAACAATCAACAGTCTCAATAACGAAGAATAACGAAAATAATCCAGACTAGTTTCACTAGTTCATTAAATGACCTATTATGGTTACAGTACTTTATAACATGCAGCATCTTATATTCATCTAGACTAGTTATAAATATACGTTATCATTTAAAACAACCACAAACTCGTTTATGGTATAAGATACACTAAGGGGTTTTGTGTGATACACTTCCATTATAAAATGGTTTATATACAAAGCATTTTAGATCAAACAGTAGTTCAGTGCATGCCAGTGGTTCTCGTTGTCATTTTTACATGTTAATTTTGACATGCACTAAGATGATGAATATTTCTGCAGCATGATTTGTAGTGTAATCAGGTAACTCAGATTCATTTGGATTATTCAAACTATTATTTTTACTTTTGTTTTATTAATGTTGATACTCATTGATGCTAATAACTATACTCACTACATTTCCACAATGAATTCTTCTTTGGTTTTAACTATGGGTGACTCAAGAGGAAGGCGAGTAGACGCCTCGTAGCCGGCAGATCATGGGAAAACCATACGTCACCAACATGGTGTTCAGTAACCTGCTCACTGACCTTCATCAGATATCCTTGTTTCATTTTCTTACCTTTTGTTTTCTTACAAGTTCGGTTCTTCATAAAGAGGGCACGTTCACTTAGTCATGCGCGATAATTTGTGGGAAGAAGGTAAAAATTACTAAATAAGATAACAAGCTCGAGAGGTATATGACATCTTTGAAGTATCCCTGGATATTGACTTGGCCGTGGCCGTTATTGATTAGAGGTCAAATACTGAACGAGTCAGTAATTCTCTATTAGGCTGGGGAAACAGAACCGACATGTCATTGCTTGATAAACTGATCAAACCTACAATCCTATGAAGGTAGATTCGAAGAGGAAGCTGACGTAACAATTTAGGCTGATTGATTGGGGGTTGACTGAAGACATCGAAATATCAAAATACTATAGTACAAATATTCACTTATTCCTTATATTGTGTCGATATTTTACTTTATTCGTATTGAGCGTTGAAAACATTGTGTTCAAGAAATGATAACGTCGCTCTCCAAGTGCTCAGAATAGAGATCTATTCAACAAATAGTCTGGTTTCCTCAAAAGAAGAGTATCTACCGACACGAAAATCTCAGTGTTATTCACTCTTTATATATGTAACTTGGTGACAATTATGGAGCATTATCCACTTGCAAACGTTTACGGGTACTACAAAATTCCAGACCATTCACAAGATTTCTGATGATTCTGAAGCTCCAGATTAAAATTTCCTGTGCATTTGCTTTCCAAACATTTGTGCTAGTTCTGGCTTACACGTCGTTTTAGATAACCATATGGAAAGATAAAATCATAACTGTGTGGCCACTCCTACCTAGGGGTGACATTTAATCGCTAGCCCTAGGAAAACAAAAGGGTTTTAAATGATATATTTAAATAAAAGATACGACTTTCGAAATGAATATCCCAGTTTACATAATAAGTAGGATCGTTCGTGTGAAGAACCCTTTATTTACAGAAATTTTTATGATAATTTTCAACAGTATTGATAAACTGTGAGTTGAAGCCCCTTACCTTGGTTATAAATGATAAGAATGGTCACACGCAATTAAAACCACATAACATTCTTGAGCTTTGAAAGCGCTAAATAAACACGAATGCTTATTACGACTGAGTCCTAGTATCTAATAAGTAGTCATGTATGATAGCTTTTCTAAACATGTTTTCCGTATAAACTAACCAGATCCAATTCAATTTTTTGATGACTTCTGCAGGATACTTCGCTATGTTATGAATGAAATCATGAAAACTTTCAAGTAAAAGCACACTCAAGTTATACTTTAGTACGAAGTTTATCATATTATAAATAATTATGAAATATCAACATTAATCGGCGTGGCAAATAATACGATTTGCTTGTTAATGCCTGAGAGCGATAATTCAGTTCACAGTCTAAAAATAAGCCAGAATAAATCTGTTTAACAATGGGATCATAACTATGCTGTGTTTGGTAGGCTTGAAAGACAAGATTAAAGCTGATGTAGCAATCTCACAGATGGAGCACAAACCCAGAAATAGATCAAGATTATTTGTCATTAAGTATGAGCTAAAACTGTTCAAAATGCGTTAAAGTCATTAAAATAGCGAAATTGGAGCATTAAGCTGGGAAATGTCGATTGCATAATGTACACAATATCACGCTCCATGTGAGCGAAAACGACAGACATTACTTTCTACCGTCATACTGTACTTTTTCATAATTTATCAGTAATTCTACTTTGCCTGTTAAATATACTTAGTTTCCTACCTGGATGCATCAGTGATCTACTACGCCTAGATACTGAAGTCTGTTAAGCGAAAGCTTCATTTATTCTGCTCTCTTCTATCTATGTTACTTGGTCGCGCCAGATATATGTTTTGCGTTACTTGTGCTTTTTGTGTCTAATCAAGAGAGACCTTTAGCTGTTGAAGTTCAGCCATAGAGTAATATAATATTCTGTATGCATTTACTTAAAAGTAATTGGTTTGATTTCATTAGCTAGTTATTTGGTTCAAACGATTTCGAGAAATTCCAGTTGTGCACAAAGTTGTGTCACAAAATTATGGGTTACTCAATTATAATTAAACATAAAGAAAGTTTAAGTAAGCACTTGACGAGATGCTGCGGGTTAACGAGAAATTGTATGCATACAAAGTTTCTCTGCTTTCAAGTAGTATATTCATAACTATGGACAGACTCCCACATTTTAGAGATTCGCTGGAAATCTCACTAGTTATATCGCAAGCTGTTATGAGCTTATGAGGTGTTTTTTGTCTTCCTAAACTTGATATTGTAAAAAGCAAACGTATGTCCTCATATGAAGGAATTTCTACTCGAAGTCTTAAAGATAGCTTAATGATTGTGATCGGGTCACCTCAAGTCTTCACTTAAGAAATAGAGACTACTTGGGTCAGATAATCTACTGCCACTCGGAAGTATCGAGATACTGTGTTCTGGCGTACTTCAAGTGCTCCCAAACTATTCCAGCAGCTTATATTCTAACTGGACGGGCTGCTTATATATTATACTCTAATTGTGGACAAAAAACACCCCAAATTCATATGCTCCTTGATATCTAGGTGATCGAGTTCCCCACATATTGCCTGAGATGTCCGTGGATGCTTAAGGGCTGTAACTCATCAATCTCCAGTAGTTTTATAGCCCTGACTGATAATAAACCTCAGATTACTTAACATGGGTTCGAGGATGTTTCTTAATGAGCTTGAGGGCATCTAATAACATTTTTAAAATGTTAGTTCATTCTGGTAAGCTGTATTGATCTTTATTGTGTGCCATAGTACCTTCTTCGTCTTGTTTCCCCCATATATTCGCCTTCTAATGATGCTAACAACAGCAGAGGACTTCTAAATTTATCCGCTTATAAAAGAATTACTGCTGAAACCCAGACCATAACCTAGATAAATTTACCAAATATTTTTCAACCATGCAACATAGAGGTTACCCATACTTTATGTACACCCAACAAGAAGGTTATCTATTCATATAAGACATTCACTCAAGAAACAGTAACACTGTCCTTTTAAAATAGCTTCTATCAAAATATTAAACTGGATTGCTTGTTATTTGGTAGCCTTGATTTTGTTTTATCCCTTCTAGATTATTGTCCTGGCTAGAGAACGACGGTTGTTATATCTGTGCACCTTGTTCTTGTTTTCATATACTAAAGTACCCCCAACCTGGACACAGGCATTTCAACTATTGGGAGTCGCATAATGTTAGAGGATGAGTTCGCTGAACTGGACGTGAGTGTTCTGTTATAATTATGCTTTTGTGTAGCTAAATGAAAACTCTTTAAATGTGCCGTTGAATTCCGAGTCTTATCTGCGGACAGGTTTCACACCTGAACGAAATGTCACACATGACATATCGCCCATTGACACTGGAAAAGAAACTGCAGTATGTTCAGCCTTATTTTGATGAAATTCAGAACACTGTTTCCGATGTTCCATTTGTAAAAGTCACAAGCCCTGCAAAAGTTGGTGAGGGTATTTCGTCATACATAGTATATCGTGTTAATACAAAGGTTTGTGATCATAATGACATTATTTTCAAGTTTAATGGCAAGGAATTTTCAGTCCTCAGACGGTTTTCTGATTTCCTTGGGTTGCATGAAAGATTAGTCACGAAGTATCTTTCTGAAGGAGTTATTGTTCCCCCTGTTCCTTCTAAAGATATGCTAGGTAAAGGTTTAGTTTTGTTTTATGCTCTTCAGCTACAACTAAAGTTAAAATGTCAAAGGACGTTTCTGCGGAAAATGAATTTGTTGAGCGTCGCCGAATAGCTTTAGAACGGTAAGAATTTTGTTAATAATTTCACAGATTCCTATCACGAGTACTCTCACATCCAGTTTTACATATTGATGAAGATGTCTGTGATTTCCTTCGGCATGAAGGAGAGCTCCCACGTGCAACAAACACCCAACTATTGTCCGGTGCTGCGGCGATAAAAGTGATGAAAAATTTGGGTGATGCGATTGGAAAGTTTGCTTACAAAGTTGATGATCCCGAAGAGGTAAGCACTGATAAAACTGTTTGAGGGGTTATTTTATATCCGATAGTATGATAACTTGTATCGTTCATTAAATATTTATAATTTCTTTCCGTTTCTGGGAATCACTCGGATAGAAAAAAGATCTATCTAGAATATTTTGGAACTGCTAATACTAAATATTTCAAGGAATTTTACCGCTCAGTGAAAGTTTTAAAAAAATGTAGAAATGAAATAAAGATATCCAAAATCATCTATCACCACAATGTGGCTAAAATTACTGATGCTACTCACTTACATACATTTACTTTTCCTAGTGACGAGAAAATATAGTACAAGAGCTGATACTACCTTCTTGTACAAAATCTTTTGGATAAGTTAACACATGAACCTGCCCCTCTGCATCTAAAAGTAATTTGGCTAGGTTTCAGAGCCGCATATCAGTGGTTAATATATCCGAAAGTAATAAATTTCGGGAATATTTTAATTCTGAACGATTACCTAGTCCATAATGCTTATCGTACATTTTCAACAAAATCAGCTATCTTATCCTCGAATTGTGCCAAATACCAAGGGAGCTTCGGTAGATTGAGATGATTAAGTTCTGAGTTGTGTTAATGTTTCTGAGTTTACACATATGATGCGCCCGTTTTGGAAATCATTCATGTAACTCATTTACCAACTGTACAGTTTTGTGTATTTGACTTCGAGCTATACTGTCTGTGGGAGGGATATCAATACTAAATGGCTGCTCAAACTGCGATAAGCGGGATGGTCAGGATTTATGACCTGCTGTTTGAAAGCCAAGTGCCTTAAATACTTGGTTGCTGCTTCATGTAAATAATATACAGTCAATCTAGATAGATCGTTGTTGATTTTTCAATCACTTGCCACTAAATTTTGTCAGACTAGAACAGGGAACACTTATTCTTCTATACTATGAAGTAATTCGTATCAAATTATGCATTTCATGAAGCCAAAAAAGATGTGCAAAATGGAACGCTGTAGTACGTTGGTTCAGGTTGATTTGTTTCACAATATATAAAAAGAAATAACGATAAGAAAAAGAAGCAAGCAACATTGTACAAATAGATGGAAGATGATGTGTCCAAAAATTATGAAAGGTTAGAGAAAGAATGGATCTGGATTTCTGTAATCGATTTCAAACCCTATCACTTAGGTTCTCTGGATACTGAATTTCATCCATGAAGTAGTCGTTGTGTTTTGTTAAAACCTGTTATAATTCTTCGAAAGGTTAGTTCAGTGGTTTCTTAAACAACTGTATTGCTAACAGTATGGATGTGCATTTAACCGGTTAGTTCTAGCCTTCTAGGTTAACAAAATAAAGCACCCAAAACAATTACGCATTTGCCTCCTATTAGATTTTATCATGGTTCATACTATATGGTTTTCAGAATACTGCTGAGGAGGTAAGTTAGTCCCTAATATCCATTGGACGCCATCGTTTTAACACTACAACTCATTGAATGTTCATTTTAAAATGTAATTTTGAAATATATATCATTTGCACTTCTTGATGAGATGCTTTATGTTGTGATTTCCATTTCATTCTTTTTCTGGTTCATATTAGTAGTTCAGTGTTTTTTTTTACTAATAATCTTATTAAGACTTAAACAGATGTTCAGAAGCTTTCAATTTACCTTATATTATCTGAAAGATGTAGTACAGTCTGTGGTTTTCCTTTAGACTCAATAACTGGTATACGGTACATCGGCAATTTAATTCTATGTCAACCACCTTAGCGTTTGTTCTTTCTCCTTTAAAAACGGTTTATCTGATTGATGAGCATCAAACAGGGCTGAGACTACGATATTTGAGTCTTGGAACGGTTAACTAGTAATTTTAAGTGATTTGTCATGATAATCTCTACAAGTCCTATAATTATTAACCTCATTAGTGGCTACATTTTTAGAACGTATTTGTCACTGAAGTAATTGGGTCCACCATGGATACTAAGGTTGTAAGTAGAAAAGATGGAACTTAAGTTTTAAAAATTTTTCAAATATAAATTGTAGAACGTTTGGCATGTTTCATACATAAGTTGTAGATATTGTAAGACTGCGTTTAATTTCAACTACGTTTATGCAACTGGCTAAATGTAATATAAATACCGGGTTACTAGTCAACAAGCTAAGAAACCAAAACCAGTAGAGGCATCCATTGTATAGTGGTAACCATATACCTTGTAAAAAATGTGCTGAATTATTAACCGCGTACGATTTTTACCTTTCAACATGAAGTATATGGCTTATGATATTAAATGCTAGGTTGAGATCCCTAAGATATTAAGACATGGTAGAGCAGTATGTGAACTCTGCAGTTTGCTTATTTACAACTAATAATCATGTTTTTATTTGGGTACCTAAGTTTTTGAGTAGTTTCAACTTCAATAATACACACTGGCCTTAGTTTCTTAGTTATGACACTGGAAATAAGTCTCACGAGTCATACTCATTACCCGAATAAAAACTTTCAATTCATGATCAGTTTCGTTAGTGTTTTCGGTTGTATAATAAGTATATTTTACGTGTTGTCAAATTTCTGTCTTTTCATTGTTTTTGGTATTACCAGTTTCAAACTAAAAAAACAGATGATTAGTCGATTGATGTTTTATTGTTACAGTGATAACTTGTAACCAAGAAAATAATATTTAGGTATCGTAAGGTGCACGATAGTACAATGGAACTGATATTAACATATGTAGAGTTTCACTAGACCCAAACGCCCTGGTATGGCCGAGAGTAGGGAGAGTCCGCTCTCCCTCTCGAAATGCTCTCACATGGCCACGTGTATATAGCCTCTGCCAGGGAAGTCCTACTCACTGCCTTCTCGTGGTGGGGGTGTTGTTTACGAAAATGAGAGGACGAAAAGCGAATGTCCGGCGCTTTAACCGGATTTCAAACCAATGGTGCACATGGGCTCCAGTATCCTGCGGAAACAAATGGCGTATGAACCAATTGTTGGTCACCGGCTTCCATGGGGCTGCATCTCCTCACGATGCTTCACTGTCTTGTGGATCAGACATTCAGGTCGAAGGCTCGGGGAGTGACCCCTTAAGAAAACCACCTGCTTCGGTTTGGGCACCCGGGCAGTATCACAGCCCTCACACATATCGAATGAGGCTTGTGTGGTGCATATATATTTGGTGCCTCTTTGTACCAATATCTATGTGTTGAAATAAATAAAAATATGTAGTTATTTGCAAAACATACACTGGGAACGAGGAAGGTAATGGCCAATCACTGAGGGATTTCGAAATTAGGTAAATTGCTTTTAGACGACTATGATGTTTAGCGATTTCCATTCTTATATGAGTTTGGAATCGAAACTCTCGGTCTATCAAATTATAATTTAATTAGTTATGAGGCCTGTAACTTAAGCACTAAAATTTAGTAATGTTTTATAACTGAGATTAGATAAATAAGTCTTATATTCAATGCTTAATCATTTTTTGTTCACCTATAGCTTGCTGACCATATCTAGTGTCTTAATTGTATTTACATGTAAATCCATTGTGTTGCATGTATGTGCTTGAAAAATCAAATGCTTTACTGTTGTTTTGATAAATTTTTAATCAGTGTATGATCATAAATTATTTCGCTGTGCAAATCAATTTTGATCTGTTTTCCTAATATGTGATTATATTTCACGGTCTTCCAGTATATATATATATATATATATATATATATATATATATATATATATATATATATATATATATATATATATATATATATATATATATATATAATCGGTGCAATTTTGGTCGAATGATGTATTATTGATCAAAAAAATAATTGCTTCTTTCGTCTAAACTGTTTCTCAACTACATAGTTTCATAAGTCATGATAGTAAATTCATAAGAGTGAATTCTATAGATAAAATGTTTTTAACTTAAAAGGCCATAATACTATAGAACCGCCTTTTACTAACATCGTATATGTAAATGATTGGTTTTAGGGAGATAGTAAATGAATTAATTCTCAAAAAGTATAGATTTTGTATATATGATGGTCTGTGCCTGGTGAAACAAGTATAAATTATTCAAAAACATACACGTACTATACCTTCATATTTTCTAGGGTTGATGTTATATTCCGTGGTTAGAATAATGATTACTTTAAAAATTCTAATGAATAATGCCAGAGACCTTAGGTAAAACAGTTTAAGATGTAGCTAATGCACTAATGGTAGGTTTTAAATGTATTGTTTGGTCTTGTATACTCTGTATTTTTTACTGATATGACGAATGATTCAAAGCTATTTAAAATCTCTTGGGACCGGGAAATGGACAGTGGCTGGGTAAATTTGAAGTGTTGATTCAATGAGAAAAAAGTTTGGGAGTTTAATTCGACTAATTTGGATGCCAGGTTTTTTCTAGCTACAAACTAAATCGAGACCAAAGACAAAATCTGCTTTAAGGGTTGCGTATTTAAATTGTCCTGCTGTTTTTAACTGGAATCATTAAATCTGTCTAACTAATCTTGTTACGATGTTTCTGTATCGTTGTGAGTCACTGAGTACTGTCTTAATAAAGAAGAGATGTGCTTGACAAGCATATGTAAAGTTAGCTTGTTCTAATTTTAGAGGTGGCATAATCCACGGTTATTTTTTGGTAACAAGTATTCGCTAAAGCATAAAACTGAGCCCTATAGTACTCTATTAAAGTGTTAAGTCTACAGCATTAAAATTACGTAAGTTATTGATTCACATCGAAAATATAAGTAGAAGGATCCAGTAGATATTGTTAATTTCAGTTGCAGCTTCTCAATTCGTAGTTGTTTTCAAGTTGTGACTTACTATTACCGCTAAGTCGTTATGTTCCTGCACGCATGGAAGATATGTACCGTCGTTAGTATGCTGGTAACTGTTACCGTGTCCGATGTGCATGAGAACACTTTCTAGAACTAATTTATAAGCCCCAACATTATGATCATCTAAATAATTAATTTAGGTTGGTTTGGAAACAAAATGATCAGCCGTACTCCCTACTGTTCTCCAGATTTTTACATCATCCGCAAACAACAATATCGACAACCTAAGCAATAGCGGTAATTGATTGATTTAGAGAAGAGAAAGTAGGGGACCTAAGATGGTACCTTGAGGTATACGACTTTTGACCAGCTTCCATTCAGATAGTATCCCATTTACCCTCAACCTCTATCTTCGACCACATATGAAGTTTCCTATTCGTTCATGTACAGCACTTGTTATTCCAAAGCCCAATAGCCCCTGCTTTAGACCTAGGTGAGAAACCTTGTCAAATACTTTGTTAAAGTCTATGAATATCGCATCGACAAACAGATCATTATCTAGGGTTGCTGTTCAATCCTCTCTCGCAATACGTAAGTTGGTCAAGCATGAATGCTTGTCTCGAAACTCGTGTTGCTCGGGGTTAACAGATTGTATGATTCTATGTGAAGAAGTTCTAGAGCTGTATCTTCCGGTTTCCGCCATTTAAAGTATTACAACTAAAAATGGGATATTTCTAGCATACAGTGATATAGTGAATCAACCAAACATCGACCAAATGGTAAGCACATACTATTAGTCAAGATTTTTTTTTTAAGAGACACTCGATTGGTTGAAGACGCAAATTAAATTTCTAAGAAGCAAAAATATATATGAGTGAATAAGCGTACAGATATCTCTCAATTCGGTTAGCTAATAAAAGCTCCCTTCTCACTCGAGTGACCGGTTGGATTCGTGCACAAAAAGCTTGAGTATCGCCATACTGGACACCGTACAGCACAATGGAAGCACAGGCTTGAACTATCAACGTAGATGTAACACTACCTACATCATCTGCATTCCTCTTTTGTGATGCTTACAGTTCAGCCGAGTAGTAAATGCACCTTTTTTTGCATTATATTATATATCCATTTAATTATATTTCTCTTTACTCTTCTAGTTCTTCTATCAGAAAGCAGATGAATTAGATAGTTGGGAAAAGCAACTTAAACGTCTTCACTCCTCGCTTCTTAATTTAGTATCAGGAGACAATGGTAGGCATCTGATTTATTTGAGTTTTTCTTTTTATAATCCTAATGATTGTGATTTAACAGCTATAAAACATGTGATATGCAAATGACATTACCTGTATACTGAATAGTCAGTGAATTTTCCTACTGTCGTATATTGATATGAGATTGTTTCAAACATGAGTCTTAGTTTAATGCTCTTGTTGGTTAGATGTGTTGTCCTTTTGCTTACGGATGGTTGTTGTTTGTTTTTTCCAAGGAATTAAACATTTTGATGTGACAATTTGAGTAATGTTGATCAATATCGGTAAGTTGATAAGGAAGGTGGATCGAGAAAGGATAGTAAATTCTGACAGTTTAATTTTGACTGCTTTTATGTATGGTAGTTCAGAGGTATTAACTGAACTATTACTGAGCTATGTACTACGATATGTTAGTTAGAAGTAGCACCTTTAGGGTTGCGAGAAACCAGAGGAATGATTCAGTGGTAACCGTCTGGTTCTCAGCTTCATTTGCTTAATTCCAAAAGTCGTAAGCTCCATAGGGCATGATCTAGACTAAAAAATAATAAATATGGAAGGAACCCACGTGTTTTAAACGTAGTACAGATAATGTAAACAAATAAATGGGAATATATATGTTATTTACCTACAACTGGTCAGAAAGTGGTTACATACCAGAATGTCTTAAATTATTATCCAAACAAAATAGACTTCTTGGATAGAGAGACAAATGTTAGCAAATTACTGTTTATTTTGAAAACTATTGAACGAAAACTCAGTAAAGCTCTTTATACATGAGGCATCTGTTAAATAGATGGCACTTCATAACTAGCTTCTTTTAGCATAAAGTTTAAAGATAGAGTTGCATAGTTGAATGTGCTGACTACTTTATCTTTGGATATTGCCAACTAGCTGACTATAAAATTCCATTTGACATCTTACAGTCTGCCATTTCAGACACCAACATAATATTGTAGTGCCTGGATAAAATCTTAATAGTTTGTTGATGAGGATGCTTTGACCAACCTTTTTAACTAAGGACCTTGTTATTTGAAGTAATTTTCGTCATCCTGTCAGATTTATCGCTAAAACATTAATCAGATGTAGTGAATTCACTGAATGGGAAACACCAAGATTTGGCTTGGTGTTTTAGAAAAGTATTGTTGACAAATCAATAAGTTTTTTCAACCTTGGAGACTAACTTGGCTTTTCCATGTGCTAAGCACACCAAACCATAGTCTTCTCTCACTTGTAATTACGGCCACAGTAGAAGATCAAAACATATCACTAATTTTAATTTGCTGAAAGAGTGAACTGTAAAAGAATTTGGCATAGATTTTTACTGGCCCCACGTATTCAGTTTAGTGTTGTTGAGTTAAACCATTGTTTCGTGCATTTAAATTTGCTGTTACCGGAATGATAAAATGGATAGATATATGGTAGTCAGACTTGAACCATGTATTATTTGGTCTCTCTTGTCATCTGGGTTGAATTGCTATTGTTTGTAACTGTTATGTCCTGATAATCATAATGAATGGTAACTTTTGGGATCCATTTATGGATCAATACTATGCGTACACTTTTATCGTATAATTGTTAAATAACTAATCTATCCATATTCATATCCCTCATATTATGAGCCTTATTTTGACCTCTGAACTATTATTACACTGTTTACTATTCTTGAATTATGCCCTGTCTATTAATTACTACTTCTCACCTTCACAGCCACATTTGGCCAAATCTTGTGTAAATGTTGTTTCCTATTTTATTGGTACGATGTGGTCTGTTTGATTGTTATATAAACCCAGTATGTTTGAAATAAATGATTCATGTTTCAGAGGCTGAGATTGGTGTTCTGGACTTAACTGGCTGGGCTAGGCGGGAAGCAGGACCGGCAAGTACTCTAAACTGCTCGTACGTGTTTTACGCGTCATTGGTTCGATCGATAAGTCACTACTCTCTAATTAGCGGTGTCATTACGTATACATTAACAGGGCACACAGGCCACAAGTTATAATAGTAACAAACATACAAACATTGATATTAAAAAATACGATACTTTTAGAAATGCAACTCAGTTGTCAAAGCACATATCTTTGCGTCATTGAGTCATAAATCCAAACACCTCTCAAACTACTGCAATCTGATTAACCACCTAGTATCAGTGCTTACCATATGTTAACTGCATCTCAAAGCGAACCACACGGAATTATTTCTCAGTTGCATCACCATAACTTTTCCATTCCCAGACAGTGTGAATGGAACATTGAAGTGGGTACCCAACTCTAGCAGAAGTTCAAAAGGCTATAGTTAATCTGAAACAAGGAAGGGCAGCTGGTCTAGATGGATTAGCTCCAGAGGTCTTTAAGGATGGTGGTCCAATTTTAGCGATTAGGTTGACTAATATTTTAGCTAAGATTTGGGAGTTAAACGTTATCCCATCTGACTGGTCCCAATCACTTATCGTCCCAATATATAAGAGAGGGTTAAATTCATCCTGTGACAACCATAGAGGGATTAGTTTGACCAACATAGCGTCTAAAATACTAGCCTCAATAATTATCGGCCGCCTAACTAAGACTCGTGAACTGCAAACACGTGAAAATCAGGCTTACTTCAGACCTGATCGTGGCTGCATAGACCACATATTCACCATTCGTCAGGTTCTAGAACACAGGCATACTTATCGGCGTCCGAAAATGGTGGTCTTTCTTGACTTAAAAGCAGCATTTGACTCTGTAGACTGCGAGATTCTATGGCAGTGTATGCCATTGAAAGGCGTACCCCAGAAGTACATAAACCTTGTAAAGGCTCTTTACTCGAACACTACTAGTCGAGTCAGGGCTTATGGCGAACTGTCATCTACTTTTGCAACCTCAAGTGGTGTCCGTCAAGGCTGTCCACTTTCTCCATTTTTGTTTAACTTCATCATAGACCTATTGATGGAAATAACATTCTTGTCGACTGAATTCCCGGGTATTAATCTCCTTCCAGGAGGTCCACTTATCGACTTAGAATACGCAGATGACATAGTTCTGTTTGGTGAAAACGCTGATAAAATGCAGAGTCTTTTGGTAACATTAAGCAACAATGTCAGAGTGTTTGGAATGCGCTTCTCTCCCTCTAAATGCAAGTTGTTGCTTCAGGACTGGTCTGCGTCAACACCTGAACTAAGGATAGGGAGTCAAGTAGTCGAACGCGTTGACAACTTCACTTATCTGATCAGCCCTAATGGGTTGGTGTCTGACGAAATCTAAACACAGATTCAGAAAGGTCGTTTGGCTTTTGCCAACTTACGTCACCTGTGGTGAAGGCGAAATATCTGTCTATAAATTAAAGGACGAGTATGCAGTTCGGCAGTTCGCTCTGTTCTACTTTACGGTTGCGAAACGTGGTCATTAAGGGTAGAAGAAACTCGTAAGCTACTAGTATTTGATCATAGATGCCTTAGAATTATTGCTCGCATCTGCTGGGATCACCGGGTAAGTAATAATGAGATTAGACACTGGGTATTAGGGAATGATGGCAAATCAGTTGATGAGGTTGTGAATCTCCATCGATTGAGATTGTTGGGCCACGTGTTGCGTATGCCTGAACACCAATGACCACGACGTGCAATGCTAACTGGTGTTGGAGATGGTTGAAAGAAAGTTAGGGGCGGCCAAACCAAAACGTGTGATCAGTGCTTGAAATCACTAACGTCTAGTCCGAGCCATGTTGGTAGATGCAGACTACTTGGTTTGAGTCCGCATGACTATCGTAACCAATGGTTGTAGACTGTGAATGACATGGCTCAGAATCGATCACAATGGCGTCAGTGTATACACTCTTTGTTTTTCCTTAAACTAAGAGATTAAAATCGCTTCATATCTTTCTTTCTATGTACTAATTCTTTCTTCCTGTACTATATCCTTATTGCAATCTTTCTTTTATGTATTACCACCTCTGAATTAATTAATTTTATGAATCTGGTGTCCATCTTGTTGTGTTAATGAGGTATGGCAACTTGGGCCGATGCACATATGTGCCTGGTCCTACGTCGTAGCTGACTGACTGATTCACCATAACTTTAAATTGCTCTTAGTTAAGAAATAGTTATTTCAACTTACTTCAGACCTAGCAAATGCCGAAGCTGGCTTGTCTCGTTCAGTTCTTCTCCTGGCTAATGTAGAAGAAAATACTGGTCTAGCTCAAGCACTTCATCATCTAGCAGAAACAGAAGGACATGTCGCTGATTTACACGCTTTACAAGCAGAAGCGCATACGTGCCATTTAGTGGAGTATTCTCGAGAATTACTAGGCATGGTTCAGGCTTGCAAGGTAAGTTTTCCTTATAGTTTTAAATAAATTGAGCGGTGGAAAGTTAATAATAAATTGTTTGTGATGTCCCAATGAGTAAGAATTTGTATTTCTAACGTTTCGTGACTCAACGTAAGTAACTTCTTCAGAGTAAATCGATTTGTCAGTATGGGGTTATGGAGATTGTTGAGTTTTGATTGAAATCGTGAATCGATCGATGTCAGGCCACAATTGAAAATCTGTAAGCACTGGATGGCAGTTTCGTCCTAGTATTTATTTATTTATTAATATGAAGAAACGTCAAAAATACAAATTTCTACTCATTGGGAGGTCACAAAAACTACTAGTTATTGTTTCTCTAAATTTACTTAGAAAGTAGATGTTGACTTAACGATTGATTTAAACGGTGATGCAATCATTCTGTTTAATCGTAAACCATGTTTTTATGAAGTTCTTCCAAAACATTTATCGAAACTGTTGCCTTAAAATTTAGCTTTCATGGTGTACTCAAAACGGACTGTTTCTGAAAAAATTAGGGTTTTTGGTAAACTATGCAAACAAAGTGTTTATCAGTCCCGCTTTTGTTTACAAAAGGTTTGGACTCTCTAGTTTATATGTATCAGACTGTGGTAGAGCTTTACTACTATCAATGCAACCAGGTATTTATTTTTCGTTCATTGCTTTAAATTATTTCGTTATTTATCAAGTCAAAGTAATCTTTTAAGTCTTTGGTCAGGACATCTGAAGTGTAGTGTAGCACATAAACTAAAGTATACCCTAAAATTACCATCGGTTCAATCTTTATATGGGACTACTCATAGTCTACTACCGAATTTTTGAATTTCAAGCAGAATGTGTTGAGATAAATATTTAGAATTAAATTGGGCCGTAATATTTAAAGAATCATGGGATTATTAAACATTACACTAGTTTGCAATTACGACAAATTTAAGAATATGAAACCCCTTATTGATTAATTACATGATAGCCATAAAACTTTAAAATGAAAAATAATCCTCTAATCAATATTCAAATATATAGTTTTAATTTAACTGTTTGTCTTGTTCTTTCTAAACGAAAAATCTTATTAATATTACTTCATTATTTTGAAAAAAAAAATCATAATACCAAGTTAAATGTATATAATTTAGGATGTTTTAAGTGAACGTGTACGAATATATCGTACATGGAAAACTGCTGAAGCTAATCTTCGTTCAAAGCGTGAACAGAAAATTCGAATGGAAATGGCACCTAGAAATGATAATAAAAAGATGGCCACGATAACAATGGAATTGGAAGATGTAAGATGATTTATTCCTTTTTTTATATTGATTATTTTCATTTCATACTAACAAAAACAAATATGCTCCCATCAGTTTGAATTTATTTTTGGATCAACTTGTCTTTGATCTAATGATTAATGAATTTTATTAATATGTTATCATAATAATTATTATTATGTTGGGTATGCCAGATCTCCAGCAATCTTTTGGCAAACGTCTTATTTTTGTAATTTTATTTCGGGAATTTTAATTTCCCATCTTCGCACCAAAGGTACCCATTTTTATCTCTAGATTGTATTTCCAACTTGACAGGACTTTAAATTTGATTGATTTGTCTCTTTTAATACGCTATTTTGTGACATTTCCTAAGGACCTTTTTACGCTGTACATATACGCTTGAGTTGTGTGCTTGTCTGTTCACACCATTTATCTATGCACGACTGTTTTTATTATATAAATCAAGGTTTTTGTTGTGATTACTAGTTCCTATTTTTCGTATATTTCATTTTGTACATTACACATAGTTGTATTCTTTTTTCTTCATTTCTTTTAAAGCTTGAAAATCGTGTAGATCAAGCTCAGCATAAGTTTAATAATATATCTATAAATATTAAAAGAGAATTTCAAAATTTCGACTTGAATCGTTTTGCTTATTTCAAACAAGCCACTACAGAATATTTAGAATTGTTATTGCAAATTCAATTAAAAGTAAGTGAATATTGTTTCCTATGATTAAAACACAAACACAGGTTACTATTTTCATAACCACTTTGCTTTCAATGTTATTGTTTCAAATAACATGTTATGATGGACACTATTTTCAAACTATAATTAGTTAAAAGTTAATCCAATACTTATTACCATTTTCATTGAGAAAATTGTACTGATAGCAACTGGAAAACTATTAAAAGTTATTTTCATGGTTGTTCGACTAAGATCACTTATTCCATGATATAAACTATACCAGAAATAATCATGTTCTAGCTAGTGACTGATTGTAAAGGATAATTTACGGAGTTCCACTGAGAAGCTATGACTAGTGAAGCTCAAACATGTCGAGTGTGAGGCGAATTCCTATTATTATCATCCAAACATGGTTGCGCAATATTGTGAATTAACCGAAGCTAGATATGTAAACTAGTGGTCAGCGATCTGAAGGTTAGGTATTCGAAGGGAATTCAGAACTTTCTCGGTTTTTTCCGTGATGCAGTCGCAGATACACACTGATGAGAAGTCCTGTACTAGAACAAAACAACTGTCCAGTGCTTCCTTGTTTTTATTGTTTAATTAGTTAAAATCAGTCCGTAATGTAAACTATGAAAAGAAAACAGATTTTGATAACAATTATTTCTTTTCCCCCTCCAATTAAACATTGAATAATTAAATATAACATTATCTTTGAAAATCACAAATATATTTATATTTGAAATAAACTTAACTTCTTTTCATCATCTTTTGTATACATTGAACAATAGGTGTTAGAAAACTGGGAGAAATACTTGTCTTATACAAACAGTATCAATTGATGTATGCGCATATAGGCTCTGTTAACAATTTTTTTATTTCTGGAAAAGAAATAACCTTGGTTTTGGAATTATTTTTTCTCTCTTTATTACACAATCAATATTCCATACTTATTTATTGTTCTATTAAAATTTTAATTTAAACATATGTGTTAATTTCTCATCTTTTGTGTATACCTAACACGCACACACACACACACCCAGATAATGCATGTGTGTACACTTGTATACTGACTGTATTTCGGGTAATTAATTCTAAATAATCGCTTGGATATGGTGATTGTGATAAGTCTTTATTTTTTTCCTGTTAATCTTTTTGTAATTTATGCAACTCTTAGATTGATTTCATATCTCTGTCACTTTATGCTGATTTCATGCATATATTTAATAATAATATGGTGTTTTGATTTAAAAAGTAAGCAATGGAATTATTATATATTTCACTCTCATGGGATAACAAATATGAACAGACTTAGTAGTAGTATAAAGTATTAAACAATTTAATGACAATTTTTTAACAGGAGAGTTTTTGCAAACAAGTACTTTACTGTGTTTCCTTCTCCCGTTGGAACTTCATGTTAATTATAAAATTCATAAAATCACCTTAGATGGGAACATTATTTTCTTCACCATTGTCGATATCTGCACCACCTTATATAATAAGATTTTATACATGATTTTCTTTGTCCTTTTGTTCTATATGTGCTGTCTATAAACAGACAACCAATGACACAGGATAAACATCAGTGTGGAAGGACCTTATCCTTCATTCTGTTTCAGCTAGCCTGAACTGTCTAAATAATAAGGCACATTCTGTGTTTAAAAAAATTTAAATAGTTCACTTGTTTGTAGACTAGTTTGCCTTTCTAGTATACGTAAATTTAGACGTTCTGTATACCTTAGAAAACATAATGGGTAATTATGATCTAAATACATAGTTTCCTTTCAATTTCTTAGCTGAAAAATTGTGTGTAGTGTTATGTTCGTTCACTTAAAATATGACAGTATAATTAGTCTACTTTACATTGTGATTAAATCGAGGCAAGATCTTTTTGATAACAATATCCATTTATATAACAGTTTCAACTAAAAGAACCCATCTCACACAGCTTGTACATGGTAGTTCTCATAATATGTAACATACACCAGTTCTTTCTCAGTTACCAGTTAGTTACAAAGTATTTTGATAAAACCAGTGGTAATTTGTACATGAACACCACTATCTGTGTCGAACCCGAAGATTACATCTACGACCTCGATTTCCGACCTTAGCTGCTACCTTGACGCGGTGGTTGGGCTTGCTTATCGTGATGACCCAACCGAGCTATATTGGCTGGAACATATATTCCTGTAGGTTCTACCATGCCAGGCAGGTCGATTGGAGAACATTAAGACTAAAAGCAGCAACTCAAGGTCTGAGGGCGAGGTCGTACTGCTGACTGTAGAGGACTGTGACAGCAGTAAGGTGTTCCCCTCGGACAACCAGCATCTACAGCGATGCCGCCTTCTCACAAGGAAGGAAGGAGTTAGAAAAGGTTGAACCTAAAAATGTCACACCTCACCTTACCTCACGGATTTTCGTCTCCGGCGGTAAGGCCCTTTGAAGAACAAAGCTAGCACATTAAAAACCTCCCACAAAAAGGCCGTGCTCGACTGGCCTCAAGCAGTTGTCCCTTTGGCTCTGCTGTCACGCTCCCAGGCCGTTAAGGCCGACATTAATCCGATTTCCTTTTCAGGTTCCTCAAGAAATACCCTTCCACGGTGTGGACAGCCGGGAAGTGACACCAGCCCTCATACCCGTAACAGAACACGAGACCAAGTTGGTCACATTCAAATCCTTCCTACATTTCCTAATACCACTCTTATCTCCCCGACTAACCCTTCTCACGCTCTTTTATCACCTCGCACCGCTAGTGCAAACGATTCGAGTACGCGGAACGTTATTCCTGGTCTCCTGAAACCACGCTCTAAACTTCATGTTGGAGCTTATAACGTCCGAACACTGTGCCAAATAGGACAACAGGCTTCCTTAGCTAGGACTTTAGAATCTCGCACCATCGATGTGTGCAGCGTCTCCGAAAACGCGCATACAGGATCCGAGTAGCGTTATTCACTTGACATTACCATGTCAAAACAACGAACCGACTCGATTCACACTTCGTGTATCTGGAAGCCCTGATTCTGCTTCCCGTGGCCCCGTCGGCGTAGGTATAGCATTGGGTCCTAGGGCAGAACTAGCTCTCTTAGAGTGGATCCCAGTAGACAGTCGTTTGTGCGCTGTCCGACTAAACGGAACAGTAAGGATCCAAAAAGATAGGGACACTCGTCGTTGCCTCTTCGTCGTCTCTGCCTATTCTCCCATTGACTGCAGCTCAGATGATGTAAAAGATGAGTTTTACAGAAAGCTTTCCGACCTACTCCGAAAAGCCAGGCGCTCTGATATAGTAATAGTGGCTGGTGACTTTAATGCTCAAGTAGGTAAACTAAGCGAAAGGGAAAGACACCTAGGTGGATCTTATGGTGTCGTGGCTCTAAGAACAGATAATGGCGACCGTCTGTTGCAGCTATGCTCAGATAACTGCCTGTTCCTTGCAAATACTAACTTTATGCATAAGGAAAAACATCTTTTAACATGGCGACCCCCTAATTCGTCCCAACGTTGGACTCAAATAGATCACATCGCTATCAGCCACCGATGGAGAGGCTCGATAGAAGACTGTCACTCATTGTGGAGCACATGATTAGATTCAGACCATGCTCTAGTACGAGCGCGTATTTGCCTGCGTCTTACTGGACGTAGGAAAGACGTTGCAAGGAAACCTCTTAGGGTCCCATTTAATGATAATCAAGCTAAGAGTATGTTTCAGGAACAACTAGGAAAACTAGCAGCCATGTAGGTGATGCCCACCCACCTGTATTAGGAAACCGACTGCTAGCGAAACAATCTCAGAGAAAGATGGACATATTATTCATTCACAATCCAGGAGATTGGATCATGGGCAGAACACTCTAGGGATCAGTTCAACTAGCCTTCAGCCACACTTCGGTTTCCCATGATCTCCAGTCAACCTGAATGACAAGTTAATTTAGGTCCTCCGTCTCTTTATGAAGTTGAAAAAGCCATAGGAAATCTGAAGCGAGGGAGAGTAGCAGCCCCTGACAGGTTTACTCCTTAGATTTTTAAGGATGGTGGTCCAGTATTAGCAGTAAGATTAACTGAGGTCTTAGGTAGAATTTGGGAACTGGACGTAATCCCATCTGACTGGTCTCAATCACTGATTGTGCCAGTCTATAAGAAAGGACAAAAGTCCTCTTGTGACAGTCACAGAGGAATCAGTTTGGCTAATATAGTGTCTAAAATATTAGCTTCAATAATACTTCGACGCCTAACTAAAGCTCGTGAAGAGCAGACTAGAGAAAACCAGGCTGGTTTTCGACCTGGACGTGGTTGTATAGACCAGATATTCACACCATGTCAGGGTCTAGAACAAAGGCACACGTTCAGACGCCCCACAATCGTAGTATTTCTCGAACTTAAGGCAGCATTCGACTTTGTTGATTGTGAGGTTCTATGGCAGTGTTTGTCACTGAAAGGAGTACCAAAGAAGTACAGGCTCTCTACTTGAACACAGCTGGTCGAGTGAGGGCTTATGGTGAACTGTCATCAGAATTGATTACCTCAAGTGGTGTTCGTCAGGGCTGTCCACTCTCTCCATTTTTGTTCAACTTTGTCGTCGACGTACTTTTAGAGATAACACTTTCCTCGTCTGGATTTCCAGGAGTTGAACTTCTGCCAGGAGATTCACTTGTTGACTTGGAATATGCCGATGACGCAATTCTGTTTGGTGAAGACCCTGACAAAATACAGAGTCTTCTGACCACTCTAAGCAACTATGCAAGCATGTTCGGCATGCGATTCTACCCCTCGAAATGCAAACTGTTGCTTCAGGATTGGGTTGCATCGACACCTGAACTAATGTAGGGAGTGAAGTTATTGAGCGTGTCGATCGCTTCACTTATCTTGGAAGTCTCATCAGCCCTTGTGATCTGGTTTGTGACGAAATCTCAGCACGGATACAGATGGCTCGACTAGCTTTTGCCAACTTGCGTCATTTATGGCGTAGGCGAGATATCCGTCTATCAACCAAAGGATGTGTTTACTGCGCAGCAGTTCGTTCCGTCCTACTTTATGGCAGTGAAACGCGGCCGGTAAGAGTAGAGGAAATCCGTAGGTTACTATTATTTGACTTGGAAATATTGCTCGTATATCCTGGGACCATTGAGTAAGTAACGCAGTTGTTAGGAAACGGGTACTAGGTAAGAATGGTAAATCCATTGATAAAGTAGTGAAACTTCATCAATTCAGATGGCTGTGACACGTGTTACGTATGCCCAACTACCAACTGCCTCGACGTGCGATGTTCAGTGGTATAGGAGTAGGTTGGAAGAAAGCTAGGGGCGGCCAGACCAAAACATGGTACAAATCCATGAAGTCACTGACAAGTGGACTGAGTCATGTTGGTAGGTGTAGACTACCTAGTTGGGAACCGCAAGATAATAGCTACCGATGGTTAGAAACCCTGAATGACATAGCTCAAAATCGTTTGCAATGACACAGGTGCATACACTCTTTGTGATTCCTCCTTGTCTCCTTTTTTCTCTTCTCAGATTTATTTCACTGTATTATACTCTTTAAATAACATCTCCAAACCCTAATCTTTCCGAATACTGCTTATACTCTTACTACCTCTACCACTACGGGATTTGAATCGACCACTGCACCTCTGTGTTAATGTGGTGTGGCAACTCGAACTGATGTACGTACGTACGAAGTTCTACGTTGTTACTGACTGACTGACAACCTCGATCATTACAGATTAATTATACGCCATACTGTAACGCCCTGATTATTTATAGATTTGTCGATTTTTGATCTTTAGTTATTCAAGTAATTTGAACTGGAAGTTGACCAATAGTTCATGATCTTGTGGATGGCGAATTCTGGGTAGAAAATAAAACATATCACTATCCTTAATGCAAAAGGTGCATATAGTTCGATATATATATATAAAAGCATGTGCTTGGTAAATGATTTACATCGATTTTACTAGTGGAATGAATAGTCCTCTGTAAAACCTAGACAATATTTGATGAGTCCAAAGAAGAGATGTGTCTGAACCTGATTTTTGTACAGAAGCACATATCTTGTACTTTTTGCCATCTTCCGTGGTAATCGATTCATATCCAGTAATCTAAGGATGCAATTTAAGTTCGTTTCTTTCTATTTATGTTTCAGTGCATTATTATCAACTAATTTTCTAGTTATATATCTGTGAACTTGGATTCAAAACACATCCTAAGAATGAAGGCTAGTAGTACTACCTCGTTTCCCAAACCGAAGTAAGTGGAGCGGGGTTCAACCCTGCGACTTGGTGGCTGTAACTTGAAGACCTCAACCACTAATCAATCTCTCGATTGCATAAAACATAAAGACACATACTGTTTAGTGAATCAGTAATTTAACAATTCTGATAATAATTTTTAGTAAAACTGACTAACCGCTTGTAACTCAATTGTTTATACTATTATAGAATATCAAAGACTGTTCCTGACTGTAGTCTGTTTATCTACAGTAATTCAAAGAGCTTTTATGTGTAATTAGTCGCAAAAAAGCTGACTAATAAATGTTTTATTATCATTAAGATGAATGATTGTACAACTTTTATGATTAGCATAAATGATTCATCGGGTAGAAGTTAGTCTGTCATACGGTCTAAATCGATTTGAATGTTAAGGTAAATAGTTGATTTGAAAGTTACCGGTTCAATATGTGTATGTACACAACATAATACAATATAGAACCAGTTTGCGCCATAAGAACTAACATAAATACATCTCAATGTAGAGAAATCACTGCTTAAACAATTGAAGCATGTTTAATGTGTTCTAGTGGTGAAAGTTTGGAAAATGAAAGTTTTTCTAGTTACAGTATGAATCATAACAGGTCAATTGCTGCTCGAACACCTCAGCGGTGATATCTTGGACTGTGAGGCTGTGTTACTCGGGCTCGAGTCTCATAAAGAACATCAGCTCTCACGATCTCAGTTATTCCTTGTTGAAGAATGTCAGCGACGAAATCAAGGTCCAGTGTTTCTTGCCAATTACCAACAAAAGCTCTACATAGGACTACATTACTTTTCACTCTTAGCATCAGTTGACATTAAGGTAACTGTGCAGTGTGAAAAATCAAAGTTTATACTGATTTATGCCAACATGAAGTTGCCATCAATTACTAACCACTAAGCAATATTCAAAACATTTGTAATTCTATCGTTCGAAAAGAATAAATCGTTTATAATGGTAATAATCGAACACTTTATTATTAAGTTGTGCATCTTTGTTACTTGTACTGTTACAAGATCTGAAGTTTTACACTCATCGTCACCTGGATTTCTATTCAAAAGTTATCAATTGTTATCAGTTTAGGTACGGTTGGCTGTAAGGTAGTTAAAAGTAAATGAATAATTCATACCACAAGTTACAAAATCAAGGCTATGTATCTTCTTGTATATGGTATTTGGTGTAAGGTTCTTACCAAATTTACTTATACTGCAGTCACTGGTCAAGAGTGGTTCGTTAACTTGCTCAGACCAAGTTCAAGGATTATTAGTACCATAGATAAGTAATCTTACTATTTAGTACTGTTAACACCAGTAAACTCTACATTCCTTGCAAATCTTTAACAGTTGCATGAGTAAACCATTAAGAGAAGGAATAAATCAATCAGGTATTGTAATCTTAGTTAGCTTGTCCTTGAATCTGTACTAAATGAAGAGGCATTAGTGACTAAGGATTGTTTATATGAATATTAGTGTTGTCATATATACATCTGTTCATGAAATCACAAAATGATTAGGAATAAAATTACTTTGAAAATTTGTCTGTATGGCTAAATAAGCACTTCAACATCAATGTTATTCACACAGATAGTACCATCATTCAATGTGGACAATTTTTAAGGAGGTTGATGATAGATACTGGTTTGTACCTGCCATCATATGTGAGGTCATCAAGAGCTTTTATTATTCTATTGATTGTGATTTGGAAAGCAAGTAGTAATTGCTTGCTGTAAAACTATTTTTCTTCACCCAAATAAGTTTTTCATTGATTAAAGTTTCAAAAAAACTCAAAGCCTTTCAGCTAATTTGAAGTGCTTGAATAACATTTGAATTACGATGAAAAAAAGTATACATTAACAACTGGTTTATGCCATCTCAGCATTAATCTTCACTAAAACACCATGATCTGATTTCCGAGATGTAAAACAGAAATCCAAAAACCGATAGGCTCAGAGCACTATCCGAACGACTCGCCAATAGCTACATCAGTTCATAGCATTTTCATATCATTTAACCATATAAAAATTTAGTACATTATGTTTCGTTAAACTGTAGGTTTTATGAGATAAATTACTTTTGAGCTTGACTTCAAAATAGGGAAATGGTTAGCTTCTATTGTTTCAGTTCATCCAGTAAACCTGTAGGAAAATTCTGGTGATGTTTGCTTAGTCGTGTAGTTCCGTTTGCGATCTTTTTCTCAAAACGACCACATTTGGTTTTTAGTTGAGATCATATAATGAATGAGTGATGAACTGTTGGCATCAGATGTATCACCTATGATTAATGGCCACTCTACTCATCTCCTTCAGTTTACAATACTAGAAATTCTACTTACACAACAATCAATTCCCTATATATCAGTGAGTTAAGTAGTTTCACTTGTAAAGGTTTGAACCTTTCCATTGTGGATGTTTTGGGCTGCAATTGATCAGTCCGCTTTGGTGTATGTAAGTCTCAAGTTGATTGCCTAGAGAGTGTCTTTAAGTCACACGCATCTTTAAGCTAAGCTTTCACAGCAGCTAATATATGACACGTGCGTCGTCCCAATTGGTACTCGTCAGCTAGATATACATGCACTTCAGTGTTAACATTCCCACCAGAACCTTCTGCTTTCTTCACCAAATGCCAACGTATCATCCTGTAGTATCGGTTACTATGCTAAACCCATATAACTTATTCTAGCTTCTGGAGAGGCAAGTTTATTCATCATTCTTCTTGAGTTACGTTTTGACCTTGTTAATTATTTACTTATCAATCCTGACTGTCTTTGTATGAGCGTATGTGTGTGCACTTCTCATCATATTCATCACATGTCTGTAACTTATTTTTGTGTGACCATGAATATTGATTCACGCGTCTCCACTGCGCGCCGTCTCGTTTCGCTCTCTTCTTCGCTCCCTTCGTTACGTTTTCCTGATTAGCTGTTCCAATCAACGATTGTACAAAGTATACGCATTCGAAATCCATTCTCGTATTTGGCTTATTTGATTCCGTTATTCACTGACGCGGATTAAGTCGATAATTACATACGAGAATAGGCGATATGTATATCTCAATAACAATTAAACATACGATCTAATTGGGGTCAAATTCAGGGCCACTAAAATCCACTCGGTTAATGAGTTTGGTCAGCGACTGGTAGTGCACAAGGAACCAACTTGAATTTTAATACTAAAGATTTGGTTGTGAAAGTTAATGAGCTCGAATTCTGATGAGGATATCAATACTGCAGGAATATCCGGCAAACGAATAATAAATAGGACGAAATGTGCGTCCTAGAATTTTTTGCTAGACGCTCTCAAAACTTTGCTTAAAAGTGAGTAATATGACTTGGTAAATAGACAAAAAATTCAATAACTTGAGTGAAAGGAAATATTTGAGTCTTTTATTTACGTAAATCTTGTTAATTGGAAGAAAAACGATATTATTATTTCAATCGGAAAAATATGCGCTAATGCAAAAGTTATTTTAAAAAGATGATTAAAAATAACCATTTTTTGAGTATAAAATTCAGTAAATGTTTTCGGTTAAAAAAAATAAATCTCCGCAAATTTATTTTTGTTCATATTGTGCTATGTAAACACGAGTACCAGAGGCGAATGCAAATTGCACCATACGTTTGTTATTGTTATCATTTGTCTTTGGCTCAATAAAGGCCAATGAATAAATACCACTTGTCAATTCCGTTACTGATCCAACAACCTGAGTATTTAATTAATCAAATAACATGAATGTACAATTTAGTAAACATTATTGATATAATTGGATTGACACTGAACGAAGAACCGACTTATAGTGACAAAACAGAAATCGACAATAAATACAACTGATATAAAAAAGTTCCTAATGTCTCGTTGATCCGCGGTAATATAGCAAGATGACAGTCTGTGACTAAAGAATTATCACTTGTTGATAACATAATTTTACATATATCGTTAACTGATCTGAAATTGCAATGAAAAGCAATTGATTATTTCATACTGATTTGTCCAGCGGAAGAATAACTTACTCAAGTATTTTATTCCGATGGAATACCACCAGTAATCTAAATCTGGTATATAAAAATTTATATCTCATTGATGAGAGGTCTAAAATGTTAGTTTCTAATTTATTTACCTCATAACAATTTTATATACTACAAATGTAAGAGAAAGCTATTAAATTATCTATAAACTCTTTTCGATGGTAAGGTTACAAGTTAAAATTCCCTTCAAAATGCTTCTCTTTCCTCATTGTTTAGACAGTCCAGTTTAGTAAGACAGAAATTCTAATTTCCATCTGTTATTAGAGTGGTAATTTTGAACAAAAGAAACCATTGGAACTGGCCAATTAAAATGGATGTTGTATAAAATCGTCATTTCGAAATGTATTATAAATATTGAACTATTGAGTTGATGGTCTACAAGAAAGGATTTCCAAAAGTGCTGGTAACAGAAAATTATTTGTCCTAGTTCGTTCTTTTTGAGTGCTCGATGAGCTTTTCATCTATTTTCTAAATAAATTAAAAAGGTCTGACTCAACCAACACTATATAAGATGAGCGGATCCGGTACATACGACTTTCAAGTATATATTGATGAGGACCCAATGAAAATACCGGGTATTTTGAAGATTGCACTCAGAAACTTAAAATTGAATGAAAATTAAATAAATTTAGAACTCACATTCAATGTGAAACGACTGATAAGTTTTAGAATATTTGCATCTGACCCACCGAATGCTATGTAATACGGTCCAAGCCATTTTGCTACATAACCCTAAATACATAATAGAAGGACAAATTATATATATATATATATATATATATATATATATTGACCTAGTTATCTGAATCAACTTTGAAATGAATCATATATTGACAATTGCGGCACTGAGCATTCACCACATACTAATCGATTAGACGATTTATTTTACAGTTTACATAATGGATTGACTTTAGATAGACACGTAATTGAATTCTGATTATCTAGTTACTATTAACCTAAATCAATTAACAACTATATTATCTTATAAATAAGTTTATTAAATCTAGTATAAATAAGGAATTCATTTATTCAATAACTGTCTATGCAGTTATACTTAATGCAATATCCTATCTAGTTTTTTGATCTCATTATTTATATCTGATGGGTTGCTGTTGTTTCTTTATTTATTCGCTATAAGTCCTGTTTAACAATTCAGAATATAGGCACTTTTACAACAACGTGGGACTCCTCATCAGTGCGCATTCATGATCCGACCTCGCGAAATCATTTTATTGTTTAATTTATTTAAGTTTATTAAATCAAATTTTGATTGTGATATTCACAAACAGATATATTTGTTTTGCCATATTGGATAATATATTCAGTTATTGACTGGCTGTTGTTTATTTTTGCATATCATAAATTGATTCATGTTGTAATGATTAATAAAAACACTACGATTTTGTTTGCTTATAAGTTGTAGCTTAAATGTGCTTTGTTTTTTTTTTCAGTCATATGATGTCTTATTTATTATTTACAAGAAACAAAATACAGAATACCGATTTAATAATTAAGGCTGATTTTATCTGTCATGTTTTTAATGTTTAAGTAATGTGTTATATCCAGTAACTTCGGTCACTTTTCGATTGAATGATGTATAATACAGTAACGTTTTGACTAGAGATTTTATTTCAGGTTCTAACTTCTAAAATATTGTCTTTATCATCCTAGATGTTTGTCAGTACTATTTTGAAATATTCATAAACGAATATCTCGGATAACTGCAGATCTTTGAACTGTAATTTTTAATGAACATTACACTCTAAGATGCAGCACTCATCCACCAAATGAAAAGAAAACAGTGCTCGAAAGTGCCGGATATAACATACTGATTGAACACTAAAAACGTAACTTATGACAGCCATAAATAATGATATCAACAGTTTTCACTTAGATTTTGTAAATGAATTCTGATTAAAAAATGATAGAAAATAAGTAGTTCTTATTCTGTGACTTGTAGCAACATCGAATAATGCATCACTCAGGAAGTGTGCAGTGAATGATCTTGCTTATAGATTCTGAAAGTGTAATAATAAGATGGAGTCTGTGTTAAAAGTATGTGATGTGTCAGCGTAACACATTTTGTATAATCTGATCACAGACTTACGTATCAATGAATTTCACCTCAAACAAAGAATGTCACTTAAATCAGAAGTGACAACTGAAAGTATAAGAAAAAGGACATAATATAAGGAGAATATCAAGTTGTCACATGATTGCTGGCGTTAAACATATATTAGCTATTACCGAGAGAAGTTCAAAGTAAGGATAGAGCGTTTTTGAATAGAAAATTAATTCTCACGTTTTCTAATAGATAAGGTTTTTACCAGTTGACCGGTCTCAATTATATTCTTTGCATTAGAAGAATGCCAATCTACTCCTGAGGGTTATCTGAGCTTGCTACGTCAACTAACTCTGAAACTATAACGGTGTATGTTCCATCAGCCTGGATTATTTCCCGCCTTTTCCTAATTTACATACAGAAGATTTCAATAAGTGTCTAAATAAATTAGATAAGATGTACTGTCCAAAATATCACGCATTTTTGAGACAAGCTCCATCTTCTAGTTTCATTTTCAAAATGGTATTTTCTTTTACTATACACAAATAAACACTTGGTTTTTTAAAAGGATGTATTCTATAATGTACAGAAAAGAAAATGAGGTGGTTTTATTTGACTAGGAGTTTGTTAAGTATTTAGACCCCATGTACTCAATTTACTTACTTTACTTGGTCCATCATAGGCATCTTGAGGTATTTCAGCTACTGGTTTACAGTAGTATAAAGCTCCAGTTTGTTTATTTATGATTTCCCTTCCAGTTGGTATAGACAATTCATCACCTTGATGTTCAGCTGAATTATAAAATTCAATCATAAGCTCTTCATTAAATTTCCAAACCTTATGTAGATAAATGAAAACAATTTATGTTTAGAACGAAAGTAAACAAACGAAATTGAATTCAGTAATTTATTAAAGATATATAGTCTGTACAGAAGTTTCCTACGGATGTTGAGTAGTATTATTTCTTTTTACATTATCATCTCAATGTTGTTTGATTCTACCATAAAGTTCAGTTAATTGTTGACTTATTTCTTTAACTTATATATTTCTTTCTTAACAGCCAGACTGTAATCTTGAAAGGCTTTGAATTACAATCAAAAATACTTTGTATATTTTTAATTTGAATAAAAATTTATCTGAATACACTTCGTTGTTATGTAAATCTGTACAATAATGTTTTCTTATGGTAGTAGACGTTTTAAAAACACAATATTGCTACAATTTGTTGATAAAATAATGTCCTATATCGCCTAAGCTATAAAATGTTCATAACAATTAGTGGTTTTATGAATTAATTTCTTCATTCAATTCAGTGGAAGACGACGGTTCTTAAAACAGCTGAAATTTGTTATTATGGCTGGTGAACACTTAAGGTTAAGAAACATTTATACAACACTAAAGAAGCTTTCATTCATACTGAAATATACAAACTGACCGTTCAATATGCCGACCATATATTTCTATTTGGAGTTGTTTACGATACTGAATACTATTTACAGGAAAGAACTGTGCACATGAAGCGATAATCAGGTATCACAGTCATTCATCTCTATGTAAAATAGTCTCAGTTTGTATAATAATGTGCTGATTTGTACCAGGCTGCTTACTATGAAATCTGTTCTTAAAAATATTTAACAATAATAGGCTATTTAAATTTGTCTCCTGCTTGAATTTCATCTAAAACGGAAGTGTTATGAATATCAACATTTGGTGGTTAGTGTCTCTTGTAAGTAATCGATTTTATCTTTAAACTTCAGATAGAACAAGCGGTTTAACTGAGTTGAATAGCAAAAGAGCACAGAAGACAACGTAAACCAGTCAACTATTAAGACATCTCAATCAATTTTCTTTTATTGATTGATCATATTATAAGGATTCTACCTTTAAAATATTTTACAAAAACTCAAAAATGCTTCGTGATGAAACATAATAAAATATGAGGAATAACTAATTCATTTGTATTGGTTGTTTGAATCTTCCCACTGATATTTAGGACAGCAGCTGATAAATCTCTTTTGGCATACGCGCATCCGGTGCAGACTGGATCAATATGGCCGTTAGAACACAGGTGTCATATGCAGAGTCGGATTATGACTAGCATTAGGATCCAGGACACACTTACGTCCTATTTAGGACTCGTCAACTGGATGCATCCAGGACAAAATGTTAGTCTTGAGTTCAACTACAAGTCACAATTAAACAGTTAAAAAAGAATACCTGCTCTAAAAAGAATTTTTATCGAGAATATAACTTGTATTGTATTTAGTGAGAAGTGTTTTTACTTCCAAGAATAGTTGCTCTAGCTTTATGTTCTAAGATACGGTTTTACGAAGCCAATACACGGTGTAAGTCTAGATTGCTTTCATCAAATGAACAATCATTATTTAAACGATAGTTAACGATAGACATTTATGTGTTTTATACGTTGATAAATGATATATACTGTTTAAGTAAGAATAGAATTTCGAAAGAAAAAAATATGAATAGTTATAGGCATATTTCTTTTTATGTAGTTAATCTAAATAATAGTAAACAGTAAATATTAAACAAAACATAAGTATCTGTTTATTAATTATAACGTTTAACTTTTCTCTCAACTACTAATATTCAGGACAAAATTGGACAATCATTGTTAATATATATATATATATATATATATATATATATATATATATATATATATATATATATATATATATATATATATATATTACTTGCAAAATTGATTTATCACGGCGCCATGAACTTGATAATATATGATTTGATTCTGATTCGATTTCCAGTGCATCTGATCCACAAATATGAGGACCATAATAAATCCTAAAGATATAACGAAAGTAATAAAATAGGTGTTTTCTAATTGAGTTAATAAAATTAATTTTTCCTTTCTTGTTAATGATACACTGACAACTAACAAATAAAGTACAATAAAATTTATTTCCAAGTGGTTTTATAGTGATGTACGAAATACGGTCACGTCTAGAATGAATATAAGTGATAAGCTTTTATATTTCTGCAGATAATTTTATACAGAATTCTCATGGGGGATTAATCTAACGAAAGTGCTCATTGTGTGACGATGATAAGTGAAATCTGGATTAAATCTTAATTGAGATAGTATTCAAAGTAGTAGTATCCTGTATTGAAGTATGATTAGTAATATGCTTTGAATTCATATGAAATAGTGCTATAATGATCAGTGGGAAAAATAGATTTGAAATATATTTAAATGTGTCCCATAACTTAATTCCTAGAGCTCTTTTGGTTCGTGACATAAGAATCTTTTCTTTAAACCTAATCCGGCTCAAATATGCTTACAAAATTTGATAATCATATTTTTCCAAGTGAAATATTCTGCCAACGAAGACTGTTTCAGATAACTTTGTTATCAGTCAATATTATTGAAGCACAAGTTGGAACAGAATTGTAACAAAATAAGGAAATTTCGTTTATTTTAAATCCGTAGAGTTTTAAGTTGTTGAAAACTTTCGATATTAGATAAGCATCACGCTTTTATGAATGAAAAGTAATCAGAAATATAAATTTATCTGAACAGATAGTTCAACTGATAAATTCCAATAGTGTAATGAAAGATGTGGACTATTAATAAAATATAATTTATTAGATCAATATGCTTTGTACAAAATGGATACTCGTTAAACTCCACATACTAGTAGTAAAGCTTCGAAATTTTATGAGCTGCGACGTCTTTAACATTAGCAAAGCGCTTACATAACCCTACCATTCCATAATCAGCCAAAGAATTTTATGTTGAAATGAAACAAAATTCACAAAAGAGGTAAGGTCATTGAAATTTAAAAAAAGGTTCTCTGAGTTGTCAAAAATAAACAAAGGGGATCTAGAAGATTACAGGACATTTCGTTATGTCTATGGATTTACATGTGTATGTGAACATATACGCATAGGGAAGAGCAAATGTAATGTACATATAACTAAAATGTTACAAAAGTAGATAAACTTCATTTATTCAACAAGGGCTGATAATAAACACTCACTTTTTGCTACTTCTGGACATCTCTAGTGTGATAAAATTCAAAGTCATTTATACTCATATTAAACCTAAGCTTATAATACTCAGAGCCTTTCCATAGAGACCTTCTTATATCAACACTTATCATATTGTACATAATGACTATCCAGTCATTAGTATATAGGATTTCACTAAAGAAATAAGTGTTTACTTTTTGAATGATATAAATTTTTCATTAGAATTTTAATTTAAAGCAATTAGTCCCTTTTATAAATTTTGACAGAGCAATGAGAAGACGGAGTTGATCTGAAAGTATATATGTGACCAGATTGTTCAAAATGTATAGCGCTATAACACTATATTTTTCAAATCAACTCCGTCTTTTCATTGCTCTATCAAGATATCTAATCCTTTGTTCATAAAGGGTCTTCATTAAATCTTTTCACAATTTAAACACTGGTTCATACATGATTTTGACGAAAGTATTTATGTATGTATATCTAAATTGATGAGTAGCAACAGTATTCAGTATATATCTTACAGATATATATATATACCTATCAATAACTTCTAACTAAAATAGACAGAAGTAATTTCATTTAATGTATAAAAACAATTTATTCTATGCTTTTACAAAACTAAACATGAAATAATCTAGAATATTCTAGAATTATTCATTTATCTTCGAATAGTAATAAACAATAACTTAAACAAAAAGATGATTGCATAATATTAGTATACAAAAAAATATTACAGATAATAATTATAAATAAACAAAAGAATTACCATAAAGAATGTAAATATCGATCATCCCATATTTGTATTGTATCATCCCAACCACCGGTAATAAATATATGCACATAATCTTCATAAACAGCACCACGTGAATGATATTTCACAGCACATATACGCATTACATGTCCATCCATTTTTTCCTTAGTAAAACTTAATTAAAATATACGTTGTCATAATATAATAACTAATAAATGTTAAGAATACTTATTGTAATCTTTCTCACTAACATGCAGAACTAAAAGTTTTATCATATAAAAATTAACTTATTAAAATAGATAGTGAAAAGGAAATTGTATATGTAGAAAAATCAGTGATCAATGTTAAAAAAATAAATTCAATGCTTTGCTCGACAAACTGACCCAACGTTTTTCATACTAACAAACAGGTTTCACAATACCACTGTGTGCCTAATGATTTCTCAATATGGTAAAATGTTAAATTTAGAACTTGTAGAAGTGAGAATATGAGTCTCTTGGTGTGAAATATGATGAAATTGCAGTTGATAAAGATGTTCATTTAGGTATATGCAAGTCTGACGTAAAAAAACCATTGATCATGTTTGGCTCTAGGCTATAATCTGAGGTAAAATTAGGTAGTTAAATCATAGCGGTTATGAGGGAGTTGCCCACCAAAGACAATGGATAACGGTTGCGTCATATTATAGACTATTATAAGTTAGACTTGTACACCACTGAATCCCGTCCAAATGGTCTAAAGTTTAAGCGTTCGTGAGCGAGATCAAATGTCCTAAGTTCGATTCTCGCCTTCAGGGTCATGGATGGACAAAACGGATGTCTATTGCTTCAAGGTTTTCAATGGTTGTCGGTTTGCGATTTCAATAAAATTAGTTAATGTAATTGATAATCAAACCATTCATAAGACGATGGTAAATAAATAAATGTATGCTTGTATTGTTATGTTAAACAAACTGACTGTACAAGGCGTATCCAATCATAATCATTGGTTGAATCTAAGTTATTGTGGTCCACAAAACGTGATATGAAAAATGATTAGTAAATAAAATTTAAATTTATGTATTAAATGATAGTTGCGATGGTCCAGCTAATTGTATTCATTCTTGTCGATCTGAATTTTTCATGTTTGCTCATAAATGTTGGGTTACACCCGTCAGTCTTTGTAAGAATCGAGAATATTTTGAAGGACTTTTACCGCTTCCAAGTCGATTATATGTCCGGTTTCCACTAAATTCAATAATAACACCAATTTATTTGCAAGTTTTCTGACGATTTAGAAATCAGCTATCAGTAAAGTTTGTATTCCTACACCCTCACAGTCAACTGTTGTGATGTCTCCCCTAAATATCCAACACTAAAGTCATTACATTCGATATCATAAACACAATTCGATGGTTCTTCTTTTGGCATTGTATCTTTGAATAACATGATCAGCATTATGGAGACCGATTTATTTAAGGACAATCCACAGCACGTATTATAATCATCCGGAGAACCATCTAGAAGGGAACAGGATTGAAAAGTTACTACGTATTTTCACTATTGGACATTTCAACAATCTATTTCACACCTCACCAATATTTGAACTCTGAACGTTGTAATGAAAGAAATACCTTTAAATCACTGAGTTCAAACACAATTATTCACTTTCTTTTCAATTTGTAAGATTAAGTGAGTACTATCCAATTGAGTTCAACCATATCAATAATAAGACAAATATTATTAACGAAAGTTGATTTTGGTTATACAATAGACCATACCTTTTTTGTCTAACTAGATTAGTTTCTATAAAAATACACGCTACAAGAATAATACAGTAAACATTAAACAAATAGTACACCACAAGCATAAACCTAGGAGTAATCTTTTCTGTTACAACTAGTTTATTTCAGGTTAGCACAATTTATTAATATTCAGAAGAAGGGAAGTACGTTGATTTAATAGGAGAAAAGTTTTGTTTATTCGGAAGATCAAATGTTAGCGGTTCCAAGATATAGATATTTTTGACGGTAGGATTCACAGATATTTCCTTGATTAATTGATTTGGTCCCATACTCCCCAAAGACTTTCATATTTAACCTGTTTCAGCTCCCATTTTCATTGAAGTTAGTGGAGTACATTTAGTAATTATCTTAGTTACCGTTGATTATTAACTCATTAAGCTCTATTATTTTCTTAACCCGTAATGAAAAATTATTTATGAATTATTCTTTTATTGGTTTAATTTTATTCAAGCGACTCTGAATTTATTCATACAAACACAGCATTTGTCTCGTTTTTAATGACTACAGTTTCCGGTCAGATAATAAGTCAAAACAGGATGCTGTTCAGTCAGTTTATTCAAAAATAGGTTTTTGAGTGAAGGTACTCCTTAAAAAATAACTCAACTTGCAAAAATCTACCTAAGCATTTGTGAATGAATGAGAACTTGCTTACTGGTCCTATATAGCTTACTTTCAGTAATATAGTATATGTGTGAACCAATTCAGGGCAAGTTTGCGGATTTTATCAGTTTAATTTCATATAACCCCCTGGTTATCCAGAGTGCACATAGCTAATCAATTAAATCAAATTGATTCTATCACATTTCTAACTGATCAGATTTTATATATTTTTATATCCAAAATATAAATTACACTGAAAATTTCTTTCAAACGAAACAGCTAATCAGTTGAGTTCGAGTAACTTTCGCTACACAGATGCAAATATTTTAAACAATTTTATAAATATTATCTTATCCTGGGTTCGGATCTCGCGGGGTGGGGTCGTGGATCCACACTGCTGAGGAGTCCCACAATAGGACGAAATGGCTGTCCAGTGCTTCCAGGTTTTCCGTGGTGGTCTAGCTTCAATCGACTCATAATCTCAGCTATTGAAATTATACATTCATTGTGATCGATCAAACGATTGTTTAAATTATTTTAACCGAAATGATCAACTATTCATCGAAAAACAGGACTCTTTTTTCCACAGTGGACAGAGTATAATACAGACAAACTTTTATCAATACTCTAGCTTTCACAGTTTTATTAACAAGACTAAAGAAAACGAGATCACATAACCACAATTATCCTTGTGAAATTAAGTTAATTTACTGATCTCTACACTTCTACTGATAATCTCGTTTTTTTAACACTGAAAACTTTACTAAACAAGTTGTAGCTTAAATCATATACACAAGTAATAAATAGTTTAAACTTAAAATATAAAGAACCAATGTTAAAATAAACGAATGAAAGAATAATTCTTAGTGTGTAGTAGATAAGTTCATCAAAGAATTTCGATTATAATAAATATGCTTAGATTAAGTAATTAGATGGTAGAATATTTACAATAATCTATTGTCTCCTAAACACTTTATCTTAATTTTATGATAGAGATGTTGGGTGACATAAATTATTTGATGCATAAAAATTATGATTGAAATTTCCCTTCACTTTTTAAAACCAATGCTGGTATTTCTTTGTACTGATTAGTCAAAGTTATCAAAACTTAAAATACACTGGGTTCATAGTTTTTGTACATAGTATGCTTCAAATTTATTAAGTTTACTACTATGTAAATAAATAGTAGTGTTAGTAGCAATCATGAAAATTACTACATTTTAATTAGTAGATCTCAACAACTATGGGAAAATTACACAAAAGCGAATTCAACCTAAAATATAACCATCTCATATAACCTTGAACTGAATCAACATAAAAAGTACCATTTATACCAGAAGAATACAAGTGTCAGTTTAATGGACAACATTAAATATAACGTTTTGGAATGATGTAATCAATGTCTGTACTAACTTTTATAGAAGGACAAATCATATGATTTCTTTGTTTAGTTAAATGAATTTTTTACAAGACTTAAGTAACTATCAAATATGTCACAAAATAATTAAAGTTTAGTTTCCAAGATTATATACAAAAGAATCACTCAATAATGAATTTGATTTATATTGTGAAATTGTTCTAATCTTTAACATGTGATTCACTATTTACAATTAAAGAAGACTTTTCTTTTTTTTAATATTTACTTGAATACTGGAAATCGGAATTCGCTTTTATTTTGATCAGCTACTTGTATGGAAAAATAAGATTATAAATAACACATTCTTTTTTTTCATAAGTACAGTAGAAATATCAGCTGATGTTGTTAACAGGTGAAACAAAAATAAACATAGTGTATATTGGCTTGTAAGTGATTGTCATATATACTTTAAGAATACTTTTGAAATTGATGTATAATAACCATAGACCGTTTTATAATTATAGTATTTTTTATATGTATTTATCTAAGAAATTATCAAAACTCAAAAACCGATTGATGAGATCATTCCCACGTCAGATATCTTCAGTCAATCGTAGACAAGGTAGAATCTGATACGAATAGGTATCACTTACGTTTTTATACCTTACAACAGCATATTTACATGTATTTTCAAACGTTAAGTAACAAAGAAGTCCTAAAAACGTTACATTAGCCATTATATAGACCGTATAAATATTAGCAAAGATTTGCTTGTTTAATTAGGAAAAGTTAGGCAAATTATTGCTCTAATTAGTTGTTTTGAGATTTTCTACCTCAATCAATGGTTAATAAAGTGTCATCTGACCATAAAAGATGCATTACATACACGTATATACAATCTGTTAATAAAATTTAAAAAAAGCATACATAATTATAATATAATTATGACTGAAACTTTTGAATGAATTAGATGCCAAAATAATACTCCACATTTCATCTCTATCTGTCACTAACTTTTAAACAGTTTTAGTCTTAGTTATAGAGCATCACCAGTAGATTAATTATAAATAATCCACATGTAAAATTCAGGAGTTATTGAAAAGTTGGGGATTTATCAGATGACATCATATAATCTTTCTTCAAAATAAGCTATATATCAAACAAACTACATTTTATTATTATTATGAATGGGTGATAAGATAATATGCATTTTGAATGTAATAACAGAAAGTCTGCTTATCTGAAAAAACATGTTTGTAGTTTTAAATGCTGATTTTATTGACATAAATAATTTTATTAGTAAATACTAATATATACTGAGATTCCTATACTAAGTTCTTGATTCTCCACCTCTATTTATACAACTCAATATTCCTACAAAATAAAAATCATTGAATTTTATTGATGGAGGAAGTTTTAAGTTATCAATTATTTTATCAGAGTTTCATTAGAAAAACGTAGAAAAGATAGTTGGAACTGATCTTAATAAAACACAATTATATGAATGAAGAATATCCCTTTTGTTGGAGTGATCCAGAAATTTGCTTGCAAAAGACAAGCAAGCATCAGGAAACACTAAGAAGCGTTTCATCCAGTCGGGGTTCACTTGGAGTTTCGGCCAGAAATATCAAGGAAGCGAAACGTCACATGCAGAGGCTCTGATTGGTTGGCTGCTACACTGCCATTATGTTTAGTAGCATTTCAGAATCTTCTAGCAACCCGAGGACATTTAAAATATTATAAGAACCCTGTATTTTCTGTATTAAAATGAACCTTGGAGTAAACTACTTCTCGCATACTTTGAGTCTTCTCTCTCGTGTTCAGGTCGCTGTAGAGTTCTAGCTTGGGGGTTACAGAATAGCTTGGGAGACGAATATAGCGTTCAATCCGCAAGACTTACCACTTTTCATTAGTTGAGATCATGAGTCAATTAAAGCTAGGCCATCATGGAAGACCTGAAAGCAATGGACGACCGTTTCACCCTATTGTGGGCTCCTAAGCAGTGTGCATCCATGACTCCACCTCGCGAGATTTGAACCCAGGATCTATCAGCCCACAAAACCCCTTCTAATATCCTTTTCAATAATTTATCATCATGTTCTGCAATTACATATCCAAATTAATGGTCTATTAAATTGGCCAGGTTTAAGGCAGAGTACATCATTTAAAATTGTAACATGTCAATTAAGGATTGTTAATCACGTAAAATAAAATGAAATCATTAATGCTGGATTGACTAATATGAGGTGTTAACTTGAATAAGTTTATACGTTAAAAAACCAATGTTATATTAGTGTATGGATTCAAGATCTGACCGAAATTCGAGGTCATAACATTAACTTAGTGTATGGTGTATGATACCGTTAGACTCATCAGTCATCACCCACAGGTTCATATCTTCGAATCAACACGATTTACGATACAATGCAACTGTCGTCCATATGATATCAAAGTGAACGATTACATTAGCGAATCTTATTTTGGCTCGCTGGGCTCTAGCAGTAGGACATTACAATCCTAAGAGCATACACTTTTTAAATTATTAAAATATGATAAATTTGCGTTTACCTTGAACTACACATCCGCAAGCGTCTACGAGATTTCATGTCGTAAACTCTTAAATGACAATCAACCCCACCAGTTACAAATCGTTTACCATCATATGAACATGAACACGATAATATCTGATTCATCACGTTTTCTGCATTTGTTCTTACAGGAGCATCAGATGGGTTACTGATCCTTTCTTCTGTGATTGTTGCCAAGAGACGTGATGAATTCATTGCTCCTGTGTAATGCCATAAGCGTGCATGACCAGAAACATCTTTTTGAGACAGTATATCAGAAATAAACAGAATAGTCAGAGTAAAATCTCGTCCTAACATCTTAAAAATAACTTATCTTGTATAAACAACACATCATCTTTGTAATGCGTTGATTAGAACCTAAACAGAGTCCGTAGAGGGACTAAGCAACATACTGCAGCCCTAACTGACTTATATTTCAGCATATTGTATCGCTGATTGTCCGACTTATGTTTATAATAAAATAGTGACTAAAAGTCTAAGAGTTTATATTGGAGAGATTTAAATACCTGGTTTACAAAGGTGTTATTATTGATACAACACAGGGGAATATGAGAGATTATCTGAAGGTATTATTGAGTGATTTCCGTTCATAGAAACCCAACTGGTAGCAAAGTGATGTCGTTTATTAAGCGTTCGAACAAACTAATGAAATAAAACATTTAAATGAATACTGTGAAAGGTCAGGCATCTGGCATGTAGTTAGACTGACTGGGATAAGTTTACTCACCACTTAATTAAATTGTTTAGTATAAGCTGACAAAAAGAAGAAATTACTAACTCAGTCCACAAACAAACTGACTAATAACCCGATATTTACAAAAATAAGTTCGAAATATCTGCTTTGTTCCTAAAACAGACTTAAGATGGTACTAAAAAACGGTGTTTAACAGAATTGACTACGTCATATCTTGAGCAAACATTAATATGGTCACTTGTACCTAATATGGCTCAATTTTTAATGTTCCACATTCATAATAAGCTGATATGGAAATCAGCAGCATTTAAGGTGCTATTGATAAATATCCAACCGTGAATTAAAACATTATATCACCTATCGGAACTGCAAAGTTAGGAGTTTCATGAAACATCTGTTTCAGGTTTCAGTTCGCCCCTTTGGTTTATAAATGTGCATTCACGTTTTCTTTAAGTGCACGAGTGAGCGATTTCTTGCTAAATTCTAGGCGTTAGTAGTGTTTTCAACCAACTTGGAATGTTATAATCAGTGATACCACGTTTTCGCATTTTTTTTCTTTGTAATACTTCAATAAGTGATCAAAATTTCGGATGATGAAAAGATAAGTTATAATAAATTAATAATCTTTAAAGACGTTACACATGGTGACAGCTGTAGATAGTCCGTCATACTGGTTGGTATTTAACAACAGGAATAATCGCGGCTAAACTTATTAGTTGAAATTAACTGAAGTTACGAAGAACGTACTTGTTCCATCTAGTGTTTTTTTATAGAAGCTGAGATGACGCTAAATTTATTATCTGTGATAATCACGGTTACATCAGTCACAACGACATTTGTCTCCATATACACATACATAAACCTAGAAGTTTACTTCCTAGGCTACAATTGTGGAGGTACCATGAACTAAGAACCAATCTTAAACTTGGTTTCAATCTATCTTATGCCAAAATAGACCTTTCTACCTAAAATTAATCGACTGAAATCTAAGCGTTTACTGTACCTTTCGACAATAAGATTAAGACTACGCGATTAAAAACGAAATGTAGGAGGTTACGTCTAATAACTATATATTTTAATTGACCTGAAGGTATCTATGAGAATAAAAATGCTCATTAGTTTACAAATGACACTAAAACATACCGCAAAATTGAAAGTTTTAGATATTATCATGTTGTGACCTTGAAAGAGAATTGTTAATATAATGTGTTCCAATGCAAAGATATCACATTCAGCGTATATTTACGCGATTCATTCGTTCACTATCAATCCCTAGCTTTTCCTACAAATATCAACAAGGTTTTTCCATAAACGTTTCTTTGAAAACGTACACTAGCTTTAAGAAATTAGAGGAAAGGATTTACAGGAACAATAATACAACAAATAAATTTATAAAGAAAATTTTAAGAACATACACACGGCTAAAATTAGGTGACAGTTATCTTGAATTTGACCATTGGGTTCTGGGACAGGCTGTAAATCTGAACAAGGGAGAGTTTCGCCATCTGCGTTCAAAGTATAGAAATTATTTGTCTGCTTCTCACTATCTTCAGTGGATAATAGCTAAAAGGCGTTAGCCGACCTAAGATCAACTGAAAGTATTCATACAACAATTGTCCCATTCGAAAGGCCAATAATCCAGTATTTATTGTCATTTGATGTTCTCACTACCATTGCATTTACATTGCCAAAATCTCTAAATTCTCTTCATGACCCAAATTATATTTAAACTTACAACACATTCTGGCTACTTATATTTTCCGAAAACTTTGCTGCGTCTAAATTTTTATCAGAAGGTCTCAAAAATGTCATTAATCGAGTGTCAGTTTTTGACATTATTCCTCATTTAAAAAGTCGTTGTTTATTTTATAGGCATAGTGTCATGTATTATAACAAACTTCATTAGTGAATAAACTCTAAAAGATTTCAGTACTACTAAAGATGTTCTTTTCTCTCGGATTGTTAAGTACGAAAAATACTGAAAGTAAGATTTTAGATGAATGCTGTCTAGTACTAGACTACATGTTATGGCATATCAACAAAGAGGTTAACAAAATATGAATTAATTTGTCATGTAGGGCTACATTAGTTAACTGTATCCGTTAAAATGATTCATAGAATCTTTGTTTCTATGACTGCGCGTAAAAAGATTGTTCAAATCTGTCTTCATCTTGCAGGAGCTTGACGAAGTACCGTATATTATTAAACGAATTGAATGAGACGAAACATCTTCAGCAGTCTTTTCAATACCGCGAAGTCTGAACTAAATGTCAGGCGATTTTTCGAAGGAATTAGCTTAAGGTAATTAAGCAGACTTCACTAACTGAAATCATGAGTCAATGGAAGCTAGACCACCATGGAAAACCCGGAAGTACTGAAGGGCCGTTTCGTCCTAGTACGGGACTGCTCGGCCGTGCGCGTTCATGGTCCCTCACCCCGCGAGATTCGAACTCAAAACCCGTCAGTCTCGCGCCAGGCTTTTAAACAACTAAAGCAGATTGTTTGATACTTAATTTTGCAGTTTATAAGTTGTCAATATTACCTTTTGATGCTATGACGTGTTCTACACACCGGAAATATTTTTGCTTTTGGATGACATCATTGTTTTTTGATGAAAATGACGAAGTGGAACTCACTCTTAGTTCCAAATATATAGTCTGAGTAATTATCGTTAACGATAATGGAATGCGAGTGTATTCTTGAGGAGTCTCTTTTATGCAGGCGGACGACAACATATAGATACAGTGTAAAGAAATATTACTAATCTACACTATTTAACTAGTCATAAATCATCTTACATATAAAAATGTTCATTTTACAAATAACTGGTAGTCAGTCAAACAGTCATTTAGAATACAATTATATGCAGATAAGAATTGTGCAGCTAACACATCAATTGGATAAACTGGATTCTAGAAATATTAATTTTAAGTATTGTATAGTGACAAGGAGAATCGTCTCACTATGCTTTGTGATTTGGAAGCTTTACTTGAGAGTGCATCATTAGGTAGCACAAACGGTGTCAACATAATTGTGGAATGTTTGCGGAACTATTCGTGATGATTAGAAGTACTTGAACGACTATACGAACTAGGAATCCCAGAAATGACGCAAATTAGACCAGATAAAACAAGGTGAGCTCAAACGAATGTACTTTATTTGGACTTCAAAATCAGGCAGGCATCAAGTACAAAAGAATCGTTAGTTCAGACAATCACCACAATCGCTACAACTTAAATTGGAATCTAATTTTCAGTAACTAATTGTACGTATTCTCCTGAGGCTCATTGTACATCTGTCAGACTGTGTGTTGAATAAAGTATCTGTGTGATGTAGAATATGCTCATTAGTAGTATAATGAATAACTGAAATTGGAACGGACTCACCTGGGTCTTGTAATTTCATGTGATCAGAATGTAGGCTATTTACTGAAATCACTAATACATAGAATTTGAACCCCAGAATTTCCAAAAATATTTTTTCCACGAAATAATATTGAATCTTCATAATCCCAAGTTAAGTATAAAGAGGTTCCCTTTAAAACTTACTTCTCAAACCGACTTCGATTATTATTCTATGTAAGTATCTGGTGATACACATATAATTTGAGGCATTCCATCATGTGACTTCGACTTGCATAAAAATATGATACTTATTCCTTTTGCTTTTCACGCTAAAACACACAAAAACATTGTTCCAGTTATCGGATAATTGTACACTGATATGTGCAATTGACACATGTGATTCATCTGCAAAACAATCAGATGAAAAATATACATCTGCTTCATAATGATTAGAATAATCTTTGATACGATTTAAATTTCCTGCCTATTCAAACTTCATATCTGGTCAAACTAGGTCTCTGACTGCTTCGAGAAAACTTGATATTCTTTCGGATTCACCACATCACTGACAAAGAATTACTCTCGACACATAATGATTGTGAGAATATCCAACATCTGTTAAAATAACATCAGAAACGTGACTGGAAGTTGATTCATTTGGAACATGTTTGTCAAATTCATTGTGGATGCCACTAAAGATGAATCCGTTAAGAGGACAAATAACCTCAAATGTGACACCATAAGGACTGTAATGAGATTTTAACTCATTTAATACTTGTTCCACACATGGGAGAATGAAACATTATGACAAAACACAAGAAGCATGTTCATTGTGAGGACAAATGACATCTGATATGACATCACCATAATTTGATTCTTCTGAAATTTTTTTCGTCAAATTTATTAAGAATGTCATTGGATAGTAACCGACCATCAGAAAAACCAGCATCTATCAAAACTGAATCAGATTTTTGATCATGATTTGATTAATTCAACATATTTTTCTCAGATTTATAAGAAATTTCATCAGAAATATGTGAGTTGTTAGGACAAACCATATCTAGTACAATAACGTGAGAAATCCGAAAAGACGTTGATTGACCAGAAGCTTTTGCCTCACAATGATAACGAGTCTCATTTAACTTTGGACTACCATATGACTACACTGTTTTTCGAAGTCGTGGATAAAGATGAATAATAATCAGAAACACCCAACTTAATCTGATCGGAGTTACAAGATTCAGTATTGCTTGCAGCGAAATCAATAGTAGTTTCACAAACTGCCTGGGTGTGTCCAGTCATAGACAACGCACAATTTGGTATGACCAATGGATAGATACTTGCCAGGACTTTGAACGTACATAATTGCTCGGCAGTGGTCGGTTCTGGATAATCCACGATGGCTGCCTTCTTGCTTGTCAGAAAGGCAGATGACTCGAGCTTTTATAACGTGTCGGAGAAAATCTACAGGGTTGATCCTAACCTGACATTTCTGAATGTTTACATTGATGCCATGATCTTTAAGTCGTTCGAAAAAATAAGGTTCGGATGCTGTAAATGAAGTTTTCTGTCCTGACATACGATTAAGCGATCATCTTCATAGAATAATATGAATCATTATTTACACTAGACATGCCACTTTATAGGCAATGTCGATTTTTTTTACAAATGCTACGGGCTTTACTCTAACAGGTTACTTAATTAGGTTGACATGCTACAAAGCACATGGATAATATAAACGGGATAGATTTTCGTACATAAGAATATTAATGCTTGTTAGACTGATTTTCGGGGTTTATGTTGCAACAAGCAATTAGATGTCGACAATGAATGGAATCAAAGTTCAGGGCAGTCAGCCGAAGACACCAACTCGAACATATTAGTTTGTGTTTCTCGACAGTGTCCCCGGATTAATTCCAGAGGTGTAAGCGATGGTGCGGTGTAATTTCATGTTCCACAAATGTTTTCTGTGGTATAGCACGAAGATGCTGAAAAAGACGTAGTGGCTGTATACGCGTAGCCACATGAAAGTATTTCGAGAGGGTGAGCTGACTCTCCCTACTCTCGGTCGTACCAGGGCATTCGGGGATACTGACATAACTTACGTAAGATACAGGTATTTCGAAAGAAAAAAGTGTACAATGCAGAATACAGAACATAGGAATAACATCAGATTACATCTTAAGACTAAAAGTCTTTACGTGACACTATGAAGGGTCTGTACATACAGAAAGCTAGTTTGTAGTAACCTGAAGACATCGTATAGAAAATTCGGCAGGCAGAGTAACTTACAATGACGGATGGCCTATAAACACGTGGCTATGTCTAACATATACTGCCCTCGTGATGTTCACCAACAGTTATTAACACAATAGGCCAACTAACTCATCAACGGGAGCCACGTCATATCAATAATCTAAATGACGAGTGCGTGTCATTGAGCAAGTGGTAGACATTCATGTATGAGTGCTAACATAAGACTAAGTCTAATCCAATAAACTTCTCACAGTTTTAGTGTACCACTGAGTATATTGCATATAAGGAGTTTGTGTATGGGTATTAGTCCCAGGCACCGCACGGCATAACAGTTACTTCATTGGATGCTATTTTCCAGACAAAATGTTGACATGACAAATTTGTAATGGGAGATTTTACTAGTTTACATTACATGATTGGATCCACTAAAGTTACCGGTTAATTTTTTAATAACATAGAACAAGACAATTCATTGCGAAGGTTTGGTCTCAATGGAGAATTAACAGCATAAAAATATAGTATAAACAACTTATAACAAATGTACAAATTGTTGAGAAATTTAATTCTCAAACAGTAGTTTTCTTTAAAATTGTTCGGCGATACGATAAAGTGGATAAACAAGAAAGTAAATAAACGATCTACTGATAACAACCGTACAAATCTACTGGGGCGGTCACTCTAAACTTTTTGAGAGCACTCATGGTCTAATTGACGTCTGTTACAAAACCAAACGCGAACTGATTCTCTATCACAGCCAATTCTTGATGCCAATTCAGTGAAATCAGTACCTGGCAATGGACAATAGAGTAAAACAGGTGAAATCTCACTGGCGTCATAACAACAAATAAGTGGAAATCATAAGGATTAATATTCTTATAGATTACATTCCTATTTAAAAGTCACGACAGGACATAGAAAAATCCCCAGCTATCATAGAACACTTGCAGATTATAGTATGCTGTAGAACAGTATAACACTGAGATAATTTGAACAGAACATTTTAGTAAGATGTCAGTATATTAGAAGAGAAAACGAAGTTAAATACCAAATCCAAGATGACAATTTGTTGAAGTATATAACTTTGGTTTGTTTGACTTCTTAAAAGTTTACTTACAAAATTTAGTTGAGTTGCACACTAAAGCAACATAGAAATCATTAAAAAATAACCAGAAAGGAAATAATGAACAAAGTAAATAATACTGTATACATAAATTATTTTGTCAAAATCAAATCCCATCCGTTAGAAAACTTAATGTGAAGGAAAATGCACAAAGTTAACAATGTGAATTGCTTTAGATTACTCTGTTCTTTTATGCATAAATTAAGATACACGGGAAATTCGACGAAGAAAAATTGTTCGTCAACTTTAAGATCAACAGAATAAGCCGAAGTAGCTTATAAAAAAACTCCTAACGTTTACTACTATTTGAATTTAGTACTGATACTGTCTCGATAGACAATAAAAGCTTCACGAATACAAACAACCTAACACAGAGAATGCAGTTTCAACAAATTCACCAGAAAGTCATATATATGACGTATACATACCTTTTGGTCGAGTATTTGTAGAATAAAATTCAGTTAATATTGATAAAGCTTTTGGGGAAAAATAAGTACGGCGCCGCCGACATCTTTTTTGTTGTGGATCTGGTAATTTACAATTGGATTCAGATATATCAGAAGTTAGCTCCGAAAGTGAAGAATGATCTGTACGACAATTGGCAACACAATCATTATCTTTGACCTAGAATAGAAACAAAAAAAGTTTAAAAGTCTGTAATTAAATATTTTGTAAAATTAAGAGTAAAACATTTATTAACATTTTATTTAAACAATGAACCGATCTAACTTACACTAATCGTGAAAACCTACAAAAAGTGGATGTCTGTTTCGTCCTAGTATGGGAATCCCCGAAAGGGAGTCTCCACAACCCCGTACCTGGGAATCGAATCCGTGAACTTCAGTGTCACGCGTGAACACATAACCTATAGACTACTGAGACAGCATCCAACAGTGTTAATGTCCAACTTAAAATGCCAGTTTCCATAAGAAATGTCATCTATCAAACTGATTAAGGATTTGCTGTTAATTAAAATTATTGATTGTCTTTACGATTAGATCTATGCTGACAATCATCTGCAAATAAATCGTTGCTCTTACGGTTAGTAATTCAATTTTAAACTGAAATGTACAGGAAAGCTGCAAAAAAGAAAAAACGTTTGTTACCACAAAGTATAGTTTAATGTTTAGTTACCGAGGATAACGCTAGTAAATACGGTGCACTACATACAAAATCTAATAAAAAATAATAATCGAAAGTCATATTCATTAATCTTCATAGTACTAACATACCCTGAGTCGATACTTATATAAAAAAATTCAGATGAATCCAAGTAACTGTTTTATAACATCCCTACTTACCTTAACAAAACAACATGATATTCAGGTGTTCACTTCTAAATAAAATCTAAACGTCAATTAATAATAATTGTAGAAATTTAAAAACTATACTTAGTAAAATACTACACAAACTTATCACAGAAGTTTTATACTTTCACAAAAATGAATTACTGACAATTAATTTGGCTCCAATAAAAACAAAAACCGACTAAAACGTCAATACTTAGAAAGAGAGGATATTCATATTAAATCTAAGTTTCAGGATAGGATATCACAATCTCTCTAGCCAAGTTAGATGACTTATATCAGTGTTTAAACAAAATTTTAGTTTAAACTTTTAAACAATTTAACTTAGTAATCAAGTGTGGGTTCATACACTCAGCTTGGAATCAAACAATTCACGTAAGGATCAGCGATACTACTGTAGTGAACGAGAACACAAGTGGGGACAATCGAATGTATTTGAACACAAAATTACAGAATCTCTTAGCAAAGTCCGAGAACCATACAGTGAATAATTCATTTGCAAAATATCAGTCAATCTTCTCAGACTTCATTTTTCCCTCGTTTCCACATCAATTATTCTCTGTTCTTGTTCTCTTTTCTCCGCCAGTTGTTTCACTTTCAACTGACGATACATACCACATATCTATCGATATCGGTAGCACACACACCACACTACCAGTAATGTAGTAGATGAATCCAGGTTTGAGTTTGAATTCGACGATTGTAAGTTAAGTTCTAGAATCACTGACTTTTCTATCCAATACTTTATTCGTCGTAGATAAGTATTGGGCAGCCAGAGTTTAGTTGAAAATTAAGTACATTATTCACTAACTCTCAAAAGAAATAAATGACAGTTTCCTGTCTGCATCGGCCTATGATCTCTCAGAATCCAAGCTCAAACAGTTACTATCAAAAAGCTGCCATTGATTAATTTGATTTTCTCTTTGTGTCTATTCTTTTTATACGATTTACGCCAATGTGTTATAATTAATTTACTTGTGACTATGCTGTTATGGTAAAATATTTGAAGTCAACTCAATTTGTGCAATTTTTTTGCAAGGTTAATGTCTAAGTTAACCCTGAGGTATACTATGTACACAACCAGATGTATTTAATTTAATTTTAAATGGACTGAACTATCGCGTTGTTGATATTTTGACTGAAATTCGATCGGTCTTGGTTGACATATATGTATGCTATGTGGGTTGTCTGATACAGTCATTATGACACAAGCTAGTGTAGAATAGAAGGAATGTGCTTAGCAATGGGATCCGAAAAGTGAGTTACTATCCGGATTCAGTAGCTAAGTGGATAGCATAATAGCGTCTGAAGCGAACGGTACTACGTTTGAGTTCCGAAGTTAACATAAACTCTGGGATGCAGGTACATCCAGCTGACGAGTACCGAATAGGAGGAAATGCGCATCCTGGATCCCACTGCTAGCCACATTCCTTTTATTCTATACAGGTATATTTAGATAAGTATTTTTTAGTCTCCCTAGCTGTAATTGAATTATGTTATGAGGCATTTTATGATTCAATGAAATCGAGCACGAGCCTTTTCAAACAGATAAACTAAGTATCCATAATGTAATACACGCACTTGCCGAAAACGAGCTTAATCGTAGTTTAATAGCTTGATGTAGGACGAAGTAGTTTCATGTCAAACTAGCTATTACGAATTTATCCTGTCGGAAGAAATCATGAAGTTTGTGTGTATTGCTGTCAACTGGTGACTTACTTTGTTTTAAGACTTTGGCTGGTGATATCCTGTAACAAGATATCACACGTCCATATCATTACCAAACGTCTGCTCAAATTCAACAACCACTAAAATTTTAATCTGTAGGATTAAATTTTCCTAAAGTGACTGAATAAGTTACAAATACAATAATATGCTCTTAAATGGGGTAAAATTAATTGGCTACATTCAAATGTTACAATAGTGGTTAAGAGGTATGAACTAAAATAGTGGAGTTTAACCGGGTCAGTTGTGAGATAGTAACTCACTGATAACAATGGTGGATGTGTCGCTCAATTTTATGGATTAGTTGAGGTTAGACATTAACACTGTTGAATTCTGGCTTAGTGTTCTAGTGGTTAAGGGCTTGCGTGAGACTGATAGGTCCTGGGTTCGAATCTCGCGAGGCGGGGTCGTGGGTGCGCACCGCTGAGTCACACAGTAGGACGAAACGGCCGTCCAGTGCTTCGAGGTTTCCCATGGTGGTCTAGCTTCAAATGACTCATGATCTCAACTATTAAAATAGTTGAGTTATTTCAAATCCTATGATGTGTAAAGTTATATATTTTATCAAGACGATCTTAGAAAATAAATATACTGGGAAAACGAACGTGTATTCCCAAGGTAAAGTATCCATTAACAGATAAACGAGAACCAATTATACTTACTGACCATGTTAGCAAGTAGTCTAGATGTTATAATTTATAAAATTTCGTTGTCATTAGTTTTACAAATTAAACTAGTTCTTTAATGTTATCTGTACACTGAGTGAATATGCATTAAGCTCTTTTAGAATAAGCATTTTGAGAGTGGTTGGAATTTTTTCACTACCTAGAAATGAAAAGGATTATTTGTAAGAGAAATAAAAATATGACAGATGTCCTAGTCTCTCATTATTTCACATATAAGATGAAAGCACTTCTACTAAAGTATGTTCACATACATTTTCGTGAGCACATCAAAACAATTGTAGGAGGAATTACAGTAAGCTATAGCTTTAAGCAAAACCAATGAATTAACTATTATCTCTCTATCTAGCTCATGATAGTTTGATTTTACTTCCACAAGATCAGTAATATGTAGTTACTCCGATTTAAATAAGAATAGTATTAAACCTAAGATTACATTAAACTACAAGACGAGCAAAGCAAATGTTTAGGGATAATTTTCAGATTAATTTGTGTTTTGTGTAACAAGAAAGACTTTCTACGCACTTTTTGTAAGTTTCTTCGTACACACACAAAAATGCAAATAAACACACAACAATTAAATATTACAATGGTAAATAAAAAAAGATAATTACTTGTTTCTTTACGAGAGCTAAAACAGATGAAGTTGACGAAGAAGAGGATGAAGGATTATAATCGGTACGACCTAAACGAGCCAATGTAGTTAGACGGGAGTTGCCTACAGCACGTACAGGAATCGAATGATGAAAGACAGACAATTTTTCAATAGTGATTTGACCACATTGATTTTGTTCAGTATGTGAAATCCAACGTTTTAGATAAGGCAAAAGCCGATAAGCAGATCTAACAGTGACGTTTAACTTCTCAAACCTGATGAAAAAATTTATCAGAAAAAGTTATTAAAACATAAATCCTCATAAAAGTACGTTTGATTTTATTTAATTCTGAATGTACTGAATGTACAGCATATAACTTGAAGTAAACACAGATCTTTATGTCGTTTGACTACTGTAACTTATGTACCATATCTAGGTTTAAGAATTTCACTCTGAATCACACTATTTATGTGACGAATAGTGATACTATCCGACTATCTAAGCAGCAGTAGATGGAGTAGAATTCGAATCTGAAACCAAGTGATTGAATTCTAAGTGCTTCGACTACTAGATCGTCTCTCTATATGTTGAATTACTGGATTCAATACAAGTCAATGTATTAAGACTATCAACCAACTGACTATTTATATGGTTGAATGAATGAATGAAGTTGATCCACACTCATGATATATATGTATATATGTAGGATTTTTTTAACAAATTTATTTTTGTGGTTGAACATTAGTTGATATATAGTCAAAAGTATAGAGAAAAAATCCACAAACATTCAGTTAGGGGTCAATGATCATTAGGTAATAGGAAGAAATCTAACAATGTGAAATAAAAATGTGATTAATATACAAAAAAGCGCATTACGATAAAACTGCAATGACATTGTTAGAAAACTGTTGACAATCTTCTTCAGAGCTACAGTACTACAGTGAACATAGAAGTTGCAGATATTTCTTTAGGACAAATAACATTGCTTTAAAATTCTGAGTTGGCGAAATTTTAGTCATACAAAAGCATGCTATTCTTGTTTATTTTAAATTGTTTAGTAGAACTTCGATTGGAATCTCGATACCCATCTTCAGAGAAATAAGTGATTCAAATTGACGAAGAGGCCTAACAAAACGGCGCAGTCTTTGCTATACACGTTGGATTACGTTCAAGAGTGTTATGGCCGATGCAAATACAGTGATAAATGCAAACTAATGTGGCTGCATGTGCAAGATTATCATTCATAAGTTTCCAGTGGTAAAATACAATCCAATGATCTATAGTGTTGAATAGATATTGACGTATTTAAATAGAGAATATCCTCAGCAGTGTCCACTAAGAAATCAAGATTTCGAATACCGAAGAAACAAAGTGAGTGTTTATGTTCAGCTTGTGAAAAGGATATTACAATAAATGAATAGAAAATAACATGGACAGGAAGACACAATGAGATCCTAATAACTATTTTTTAAAGATAGTACAAACAAGCAAAATCAATAAAACATAGAGTAGTGAAAATAAAAAAAATTATAAATTGTCAGCAAGAAAATCGTTCAAAATATAACAAAATAGCAGATTAAGACAGAACGAGGTGTAGAATAACAAAAGTACCAATTAATTACAATCGATAAAACTAGTTTCAGGCATAGGAGATTAGATACATTTCTATATTTCTTTATAATACTTACAATGTCAACAAAAACATTTAACATCAAATCAGGAATAAAATATGAGCAAGCTGTATGGGAACAGAATAAAAAACTAGACGGAATATTTTCATTCTCAAAAAAAAATCTTACCTTGATAGAAGAGTTTGACTACATAAGGCTTTATCGTTAAAATGTTTTGAAAGCTCTATACCTAGTTGAACTTGTGAAAGACCTAAACGTAGACGAAACTCTCGCAAGTGTTTAACAAAATGCTCCAGTTCAGTTAAATTATGTCCTTGAATGATGATTTCTTGATTTTCTGATGACGTCATACGATTCTTCATTTTGTTCAATAGTTCACAAACTACAGAAAGACAAGAAATCCCATGAGGTATAAAAAATGAGATATTTATATGAATATTTGTCACTATGCACATGTAGGTTGAAAAGATTATAAAAATGTTAGGACTAAGTAAATTGTTAGCCTATGCAGTTTTATGTTGGTTGAAGTTCCTTCCTAACAGTGATTTTATTGCAGTTTTTCCTTTTATAGGAATGTACAAAAATATCATACTGAATGACTTGAGTTATCTGTCAACTTTTCCAGTAATTAATTTACAAAACAGAATTTATGGACTCTGTTGTCAAACAAGTCTAACCAAGAAGTGACCACAAGCAGACTTTTATGCTTATGCAAAATTAGCAAACATAGTAACGGAAGTCGTGAGCATTACTGTGAACTTGACCTCCTATCAACAGGAAAGAATGATATCAACTACACAAGTAATAATATTTTAGTAAAAATTACAATAATTCAGTCATTTTAATTACAGATCATAGATTACGCAACTATGTGAAAAATAACACCTTTTCATAGCAAAATAAATATTATATGAAAAACTTATGTGATTAAAATTGAAGTAATTCCAAAGTTTTATCCAGCAAGCTTGTCTGTACTCCCTCAGGACATCGGTCATCTTATTTATTTTTAAAAAAGTGTAAACGAAAACTCTAGGTCGTCGAAATGTATGTAAAATGAGAAAAGTTGAACAAATAGTTGTGATAATAAACTTAAAGAACAATTTCTTTGTTGGAAACAAGGTAACAGCATTATAAACAGGATGGATAGTAATAATAATAAGGTCCAGTTATTTAATTGAGCAGTTGCCAAAGCGTAACTGATTGTATACCGTCTTTTCTGTTTAGGCCCATATAATGTTATAACCGGACGAGTACTGAAAAAGTCAGAACTTTAGGAACTATTTTTTGCAATATTATTGTTTTAAATCACTCAATGATTAAACCTTTATATTCTATGTATTATAAGCTTCTATCTGACCCACTAACCATCATCACACGTTTTATTAATCCTAGATTATTGCTAATCAATTATTTAGTTTTTCCGGTTCACAGCCACTTTTGGCTTGATCGTGTTGAGCTATGGTCTTGTATTTTATGATATGACTTAGTCGAACTCGTCATGTGTATAAACCAATGAGTGCTTGAGATCACCGTTGGGCTAGTTCGTAGAAATATAACAACAGAGGCTCGGCTGCGAACTTATTTTCTGGACTCAAGAGTGGAATAGATGTGTGTGTTTGTGGGCGAACCAAAAGTAGAGAAGTTCAGGTTAGCTCAAGGCTAATAGTGTCGGTAAGGTCTCTGATCTATAGACAAATTAGTAGATGTGGAGTAGGAAAGTTATAATCATAATTCTGATTGGCAAACTTAGCTAGTGAAATAAAGCAACAACGATGGGCTAACCAGAACAGCCTGAAGATGTAAGATTGAATACAATTAGCTGAGCTTTGGTAGCTGCTAAATTAACAAATAACTGATATGTCTTAGTAGTGGCCAGAGATTTCATTTATTCACTAAAAATTCTAACTATTAATGACATGAAAGCGCACACAAATGTAGTCATTCTTTTCACATTGTGAACATTTTTCTACTCTGAAGACTTCTATAATCTTACTTTATAAAAACTAACATCTAGATAGGATTGGATAAACTCTCAATGTAAACTTATTTCTAAACTGGACAAATTGTCTTATAATAATGATGATTACCCTGAAGATGTTCAGATAAGCTTGCTGTGTGAAATGTTAAAACAACTTAAATTTCAACCACTGAAATTATTTTAAATAGAATTTTTACATACAATAACTTCTATGCACTTGATTCACAATTTTTGTGAAACATTTCGGTCAAATATGTAACAATTATCCATATGAAATTATAAAGCAGTTTTAAAGACTTAAAACGACTGAAATCTATATTCCGATGTAAAGATTTTACTATCGCTACTTGGAATTGGACATATCGCAGAATCCTTGCAACATGCAAACTTTATTCATTGAGTGGAAAATTTGGAAGTGCTTTGAGTAGTTTACACTGTGGTCACAATTTTTCATTACAATTATGAGTTGGATTGGATTGTAAGCTCATCATAAATTACCTTGTAAGCAAGAAAATGAACCTAATTAATAATTATAGAAACGAGATAAACTCGTTTTCTAAAAGTCAACTAATAAAATTGAATAAATGCTTCTAAGGCACTGAGATCTTCATCAATATCGGTTAGTTAACAGAATTCACTAACAACTGCCAATGAATGAAACTTTAAAGTTAGGTAATTAAACAAGTCAATTGTCAAGGTACTAACCAATTGAACAAAACATAGAACCAAATAGAAAAGGCCAACCCATAACAAACAATGCTGTTAAGTATGAAAGAGACAACGTTAGTTACCGATTTGTCCTAAAAATTTTGATCGTGAAATGCGAGACGAGGAATTTTTACTTTTATTCATATTAGGTGAACTGTTTTCACATTGTGGACGGGGAATGGTAGAATTAGCTGGATTTTCTAATTCTGGTACGTTCAAAGATGATGAATTAACTACTGTCTGTTGTGAACATGTTTGAACATGAGAAACATTTGTGCAATCCAAAGCTGAAGACTGTATATCTGTCTCAATACGTCCAAATTTACTAGGGAAGTTTATATCCAATATATTTGAACAATCATTTACTGAGAATTGTGGTATTACATTTTCTTGGTTTGAGAGACATTTATCCAAAGATAGATTTGTTGGTAAATCGGATGAATCATGCGAAAATTTGATATGTGGAAGTTTTTTAAGTATGTAACTTCCATTGGAATGTTCAACGAAGAAGTTTGCCAAAATTAAATGACCTACATGGTTAAAATTGTTATATAGTAAAAAAATAGTTGACTGGAGGTTCGATGGAATCGGTCAAAGAATATGTATTTATTGAATTCATGATCCTAAAACAAAACGTTTATTTGAACGAGTTCGTCATTAAAAACTAAACAGTTGTGTTAATATAAAGTAATATGAAGAACAATTTTGTTTGTTAGTACACATGTGAGTAATAAGTTGAATTCCTATAGTGTAGTCCGTATTAGATATTATGTCTTCAGAGAGAAACATTGGGGTTATGAATGGGGTATATTTACACAAAAAACATATGGAACTTATGGGTGATCAACAATAGAAGTCTGGTTCATTTTTTACTTCACATAAAACAGGAAAGAAAAGGAACACCAGTACACTAGAGCTAGATTTGTAGAAAATGGCCACTTTCTATGGTTTATAGAAAGAAATATAAAGCGATTCAGGGGTTATCACGACAATATATAAACCTTGATGGAATAGATGAAATATATAAGTCGTATGGCTAGGTTGCTACCACAAATATTCCACACAGCTCCTTTGGGAATATATTAAACTATATGCTTATTAGTAGATATATCCATAAAAGACAGACTATCAAAACTGAATAATTCGATGTGCATATATGTGTTTACCTGCTCTTATGAAGCTAGATACATAAAGACAGCACCATATAGATGATCGGATCGTTGCTTCCTACCAAATTCTGAAGGAAAAAAAACATACTGGTACCTTACAGAAATTACAAGAAAAAGCAGTCACTACTACTGTTCAATGAGTTATCATGTTGTATCCCCCACTGAAAGAAAAGCAACTTTTTGAGCAGTACAAATAATCCAACCAAGAAGAACTATCACACTTTTTTCAAAGAAGAAAACGTTCAGACCAGGAAGTCGACAAAATTATTTGAAAAATATGCTACATTAAGTGTACTATCAGTGTAGAGTAAAACAGCTGTTGTGCTGAGCTTTAAAAAGTGTATGTGATAGTTACTGGAGTAAAATTTGGCTGCACCAAATCTTAAAAGCTGAATTGTATTTTGATCGAAGTCAAAAAATCCATTATATACCCTGTATGTTTCAGATTTCACATTAATGACAAATTGGTTTTAGACGCTCAGTCTGAAACATACTTTGCACCATAAAACCATAAGATAAATAAACCAGAATAACAAGAATCTGTGACTGAAAAGGAGTCATTAATCTAAACACATATTGGCATTAAGATGTTGCTTCATGAGTTTCGCAAACTGTTGTTTTACTCGCCTGAGTGTCTTTGGCCCCATTTTCATAAGTTCAAGTAAAAGGGAAGTTAACTAACAGAGAAGAGATACAGTTTACTTACAAAAATGCTGGTACACAAGCTTACTCTATGATGAACACTGATAAATACACTAATAGCAATTGTTATTTGATGAAAGGTCAAATTGAAATCACGACAGAATACTGTACTCGAAAACTTAGAATCTTAAATGGACTGACCTTTAACAATTCTATATGGCTATACTTTTATTTGGCAACTACGATATTCAGTCAAACAATATGTACTTCAGAAACTATTGTCCTTACATAACTATGCTCGTATCAATTTGCAGAATACTCAGGTCTATGAGGCATACAATATAGTAGGGGGCAAAGTGACATCAGTCTCTGCTGCATTATATTTACTAAGGTTCCACCAGCACACATCTAACTAGAAAAGTCATTTAGTGAAGATTAAAATAGGCTGCAAACACTTACCTATTTCAGATATATAAAAGAGAATATCATTAGTCCCAGGGAAAGAAATAACTTCTGAAGAGAGGAAAACACAATTATAGGTTGTATTTGAGCCAGTTTCTTCGAAAGAAGTGTCATTCACACTTGAAAGATCCAAAGCCATAACTTTACGAAATGCAATTTTAAAGTATACCGACAAATAGTACTTAAATACCTGCAAAGAAGCAAAATTTTTTAAAAAAATATCGGGGCCTATAGTCGCCGTGGAGGCGTAATGAATGTGAACAACCAAAAACTAGACCAAACGTAATGAAGGTGTTGTTGTATAGCCTAAGACATTTAGATTCAACTATTTATCAACTCACAGTATCACTGGCTAAAAACAACAGCGATTAATATACTAAAAGTAATGAGATGACTGCAAGGTACAACAAACTGATTTCGTGCCACAGGAAGAGGAATCACGAAACACTACAGCACAGACATTGACAGAACCTATAAATGGTATGCATAAATGACTCCTAGTTATGAAAGTATACAAGTTTTACACTCAGTAATTTGAAAACAAACGGGTGAATACTAAGCAGATTATGCTGTCCTATTGTTAATTTTGACTTTGTTCTGTTGCCATAGTGTGTCTACATGGGTTAATGCAGATTTGACTGACTTACAAACCATTGAAAATAAAATTTCCAACCATATTTTATTTAAGTCATTTTTATCGACTGCAGCACGTACCAAATCATACCACAGGAAATCAGTGAGCAATGAGACAGGCAAGGGACAAACGAAACGCATTCAACTGTTTTCATTTTTATGTCATTTCACTACTGTTACAAAGGTGCAAGAGAAAATATCTATTGAGGTTGGTAGGTGTTTACTCTGTTATTGGACTCTGGAGAGAACCCTAAAATTGGGAGATTGTGAAGTTGATAATTTACAAACTTTTTGCTTCATGAGAGACATTTAGGCCAAATGTCTCACTGTTTCCCGAACGTATGTGGGAAATGAGCTTTGGTTGCAATACTCCCCAACTAACACTAATTATTTTGGCTAATGTTGCCTGTACAGGCAACATTGGGAAAATACATGTATTTTCTTCCAAAGTTCACTTTTATTTCACAAATCTTGTTTAGTTGTGTCAAAAAATGGCTTTTCGATAAATGACACAATTGAGGAGGGTAGGTTTAATATATCACAGTTTACTTTCAAGCTAATTTGAAGTAAAGCTCTACAGGTTTTGTAGGTGTTACCAATGACTGGACATTCGAAGACAAATGGGTAACCTTGAAGGTTTTGAAAACTGCTCACTGTTGTACAGGCTCAAATGACTGCTAATGGAACAGCATAAAAATACATTCAAGGTTAAGGATGGCTGACGCAAATTAGTCGATTATGCCACTTGGACTGGCTCATGTCGTAACACCATTACTGTGCAGTACTTTAGTATGTTCTCTCAGATAAATGATTTTGGTTTGGCACTATCCTATTCGTTCTGGTTAGTCAGAAATGAGTTTCAGTTTGGAAAGGATAAGCGGCTAGGTGGCCTGTGTTAGTCCTAACAACAGTGGTCTCTCAGTTAGTCTAATTTCGTTTTTAAGGCGTTGGCAGATGGAGCTTTAACCACATGTTGAGGTAATGAATTCCACAAGTTGATGATTCTATGGGAACGCCGATAGTCAGCCAACAAGTAATTTGTTCTGTGCCTGTGAACCTCTTTACAGTGTCCTCGTAAATTCCCTGTTTTGTAAGACAATAAAAATGAGGTAATGTAAGGTGCGAATTCGCCACTAAGTAATTCGAAAACTGTTATCAGTTCACCTCTAGTGTTTTGATATGACAATGGGATTAGGTTTAGCTTAGCCAGTTTATCATCATTCACGAGCTTTGCCGTCCTACGAGTTAGATTGGTTGGGATTCTTTAGACCCAATTTAACCGCTGTCTTTTTTTACACAGGGACTGGCCTCTTGCTTGCTGTACTCGAGTTTGGGACTCACGAACACTGTAAATATCCAGAACTATCGATAGAGAAACTAAGCGAGGAAGTGGTTGTATTATATATGCTTTGGATACCCTAACAACTAGTAAAGTTGAAGATAGTGTCCTGAATAGTTTACCAGAATCAGTCAGGATATCAGTCGACTCCCTGAATCATAGTCTACTCCTTGGATGTAAATACAGAGCTCCTGATGGTTCGAATGATGGGAATGATCTTATTATCAATGCATTTATACATGCATTTGCTCTTAACTTTAATGCTAAGGTTATCACTAGGTATGTCAATTACCCTGGGATTAACCGGAGTACCGGTAGTTGTCAGTCATGCAATGATGAGTTCTTGGCAACCATTAACATGCACCACTGGTCACAGTGGGTTCGTACCCTAACAAGAGGCGATAGTATACTCGATCTAATATTTATTAGAGATGTTATTCCACTATCTGTAAAAGTACTCGATGAAGTTGAAAGCACTGACGATAAGTTAGCAGTTTGCACTCTCCCTATCTATCCCTCTTATAACCGAACCATTCAAAAAAACCTGTCAATATAGAGGATATAAGCATGCTGACTGGGTCCTCCTGCATTCACTGACTAAACTTTCAGACTGGGATAACTTTTTTTCATGTAATAGTCTCATGGATGCTATCGACGAATTGTATCTGATTTTCGACTTTCGTTTGGATTCCTGTGTATTTCTTAAAACGTATATGTTTAGTAAACCTTATGAATTATATATACCCACTAAATATCGTAATAAACTAAGACGCTTACGTCAAATGACTTCACGGCAGTTACACAAATAACAATAATTTTTAATCAAATTAAAGAGAAACATTGGTTAAAATCCATTATTGAGGAGCTGTTCGCACTTAATACTAACTCAAAGGTACAAAACTTAGCTCTTCTTTTCAATAAACGAGCTAAAGCAACTCAAAATGTTGATATACCATGCAACCAGCATAATAGCAATTTTATATACGATTCTAAAACTATGGCAGACCTTTTCAGTTGTATTTTTGCGAATGGCGTAGGAATCATAAGTGGCTCTGCTTCAAGAGCTATGTGCGTGACTAGCAACACAATAAAATATATCTCCTCTATATGGATAAAAATTAATAAGGCTATAAATAACCTTAAGCTTTCGAGAGGTCATGGAGCAGACGGTATTTCAATCTTTCTCTACAAACAGTCCAGATATTCCACTTCTTCTTCCAAAGCTGTTTACTTTCTCTATGGGAGATGGTTCTTACCCATACGTTGGAAATCCGCGTACATCATATCACGTTACAAATCTTGAGATAAGACTGACATGAACAATTATCGGTCGATAAATATTACTCCAGTTATTTCTAGGATTATGGAAAAAGTTATAAGTGATGAATTTTCCAATTATTTACTTGCTGGAAAACTTATCAATGATACTCAACATCGATTTCTTAAAAATCGATCTTGCATGACATGTCATTTTAACTTTTTTAATTTGGTCTATTATCCACGTAGCCAAGGATATCTTGTCTTGGTGCTATATCTGGACATTTCTAAAGCCTTTGAAATGGTTAGCCATCAACGTCTTTTAGGTAAACTCGCATCTTATGGGGTTCAAAACGCTTTACTAGCTTGGTTTGATTCCTTTCTCAGCAACCGACATCAACTAGTTAAAATTAGCCGTTTATTGTCTAACGTTGTCCCTGTTAGAAGTGGTGTAATACAAGGTAGTGTCTTAGGCCCTTTGCTCATTTTAGTGTTTATCAATGATATTTGTGAAAGTTTTTGTGTGGATAAACCTCTTCTATGTGCAAATGATCTCAAAGTAGTATATTCATTTTCTCCACATGAGTTGAAAAATGTGCAAAATTGTATCAGCATGGAGCTTAACAATGTAGTACAGTGGTGCTTAAAATGGCAACTGGAGCTTAATACGGCTGAATGTGGATGGATATGCTTTGGTGATACATCACTCAACCTAGACATTACCATAAATAAAGAACTGTTATTTAGGTTACATACAGTAGTAGACTTAGGAATTAGATACTCTCAAGACTTGTCGTTCACAGAACAGATATTAAAACAGACCTCTAAGTCTCAACGTCTAATAGGTTATATAACTCGAAATCTTTACAACAATGAGTCACGTGTTTTAATGTACAAAGTTTGTGTTCGACCACTTCTAGAATATTGCACGTTTATTCTTAGCAGTGCATACATAAACGATAAATTAAGGCTAGAATCAGTACAGAGACGATTTACACTTCGTAGTCTTGGAGCTGATTGTACATTAATTTATAATTTTAGATGTAATAAACTTGGGCTAGACTCTTTATGGAAGAGAGACTCAAACTTAATCTTATCTTTTTCTTCAAACTACTTAATAAACTATCCTTTACATCCCATCACGTGATTCAATATGCAGAAACTTCTCATTATGACATCCGTAATTCCTTGTCACTGGTGAGACAATCTTATTCTAAATCATCTCTTTATACGAATTACTTCACCTGTAAATTTTCTAGACTTTGGAATAACCTATCAAAATCTATCCATACGATAAAACCACTCCCACTATTTGTTTGCTGCATCGATGCATACTGCTCCTCTTCAAATGCATTGAATGTTCTAGCACCTGTTAGTGTATCTCATTCCACAAGCGATATTATAGGAACTTTAAATGTTCAGTCATCTTTATTAGTGCATTCCTGAGTAAAACCACCTACTTGCTGTCACTTTATGTTAACACCGTCCCCAGCAAGTCTAACTAATTTGAATAACATCAAAAGTATATCACTGTGTCACATAACACACGCATTTTGGTGGACCTGATTGATATATTTTGGTAATTACTGCTTTGTTGTTCCGTGCTCACTGTTTTCGTTTTAATTTCTCTAGTTGTAGATAATTATCATTAATTCGATCTGGCACACGAAATGACCTTAATTACTCCGTTCATAAATCAACAGGCTGTCCATTTAAGAAATATTAAAAATTCCCGGCTGATGCATTGGATCGCTGCAGTACATGTACTACCTAAACAATTACTGAACTAGTATACTTAAAACTTTCTTTTATCACATGTTTGTTCCGTACATTTAATGTTGCTATTTACATCAAATTGATCATGCCTGTAAACTGGCGTGAATTCTGAAATTATTATTTTCAGAACATATATATATATATATATATATATATATATATATTACTAAACAAAGTCAAAAAGGTTTTAACATCACTATGGGTAAGAAATGCAGGCAAGTTACAATAATGGAGTCTACTGCGTTGGATTTCAACCACAATGTGCGTTTTTTAAGTGAGCTTGGTGGTCACAATATTCTCGTATCACTCGAATATACTTTAATATCCCCACTGGTGATTTACTTGAGTTTATGTGTCGTGATAGCATTCTTGGTCGTCAAAAGGTATTACCTATAATGTTCCCTTTGAAACTGAAGGTCAAGGTAAGTTATTTCGTAGTGAAAGAGTTTTTGAATCACCTTTACGGTGGAGTAAACTCTCAACGCTGTTATGTTTTCAGACGTACTATACATAATTTGTCAGAATGCTCGTTTATAAGGTATTTTTTACCAGAACTATCACGTAATTACTGAAACTGGTACATTTAATTCAAGAAAGACATACCTTGTTGACTACTTCTCAAATAATACGTACCTTTCGAGCATAACATTTTTAACTACTTGATTTAGATTGCACAAGTTTGGTAAATGTCTGTTCTGTGGCGAATTTCACTCATGTAATTCATGTGTATTTCGTAATGCTAAATGCTTTGAATGTGTTATGACTGGGCACATCCAGGCAATTTGTAAAACTAATGTCAATTTCGCTGCAACCAATATTGACTCTTGTAACTCCGATCAGATTAAGTTGAGTGTTTCTAATAATTATTCATCTTTATCCACGACTTCGGAAAACAATGTAGAGTCATATGGCAGTCCAGAGTTAAATAAGACTCGTTATCATTGTGAGACAAAAGCTTCTAGTCAATCAACGTCTTCTCGGATTTCTCACGTTATTGTACTAGATATGGTTTGTCCTAACGACTCACGTATTTCTGATGAAATTTCTTATAAATCTGAGAAAAATATGTTGAATGAATCAAATCATGATAAAAAATCTGATGCAATTTTGATAGATGTTGATTTTTCTGATGACCGGTTACCATCCAATGACATTCTTAATAAACTTGACGAAAAAAATATCAGAAGAATCAAATCTTGATGATGTCATATCAAATGTCATTTGTCCTCATAATGCAAATGCTTCACGTGGAAAGCGTGTTCAATGAGAAGCACGAGTACTAACTGAGTTCTACTTTGATTAGAATTCTGATGACTTCATATCAACTGTTGTTTATATTTATCATGAAAGCACTTCTAACGAATCATATAGTCACCGTGAGAAATATGTTTCAAAGGAACTAACATTATGCATAACTTGGGGATATGAAGATCCAACATTATTCCATTGGGATTTATATTTTCGGAAAGTCTATGGTTCGAATTCTAAACATTAGTGGTTGCATACAATTCCAGGACCCAAATGAGTTCGTTCCAATTTCAGTTGTTAATTCTAATGCTAATGAGTATATCCTGGATAATTCACAGTCTGCATCCGGTACACGGTCGGACAGACATGATGAATTTAAGGAGAAGTGGTACAACTGATTGCAGAAATTTGGATTCTCATTTAAGCTGTGGCAGATAAGGTGTCTGGATGGACTTATAACTTCTCTGTACTTGATGACTGCCAGCTTTCAAATTCCAAATACCATATGTTCGTTCGTGATCATCCAGTACTTCTTGGTTACATTTCGTTCTTTCTGGGATTACTAGTTTGTACTAAATTCAAATACTTTAATCTATCACAAACGTACATGTTTACGTGGTTTTGTCTTTCTCTGATACCAAATTGGATCTAAGTTTTCGATAGAAAGTTACTGACGTATTAAACTGTGTTTAGAATAGTTTTATCACAATCTACTCCTAAATGAATTCTGTAATCAGTTGTGACTAGACCTTTCAAAATGTAAGATCTCTACTGCTTCATGCAGCTACAACAAACGGTTCATGTCATTTCCAAAAAAACAAATCTCACATAAGTTCAAACGTTAACCGTTCGTTATACACCTGTCATCTAAACAACACAAATATTCAAGTAAACTTGGAACATACACCCGACCATGACTTTGCTCTCCTCTTGTTGACACAAATATATGAAATTAAAAGGCTCAATACAGTGTCAACTACTTAACTACATGGACCGTATAGTGATGCTGACTCCAAACACAACCATATAAGTTAGACAGACTTCAATCGTTTCGATGCACAGTAGGTTTTTTCTGGTTGTCAAATGTCTCTTTGCCGTAGATAATATGGGTCTGATTTTTGGTTCCCGTAGTTAACTTTAAGTGTAATTGGAGGGGAATTAGTAAACTATAAAAACCAGAAGTAATTGAATTATTGTATTAACTAAGATCTTACGAAACAGTGCAATTTAAGCCAAATAGAACTATGTAAGCACAAAATGACGTTTTGTATTTAGAATTCGAAATAATCTAGGAATCAAGTACAAAACAATCATCAGTTAATAAAAACACTAAAGAAACGTAATTAATTAACTTCATACACAATAATCGACTTAACTGTGTTTTTGAATAAAGGAATAAGATAAGTCAGAGGTAAAAGTGACTGGAAATATATATTTCATACATTCGCCGCCTCAGACAGACAACAAGATACTCAGGGTGGAAAATGTGAAAACACCTACCCTAATATTACTTGTTGTGGACATCAGTATATCTCGAAATAGGCTATGAAGCATTTGAACAAGGAGATAGCCGTTAAAAAAGAAAAGTAAATTGAAAATACACTCAGACATAAATCAAACACACTGGTATAGGATTGACAAGGATACGAATGAAATAAGCACATGTTATAGAAATTACAATTGCTTTCTCAGAGAACAGAATTATTAAGAGAGACTATAAACCCGGCGTCTAATTTAGTACTGACAAGCTCTAGGAGATTCCTGTCGTAAATTCTACACCAAGACCTGCTTCGCTGACATAGACTTCACTAATAATCATGGGTATCCGTTTATTTCTACTCCGAACAGCGTTTTATCTGTCCGTTAAGACCTTTCTTACTCTGCTTCTTCAGTCAGCCAGTTTAAATAGATTTGTTTAAAGTAGTTGCATATCCGTTCACCTTAAAACAGGGTCCTTTAGAGGTAACCTCAAATGTCAGTCTGCTGCTTTGCTTATCACATGTACATTCCTTAGAAATAATTCTAAGCAATTGTCTGTCTTTATCTTAAAACAGACAACTGCCATAATTACTGACAATAGACTTAGCGAGCCCCCTTTAAATGTACGAAAACCGACCACTACTTGGCCTCCATGACATGAATTTTGACTAACTGAACCAATACGATTTGACGATTGTTACGAACCGACGGTTTCATCCATTAAGTTACTGAAGCTAGCGAAGACTGATATAACAAACCACCATAGCTCTATTAACAGTCACATCAACTGAGGCCTGTATAAGAACAAAAACAGTGATTTCAGTTAATTCAGAAACAACCCCTATAATACTGTAGCAGTAAATAAATCCCCAAAATAAATAGCTCTGTAAGTTTTCGACATTGGATGCTGACCATATGTTTTAGTGGACTCAGCTAGCTGAAGGCCCTCGGTCATGCATCCGCACCAGATCACGTGTGGTAACGCTGTGTTCAACATCTATCGCAATCGCTAGCCAGATTAGATCAGAGAATTCCAATATATTGGTTATCGCCAAATACACTCTTCCGATCTCCTCGACTCTGCCTTTTGATTTCGCTCGGTGGGTACAAATTATATTAGAAGGTGCTGTTGGTAAAAGCGTTGTCAAACACTGAATACCTGTATCATCCTCAATACAATCACTGACTTCTTACTGATGCGAAAGAGACATCATTGTTTATTTTTCAACGCTTCCCTCCTTTAAGGCGAGTATATTCGGTCTCCATTGTTAAGGGCGATATTATTGCTCCATTAAGGATATTCTCTGTAAATTTGAATAGAAATGTATGTAGCAGCCCTCTTTTACTACTGATAAACGTTTTCAGGCCTAGTATCTAGATGAATGAACTCTCAAAGCTACCCTCAAATGAGCTGCTCACTAGTTCGTTTCATCAAGCTACTCTTGTAACATCCGACCATGTTCATCCATTACCAAACTACTTTTTCACTCTTTCTTACCTACCAGTCATATTGATCACACATCAAATAAATACCGTGAGTAAATATATAATGTCGATCGTCTTATATCACTGTCCCTTAAGCGTTTGCTTTAGGACCATAGAACAGCCTTAATTCAGAAGATCTTTTCAGAAGTGATGGTTTGAACTGAAGGTCAGTGACAGTTTGAGCAAATTTCGAATACTGCTTCGATTAAGTTGCTTCATAGAACTTTTGCACATTCTACATAATCATAAGCCGTTCATAAGTGAAACAAAGGAATTCTAAATATTTGGTCTAAACAAAAAGGACGATCCATCAAACAAAATTTTTTCCGATTATATAAAACTAACTTCTGCGTAGCGTAAAACGCACTTTACAGTGATTCATATTAAACTTTATCTAAATACAAACTCTCTCCTTAATTAACATGGTTTTAATGAGGGCGAAGACAGATGAATTATGTCGAAAATACGAAATACCCAAACAGTAAAACCTGCATTATGCAGCAAAGGTTCCTCTAGCTCAAAATAACTTACAATGTAGCGAAAATATGGTTATTTAATAAATAAAAAGTCACTGAGAATCAACAAGAATATCATAAACAAAATAAGACTAAATACCTGGGTATTTAGATAGCTATCTACAAGTATATTAATAACCTCCTCTAGAAGGTAGTCAGAGAATAACAATAACCTGAAGTGACCTACTTTTATCAAGAAAACGCGATTGGTGTAATGGAAACAATTATTATAGTAATCAGTTGTACTAGGGATTGTCTTGCCGTCCTTGTTTGTTTAACTGTACCAGAATACATACTTTCTTCCTGGCACGATCTCGGTATTCTTTTGATACCACGAGATCGCCAGCAAATGCATCTCGACTACAGCCATTAATCGCCTTCTGATATTTGGACTACGGGGGTTCTTATCAGTTAACTGGCACGTAGTCTTCCTGTAGTGGTGATCATAGTCAACCGCGACTTGACGCCACGCTACAAACCAATCACCATACGCCAAAGTTTTCAATTCATTTAAACAAGACCTTGTTTCTGATCTCAGGATCTTACAACAAGAAAGCTAAATAATAAAGGTAGGTTCTAATCAATGTCAAGTAATGAAAATTTGACCAAAGGAGACCGAGAAGTATAAAAACCACGGATAAAGAAGTCCTGAACAAGAGTTATTTATTACTCAATAAAACACTGAAGGAATTTTTAGAGTTTTTCTATTGTTGCTGTAAGTAAATGGAGGAAAACCAAAGTATGAGGAATGAAATTACAGTTTTAGAAATCTGACGACATTTCAACCACATCAACAGTCTATCAGGTTTATGGAAACATTAGTGTTAATGAGATTAAACGTCTTATCAAAGAGGAACTTGACTCCATTTGCCAATCCTTGAACAAAAGGCTTCCCTCATCTCTATTTACTATCCTTTTTGTTGTTTCTGGTGGCGCTAAATTTATGGTTAAAATGCTATTCTTGAGCTAGTTAATACATATTTCTTGAAATACTATACCCGTAAGTGTAAAAAACCCAATATAAGTAGTTCGGTAAGTTTCCGATATCTATGCTGACATCATTAGTTTGATATATACCCCTCCAATTGAAGGTATTTGGGAAGTCTTCTGCTCCAGACCACGTTTGGGTTGGTTTTGCTGCCCATTACTTGCAACGACTAGTCAGTTTAAAATAGGCACTTCTGGATGCGTCAACTATTTTCCAAATATATTTTTGAATCCCTTCATTCCTGTCTTCACGTTTGACTGGAATAGTTGTATTTCATGTACATAGACAGAAAAATAATAACACCACAGAACCTTATCGCAAATATCTTTCGTTTCATATTGCATTTAATGTACATTACATCAACATAGTAAGAAGCAAAAACAGGAACTGTAGTTCATATAATCAAGCTACGCTCCAACACAGATGAAGCTCAAAATAGCATTTTTAAATAACGGAATGAGGAACAAATCTCCGTATGTTTTATTATTCTCAGGAAATATTCAAAACCCTCTGGATTTAGAGAATTTATTCAGCAAATAAAGATTGATTGTTGGATCACATCAATTCGACTGGAATATTTTTATGAAAAATGTCTATTTTCTTGAACGTTAGACGAAGAGACGTAACACATGTATGAGGAAAACGATGACATAATTAGTAATGAGAATAAGGCTTTTTATGATAAATACCACATTACATGGACACTTTGAATGGTAATTTGTTGTAATATCTGGTGCGACAATCAACGTTCGAATACAGAGCTTCAAGTAGGTGACTAAACTATTAAAATCAAGACACAGTAAATGTATAGTTATATTGTATACGTGCAAATCTTTGTTCATGTAAACTTTTTTCCTCATTATCTGAAGTAGAAATATTGAATTTAGATGTGATTAACTGTTAAAGAAATGAAAGAGAATTTTATTCTGTTTGCGTTGAGTTAGCAGCATATTTTTCATTTGACACTAACTCATCAAGAAGAGATGTGTCAGTTTGTTGTATTTTTTTAGATAAAAGTTCTTTAGAGTGTTCGGCTGAAAGGTTATTTTCACCGTATACATACATTTGTAAGATATCACTAACAAAAGTTTCAGCATTTATGGGTGTTGACATACGTGATTCAAGTTCTTTTTCAATTTTCTTCGGATCAATTTCCTCCAAGATTTCTTGGCGATCACCTTCTGGTAAAATACCCCAAAGAATTGCCATGTACTCGGACATTTCAGCTTCTCCGATTGCTTCGCCTAAGAATTAAATTAGTTTATACGTGCATAAACTTAAGTTTGAAAAAGAGTAATGGATTATGTAACAATCTGAAGTGGTTTTTCAGTTAGCTGTATTGAATAAATTATGATATATAAATGGACCGTTACTCAAAATCTTTATGATAAATGCATGTAACATGAAATTTTTGAAGTATTCATTTGAACCATGGAAGAATATGGTGTTTCACACTCACGTTATTTTGAATTTCTAATGTATCTACTTTGTTAAATGAACAATAATTTAAAGAAATAAACTCTCCAATGAAAGTTACGTTTTGGCCTGATAATATAGACAGTATCAAAGCTACATATGTTTTTAAATAACAGGCCAATAAAACCGAAATCAAACTACTTAGTATCACTTAGATTATGTACAAATATTTTTCATTGAATCATCACCTATGAAAAGGCTTTTGAAATATTGATGGAAAACTGGTCATTTGAATTACATTCTGTTGCTATGCAAAAAGTTTATATACAGAACAGTTTATAAGATTATATCTTGCTGCATATAAAAGAAATTTTAACTCATACAACTGTACTTTTTCGGGTCAGTGTTAAGACCTAATAATAAGCATCTCTTAAATACTTAGACAAGCCTAAAGTTACCGAAAATAGTTGTTAGCATATTAAACTTCAGGAACTTTTGAAAAATCATCAATGTGTTTTACTTATACATTTTCTGTACACCGAGTTAATAAAAGTTTTCATATTTGAAAGTAATCTATAAACATATATCATTTTTGAATTGGATACATACACTAAAATCAATTTCCACTTATATTGCCATCATTTTACTTTTCTGTAATACAGATTCTGAGAATTGTGTATTAGTATTCCTAACATTCAGTTTTTATGCATTAAAACATGATGAAGTCCATATTCAGCAGAAATGTTCGAAAGCATATATCTATGAACGCATCCTTTTTAAATGGAACATTCATTCAATCTGTATAGAATTTCAAATATAATTTTAGTTAAAACAGTATGAGTTAGTTTTATAAAATAAGGAAATATATCTTTGTTTAGTTTCAGTTCATGATATGTTAGTTACATTTGCAGCTTACTTTGCAAAATCTAAATCAAGAGGAATCCTAAGATTTGAGTAACTGATATTTCCATTCATGTACGAATGGTTAACGTTGTTTATATATATAGGTTGCAAAAGTAGATGACAGTTCGCTATAAACTCTGACTCGACTAGTGGTGTTCGAGTAAAGAGCCTTTACAAGGTTTATGTACTTCTGGGGTACGCCTTTCAATGACAGACACTGCCACAGAATCTCGCGGTCTACCGAGTCAAATGCTGCTTTTAAGTCAAGAATGACCACCATTGTCGGACGTTGATAAGTATGCCTGTGTTCTAGAACCTGACGAATGGTGAATATGTGGTCGATGCAGCCACTACCAGGTCTGAAGCCAGCTTGGTTTTCTCGTGTTTGAAGTTCACGAGTCTTAGTTAGGCGTCTGATTATTATTGAGGCGTCTGTTGGGGTCACCGGGTAAGTAATAGTGAGGTTGGACTCAGGCTATTAGGTAATGATGGTAAGTCAGTTGATGAGGTCGTTAATCTTCATCGACTGAGATGGTTGGGCCACGTGTTACGTATGCCTGAACACCGATTACCACGACGTGCAATGCTAACGGATGTTAAAGATGGCTGGAAGAGAATTTGGGGCGGCCAAACCAAAACGTGGCATCAGTGCTTGAAGACACTAACCTCTAGTCTGAGCCATGTTGGTAGATGCAGACTACTTGGTTGGGGTCCGCGTGACTTTCGTAACCGATGGTTGGAGACTCTTGGTGACATGGCTCAGAATCGATTACAATGGCGTCGGTGCATACACTCCCTGTCTTCCCTTAAACTAAGAGATTAAAATCGCTTCATATCTTTCCTTCTACGAACTAATTCTATATTCCGGTACTGTATCCTTATATGCAATCTTTCTCCTATATATTACCACCTTTAACCTAACCAGTCTTATGAATCTGGTGTTCATCTTGCTGTGCTAATGAGGTATGGCAACCTGGACCGATGCATATATGTGCCTGGTCCTACGTTGTAGCTGACTGACCAACTGACTGATATATATATATCATTTAAATGTGTCAAATCAAATCAAATGGTCCGAATAATTCGTTGAGTAGTCTTTTGTGCTTTTTCTGGTAACAAAAAACAAAATGAGAAGAAGCTTAGGAAAGGTAAACAAAGATTTTTAGTCACATCTAAACACATGTAATGTGAAATTTTATTGACAAAATGTTTCATAAAGTCAATATAAAGACATAGCATAATAACATTGGTCAATTAATCTAAAGAGATTAAGATATTTAGTGCACTTTATAGTTTACATATATGAAAAGTAAAGTTAAAAAGTATTAGCTAGTATAGCAGTTTAATGATTATTGATGTGAGACTATAATTTATGGACGACCTTTGAACGATGCTAAAGTAAACTTGAGAAAACTTACCTACTTTCTAGGGTCAATAGAGGGATATAATTTATATGAGGAATTAAGATTAGGATTCATAGTTAAAGTTTAGGGTTATGATGCAAGGGTTTTCACCAAGAATTGATATCAGCTTTTATGTCAAAATCTAAGATTTGCTATCTTAAGTCTCATTAGTTTGTACATACATTATAGTCTCGTATTCAATTTATCTTCAAAGCTCACCTGAATTCTGTAAAGTAAGAAATAATTCTTCCATTGTAATAGTTGGTTTTTCCTGTATTATTCTTTCATGAGAATTCGACAATTCAGCACAGTTATCTTTGTTACCAATATTTGCATTTGTTAAAATGTTAAAAGCACTCTCAACATCTTTATATAATATACCTTGGAATGGTCGATGATTACAATATACTAAAAATAAAATTGACATTAGAATAAAAAATAGGTTGTTCGACGTTGTTTTAGTAAGTATTTACTTAAAAATATTATTTGATTAATAAATGATCAACTGGTTATTTTATTTAATCAATCTGATACTATGCATAGACGTAAGTTTTAAGTTCATTAGATTTAGTCAATTTCATGCCATCGCTGTTAAGGTATATTATATTCTAAGAACATTTTGACTAGTTTGTAGTATTTTAAAAATATTTGTCCACCGTAAAATAAGTCTATTAATCTATTTTAATATGTCGTTATATAATTCAATCAAAAGTTTATTATTCTAATTACTTTTAATGTTTTAACGCTTAACGCCTAATTTCCAATACGTCGAAACAAACTTTAACTTTTGGGATCAGTCAAAAAACAAGTCTGAACAAGTTTACATAAAATTAAACAACTTACATTGAATAAATGTGTCCAAATCAATTTCTGTTGTATATTCCCCAGTATCACAAAATTTAGAATATTTGATTTCATTTATCATATTTTCAACCTAAAATATGTTAAAAGATAATTCAACTGTAAATTCTATTAATAACAATTATTTTTCAGACTACTTTTACCTACTGAATTAGTTTTTAGTAGGTAGAAAGAAAATATAACACATTTTGATGTCGTTGAATCCAGCGATCATGATAGTTTAACTATGAAATTTTCTTTGTTATTCTATATAATATCATTAGAAATTTAATCAAAGATCACCAGAACATAATCAGTCAGATGATTACGTGAAGTAATTCGTTTTGCTTTTATTTGGTGATTATGTATTAACCTTTTTGTTTGCTATTCAAGCACATTTGACCATTTTTGTATTAAATTATTTCGTAAAGAAAATTATTGCATATTATGCAAATACATTATTTCAAAATATAAATAAATTTACAGAATGTGATACTTGATAATACCAACCTCTGCTTCTGTCGGATAAAAACCTATTGCTCTCATAACAAATGGTATTTCTGTTATCGGAATCGTGAATGATGTTTTACGTTCATCCATACAACAAATTCCTTGTGTTCTAATCATGGAATAGTAGAAGTAATCTTTCATTTCTTCTAGAAAATCTCTAGATAGAAAATCATAAAATCTTCTCTTCATACAACCAGCTATATTGACTGTTTTTGCTAGTACACTAATTATCGCATAAGAAAAGTATAAAAGGAAAAATATTTACAAAAATACTGTTACTTTCAGTATGAATTGGTATAATTAATATATAGAAACAAGTGATCTAAATAAGCCGAAATGATGGTGGCTAGCAGTGGAATCCGGAAAGCGCGTTTCGCTCTATTTGAGGCTCGTCAGCTTGTTGTATCTGTGTCTTAGAGTTGATATTCACTTCTGAACTCAAATGTAGCACAGTTTCTTTGAAACGCCATCGCGTTATCCACTTAGCCACCAAGTCCACTACTTGTGTAATGGGGTGAAGTTTAATTCATCTTTGTATTGTTTGCTTGAATCTTCCCATTGATGTTCAGGACTGCAATTGGCTAGTCTCTTCTTTACATATGTGCATCATGAAATGATATTAGTCTGTAATATGGTTATTATTATATTACTGATTCAAATATATATTCCGTAGGAGTTACGGGTCAACAGGCGTTTAAACAAATCGCGTCAGAATGCCGAATAAAAGGCCTTTTTGAGATTTGCTAAGGTATGGATAGCTGATGGCCAGAGTTGAATATAATAAAAGTCACTAGGGTAGCATAAAGTCTATTCTTTGTCTTTCTTAGACCATCCTTTGCACTATTTAGACCTAACAAATTTGTTGACAAGTCAATGGTTTGTCTCCTACCAAATTTATTAAAATCGTAATATCATATAGTTTTATTGATATATACTATATTAATTATGTAACAGTTAAATGAATCACATTATCCAAGTAAGCCGAACGAATGAAAGTATTTATATTATGATTGAAATCGTAGTATCAAAGTTATAAAGAGCTATATATTTATGTGATATGATGAAATATATGATTGTATTCTTCTGGGATTTTGAAATCGAAAACCAATAACCCATAAACATTCTACATATATATATATATATATATATATATATATATATATATATATATATATATATATATATATATATATATATATATATATATATATACCAAAGGAGCACGTCCCCATAAAAGGTGCTTAGGATTAAATACAAACTCTATCATATCTTAACCTACCTAGGATTTAATGTCCACATGTGTACACAAGTATCTGGACCACCAGCTGTAAATGCATAAAGACCATTTCTATCAATAGCTAATCCTTGAGCTTGTCCAACACCTCGACCATTACTTGGATGTGCAATAATATTAGTATACTTCAATGGATCACCATCTAATGGGAGCATAATTAATCCCAATCGTTCTTTCGAAAGACATACCATAAAATAACTTGAATTATTTTTTTGAGAAATCAGAGGTAAAACCCTTGAAGAAAAAATATGAAAATTGAACATGTTAATATGTATTGAAGTGGTTTAAACAACCCAAAACACCTAATCAACAAAATAGCAAAAACGAATTCCAGGATATTTCTTCACCTTGATCATATCGCCATTAACAAAATTTCAATTAACATTTTGGAAAGATTAAATTCAATGGTTTAGGATCTTCGCATTCATTATTTTGTTCTTTCTAGTCACTTTTATCAAAATCTTTATTCACTTCGGCATTTGTGAAGGTTTTTTATTAAATTTAAATAAGTTGATATCTTACACAATCATTAATAATGAACCACCGAACATCAGAAAACAATAAACAGTTGTTTTGTCTTAATTAGAAGTGTATACATACGACTGTAAATCTGGCCAAGAACATTCAAATCTCTCAGTCAATAAAACACCTTTAAACCACTGAGTCAATGTTTATCTAGTTGATGCCAGGCCTAGATGAAAATTTACACTATTACAATATTTTACTTTAATTACAATTAAAAACAAGGGAGCTTACTTTGTATATTCAATTCCTTGAGGGAATGAACTAACAGTCTTACGACACATTAAAGTTGAAGTATTATATAATTTTATTTTAGATGCAGAATTTGATATAAAAAAGAACTCTTCTTTATAACATGATAATGGTAGCATACTTAAACATAATGGTTTAGCTAATTGTTCAACTTGGTAACGAGCTATCACTGGTAATGAATGTTTCTTTGCATTATATAAATCATATTCAGCCTAGGAAAAAACATAACAACAATGAAATTGAAATAATAAAATAAATTTTAATAGTTGAGATCATGAGTCAATTGAAGCTAGACCACCATGGAAAACCTAGAAGCACTGGGCAGCCATTTCGTCCTATTGTGGGACCCCTCATTAGTGTATATCCACGATCCCGCTTCGCGGGCGTCCCACAATAGGACGAAACGACCGTTCAGTGCTTCCAGGTTTTTCACGGTGGTTTAGCTTCAGTTGACTCATGATCTCAACTACTAAAATTACTATAATATCCGCAAAACCCCTTCTGATGTAAACTAAATAAATGTTTATATTTTATTTGCATAGGAGATTAATAGTTTACAGATTTGTGTTATAACCACAGAAAACTTTATATTTTCAAAGAAAACATGATAAAATGTAATTCTATTTCTTATATTAGACAGTGTAATTAAAAGACAAAATTCACAAAAATCATGTCATTTATTAGCACCTAAATAATAGATGTTTACAATAATCTATCATTTGGAAGCAAATCGAATAGTCTTGTATTGAAACAAAGTTTCACATAGACGTTTAGCTGAACCTATCACACATTTAAGTTCATAAAAATTGGAGATACAAATACACTTTCATTGCTTCATAGAATACACAAGCAGCATTTAGACAATTGAATCGCATCCTAAAGTATTTATCAATTTACTTGCATTTAGACACACAATATATGAGAAGTAATTGTAAGTGATTATCAAAGGTGGTTAAACATCAACTTAAATGATTACAACTGTAAATGAACGTCAATGATCTGCAATACGTGTAGAAACATTAAAACTGGATATAATGCTGGTATGTTGTTTTCCCCTTATAGAATAGACTATTTATCATCATGATATGGAGAGCAGTGACTTAATCAATTAGAGTGAGAATAATAGACGAAATTGATTTTTCCCAATAGTGTGTGATGTATCTGCATCCCAAAAAGTATTACAGTTATGTGTAGTAAATATTATGTTCACAGTAAGTTACTGAATTATCATTGGTAAATACCACTTAGTCTAATTTACACAAATCTGAATGTTAATACAACTGTAAATAGGAAGTGGCTTATTGTTTTAGGAGTCAAATAAATGCTTATCACCAGTCTTTGGTTTTGCGAGTCTTGTCTATCCTTTTGTGTTCAAGTGGTTGTATAAATTCAGTCTGGGGTTATTAGAAGCGGCTAGGAAGTTAAATTGAGCATTCAGGTAGTCAACTTATCACATCATCATTACTATTGATAACAATAAGGATTATTTGATAACATTAGAATCACTTACCAATGTTCTATCTTCACTTAATGTGAATAGGCGAGATCTTTTGGATTCGGTCAGTGTCCAAAATAGCAGGTCTGTAATTCTACGATTATGAGCACGAACTCGTGCTACGTAGCACCATGAATTTTCACATTCATGAGTGTTGGAACGTAATAGTAATGTTGTTGTGAATGCAGAATCCTTTATGTTTTAGATTAAAAAAAATCCAACATCTTTAAATTAACGTTAATTAATCTATAGCTTCATTATAAAAATAAATTGATTCTTGTTCTCATAATGAAAAAACTTTTAACTGGCCTATGGATGTAGATAAATGATACTAGTAAGAAGTATCCAAATAAGAAACTTTTTAGCATTATAGAATTTGAAATAACTTAGTTTAGCAATTATTATTTATCAACCATAAAAATAATTTCCATCATAAACTGGTATCATCTAGATAAATATTAGAAATATGAAGCACCTGATAGTTGTTTTGTAGTAAATTGAGACTCATCAGAAGTGCATATCTACCATCTCACATGTCCTGAGGTTGAAACTAGTTAAAATTCAACAAATTAGATGTCCATCTGCAACGATTTCGAAATATCACTTGACTACTATCATGAGTTATAGTTGTCTCACTTCTATAACAGGATTGACTCCAATAGTTTCAACTATTTATTAGAACGTCGAAAAATTCATCTTGATGCTATTCATTAGTGAGTACAAAATAATTAAAATAGGTGATTTATAAAGATGTTTGATTTTTAAATTGCTTTCTTTATTATAAACTGATTTTTGTTAATACCCTAATATTTGATGAATTATTCGAAGTAGGAGTTTTGTTTCAGCAAATGATATGTAATCGTAATTAGTTTACAATTAAGTGTTGTTGTACTTAGTCATCTACATAGTCCATGCACTTCTGACATTACCATTATAATGTAAAATGAACTGTAAAAATACAATTTCTTGACAGTTTTTAATTTGATATTTAAAAAGATCATGCAACTCACAGCATACGCGCAGTAATTATTACAGTATGAGAAATCAATATGAGTGATAGGACCTTTTCCATATGTAAATGGTTCAGAAGTCATCTCATTCAACGTTAACGAGTCTAGGACACGTAAATATCCACTCATAAAACCGACAGCTAATGATATAAAATAGCAGAAAAAAATATCAAATGGGTTACTAAAGTTTAATAAAAGATTGTCAGTATGTTTACAGAATAGAAATAACATCAGCTCAAGTCTAACTGAACCGCTTATGGAAGCTAATGGCTAACGAATTAATAAGTGAAATAAAATGTATGAATTTCACCACAGCAAAACCGTTTATCAGTATATTAGAAGTTTGAAGGCCCCACTCTCCATCATTTTTCATTTTCAAGGATTTCTTCAGTGTCATCAATTGCTAATTCAGAGTGATATGGTGAGAATAGATTATACTGACAACTTTCCCATAGATTCTGAATGATGGAGACATATCGCTTTATGTACTGTGAGTTAAAACACAGAATCACGTCTATTAAGAAAGTTTTGAAACGAAGTTCTATTTAACGGATCTAAGGTAAATATGATGGTTCTAAGTACACAAATATTGGGATCCTATAAATTTTATAGTAACCAAACATACTGAGTAGAATGTTTAGTCGCCCTAAATCTGACTCCTGGTAGATCGTATTATGGTCGTTATTGAAATATACATGTCATCAATCCCCATATATTATTATCAACTTGACTCGCGTTAGCAAAAAACGAAATTAAATAAGTCAAATACGAGCATGAAGTATAAATATGTATATTTCATATAATCTTTGATCTTAACAAGCAATTAATTGGAGGAACGAAGCAAAGAAAGTGAAGAGAAGAGAGTCGAGCGAAATAACGCGCAATGGAGACGACGAATGAGCCAACTCGATTTAATCAAACATGAATCGACATTTATAGTCAAACCAAAAATAAGTTATACACATGTGATGAGTAAGATAAGAAATGCACACCCATACGCTTACATAAACAACAGTCAGGATTAATAAGAAAATAAGTGACAACGCAGAGATGTGTCTTGAGAAGAGTGAATAAATTGATCTATCCAGAGGCTAGAATAACCCATTTGAGCTTGACATAGTACTAGCCCCTAGTAGCCACAGTGTGAAAGTATGTTATATTGTGAAGTGTCCTATTTCGATACAAATATGCAAGCTTCCTATACATTAGTCCAAGCAGCTACACGATTGAGAAGCAGGGTCTTGTTGGCTAATCGAATTGGCTCACGTACAGGAAGATTGCGTATTTGTATCGAAATAGGACACTTCACAATACAACATACTTTCACGCTGTGACTACTTCAAAATGACTCTGGAATAGGTTATAATCACACAGTAAAAAGCGAATAATTACACGGGCGAAATGCTTTCTAGGCAAAGACTTGGTATTATCTATTTGCATAAAATCATTTTATTGGTTGTTCAAATCTTTCCATTGCTGTTTAGGACTGCAATTGATCATTCTCAACCAATGTAAACGGATTAAACTTCACCCCATTGTTCAATTCATTGGTATCTTGACTCAGCATCTAAGTGGATAACATGATGGAGTTTGAAGCCAAGAGTACTACATTTGAGTTTCGGAGTGAACATAAACTCTGGGATCCAGACACATTCAGCCGACGAGCCCCAAATGGGACGAAACGTGCGTCATGGTTTCTACTGCTGGCCACCATTTATCTCTGCTTACCATCGGTTTCTAGTTTTCCTGTTTATCTGTAATCGTCTTCATGGTTACAGGTGCAAACTTAAATAAGAATCGCTGAATGCGCGTTACGAATTGAAATTGTTTGATGTAGTTATAGATGGTAAATCTTATCAAGCTCTGATTTTATTACTGTTTACTGTGATTTTTACGACGGAATAGAATTCCAAAATATTTTAATAAATCTCAGTCTTGTCGGCGAATAAAAAAATTCACTGTAATTGGCGAGTACACATTATTCTTAATAATCACTGCACAAATAACATATACTCATAGTCACACTAGCAAACAACAAGCCATAAATTAGCATAATGTTCTCCTAGAAAATAATAGTCTACGCTTAAATACATCAAAATGGCTCTGAAAGATAGAGGAAGCTTCATTTTCTTTGACAGTTTGTGTAAATCTTCTTTGGTATTTACTACAATTCCGATAGCTGATCTTTTGATTTACGTTACAGATTGTTATAATGAGAGAATTTCCATTAATTTATATCAAAATAACTGACCGATATATTGTCCAGTCTTATCGTATACGCAACTTTGAATTGGATCGTTCAAGCCAAAACTTTTCATTGTGACAACTAATCTATAATAGAAAATGTAATTAAACTTATTGTATAATAGATATAATGAAAATGAACTATTTTAAACATAAATAGTCATTTAATTCTATAATAAATGAATAGATTGTTAGAAATGTTTTTACTGATATAAGTTCATTATAGCATATACTAGAAACAGAAACAGTTTGTATCCTCAATTCACTTGTTGTTTTACTTAGATCTTTCCACAGTTATTTAGGACTCAATTGATCAGTCTCATGTTGACATATGTGCATACTGTGCGGATTGCCTCGATATAGCCTTAAGTCACAAGTTTTCTAAGCGAAGATGGATAGTGGCCAGCAGTGGAATCCAGGACGCACGTTTCACCTTATTTTTAACTAGTCAGCTGGATGTACCTGCATCCCAGAGTTGATGTTCACTCCTAGTCAATGGCAATGGGATACCAATACAGTATATGATTCACAAGTATTATGAACAAGAGATCATCGTTAGAAATGATAAGAATATTTTACTGATATATAAACCTTTTTAAAATATATCTAAATTATTTTAATAAATGAACCAGAGTTTAAAAATTCTATTCATTGAAAAAGTAGATATAAAATTCAACCAAATTTAAATAAGTTCCCTTTTTTTCAAATACACACACTTACTTGCTTTCATAATCGTAAATTTTTATAAGTCCAGAATGACTGCATGTTGCTACATGATTCCTAATAAAGAAGTTGTAAACGATAATATAGATAAAGTTTATATAACAAAAGGAAAGAATGACACTATTCTTTGGTTTCTTTTTGAAGAAAACTAGTAATTAGTGATACGTAAGTCACTCCAATGCTGAGTAATGTAGTCTAGTAAAATTTATGCAGTAAGGGGATTCAATGGATTAGAATGAACCATGAAACTGAAATAATTGGTGGATAAAATTACTAAGGTGATAGAGTGAACCTGTAATCTAGTTACTTAAGGGTTATACAGTGGCGTTTTGCGAGGACGAGAGTATTAGTATGTTGATTAATCTTTCTCAATAACTACAATACTGATGTAGATAATAGAACGGTGGTTTAGCCCTTGAAATAATCGTCACTTACTCAATGTATTGCAAGTGTAAATTCAACCTTTTCGAATTTGCTTTGATCAACCGAGTGGTATCATTAATTATTATACAAAACATGTCCCAGTCAAGTACATAAATCTGTACTTACTGAATCTCTTTCCAATCACTAGGTTTTGTTATTGATTACCAAGAAAAGATTTTCTTACCAATATCTGATTAATTTTTTCTATATAACGTACATATCAAGCTAACTTCGTGCTCCGCATAAACCATTGCATACTGTACCAAAAATAATGTGAGCTGGTAACTGTTATAACACGATATAAACATCTTTGGATTATATTTTTAAAAAATGAAATTATCAACAGTTTCACTTAGTAATTTGGTACCTATGTGCTAATATTCCAAAATTATTTTCATTTCGATAGTACTTCTGGTTACGTACTAATATAAACGGAAGAATTATTGATTATGATGAAGTACTAGACCGTTATTTCCTTGAAATGCCAAGTAAGATTTGTACTTCAAGTGAATGCTTTTGATTAAGTTGTGTTGCATAAGCTCAACAGTTTAACTGGCGAATCTTTTCCATGATGGATAAAATCATCAGCACTTACTTCAAAACAGCTTGATTTAGTGCTTGTGGAAAAAAATAATCATCTCATTTTTTCGTAAATCGATCGCTGATGTTGCGCCTAGAACAAGAACGAAAGCTTTACACTTAAGTCAGTGAGTTAAGAGAATACAACACAATCAAAAGCCATTTCCTTGCTAATTTTGGACTTGTTCATAAGTTACAATCACAGTCGCATACGGGCTTGAGCACAAAACATTTATGTCTCGTGCAGATATCACCTAGTGAGGATCCTATTTGGTTCATATTTCCGACCTTAGTTGATCCATATTACAACTCGATGATCATCCATTTCCAATTCTTATTTATTAATTATCCCCGAATTTCGCGTTTAAGTTATTCACATAATTTATAGTTACTTGGTATTTTAGCCAAAAATCTGATAAACGTTTTCCTAGTCCTCCCCCCCCATAAGTGAATTAAATTATGATTCTAAGATAGACTATAACCATTATATTCTGAAAAATGGTAAGTACAGTAAATACTGTAATGTCTGTTTTGCAAAAATAACTGATATATTATCATTAGTGTATCAAATTGATTTATTGTGATAAATATTTAGTTTACTTACAATACTGGATGAGTAGTCAACGCGTTAACATCTGAATCGTGTTCTCTTAAAATTATCTAAAAATAAACCAAAAATGACGCAACATACTTACATGTATGTAGCTTACATTGTTCGATTGTTTTAAACGGTAAATCATCAAAATTACCTTTAAAACATTTATTCGAGATGATTATTTAGAATCGGTGATAAAAATAGATGAAAAGAGTCTAGTCAACTAAGTAAGCCACGTGGTAAAGGCAATTAGAATACCACCATTTTAATACTCATTAAAATTATGACTAAATAAATGAGAAGAGTATATGGTTTAATAACAATTGAAATTAAAAGTGTTAAGACTTCGTAAACTTTTACTCAAGAGAATCACAAGCAAAATACAGATCAAAACTTGGTCAGTTTAAATAGGTTTACGTGAAAGCCGTTTGTGCAACAACGAATATCCAAATGCATTTATGAATTTTATGACTGTTCATTCAATCTTCAAGTTATACTTAAGAATAGAATAATGAATCATTAAGATGTACGACAATTCTCTATGGTTTAAATGAAAGCTTGGAAATAGGAGAATAATACAATAGTCCAAGCGTCTTCTGATTATACAATAAAAATATGGATACTAATCCTCTGTATGATAAATCCCATAGTTATACTTCCGCACTATTCGTCGAATCATATCGAGTATACTGAGACAATGTACCAATGCAATAAGGTTTTGGCTAAGTTACACAGTCAGTCAGTCAGCTACAACGTAGAACCATGCACTTATGTGCATCGGTCCAGGTTGCCATACCGCATCAGCACAACAAGATGAACACCGGATTCATAACAGTGGTTAGGTAAAAGGTGGTTATATATAAGAGAAAGATTGCATATAGAGATATAGTACAAGAAGAAAGAATTGGTTAGTAGAAAGAAAGATATGAAGCGCTTTTAATCTCTTAGTTTAAGGGAAGAAACCGAGTGTATACACCGACGCCATTGTGATCGATTCTGAGCCATGTCACCAAGAGTCTCCAACCATTGGTTACGATAGTCATGCGGACCCCAACCAAGTAGTCTGCATCTACCAACATGGTTCAGACTAGAAGTTAGTGACTTCAAGCACTGATGCCACGTTTTGGTTTGGCCGCCCCTAACTTTCTTCCAACCATCCCCAACACCGGATAGCATTGCACGTTGTGGTAATCGGTGTTCAGGCATACGTAACACGTGGCCCAACCATCTCAGTCGATGAAGATTCATAACCTCATCAACTGATTTACCATCCTTTCCTAATACCCTGCGTCTAACCTCACTATTACTTACCCGATTATCCCAGCAGACGCCAGCAATATTTCTAAGGCATCTGTGGTCAAATACTAGCAGCTTGCGAGTGTCTTCTAGTCTTAATGGCCATGTTTCGCTACCGTAAAGTAAAACAGAACGGACTGCCGCGCAGTATACTCGTCCTTTTATTGATAGACGGATATCTCGCCTTCGCCACAGGTGACGTAAGTTGGCAAAAGCCAAACGAGCTTTTCGAATCCGTGCTGAGATTTCGTCCGATATCAACCCATTAGGGCTGATCAGACTTCCAAGATAAGTGAAGTTGTCAACGCGTTCGACTACTTCACTCTCTATCCTTAGTTCAGGTGTTAACGCAGACCAGTCCTGAAGCAACAACTTGCATTTCGAGGGAGAGAAGCGCATTCCAAACATTCTGGCATTGTTGCTTAGTGCTACCAGAAGACTTTGCATTTTGTCAGCGTCTTCACCAAACAGGACTATGTCATCTGCGTATTCTAAGTCGATAAGTGGACCTCCTGGAAAGAGATCAATACCCGAGAACTCAGTCGACGACAAAGTTATTTCCATCAGTAGGTCTATGATGAAGTTAAACAAAAATGGGGAAAGTGGACATCCTTGACGGACACCACTTGAGGTTGCAAAAGTAGATGACAGTTCGCCATAAGCTCTCACTCGACTAGTAGTGTTCGAGTAAAGAACCTTCACAAGGTTTATGTACTTCTGAGGTACGCCTTTCAATGACAGACACTGCCACAGAACCTCGCGGTCTACCGAGTCAAATGCTGCTTTTAAGTCAAGAAAGACCACCATCGTCGGACGCCGATAAGTGTGCCTGTGTTCTAGAACCTGACGAATGGTGAATATGTGGTCGATGCAGCCACGACCAGGTCTGAAACCAGCTTGGTTTTCTCGTGTTTGCAGTTCACGAGTCTTAGTTAGGCGTCTGATAATTATCGAGGCTAGTAACTTAAATGACTTTATTAAATAGATATCATTGTCTTTTAAAACTACATCATAAACATTAACCTTAAGTAGAAGACACCATATACATGTGTTTAAAATCAGTTAGTTTTAATTATCTTATCTATGATAGATTGTTCTCAGAAGCATTAATGTTCACGTGTGCAACTTTATTCACATTTAACGTTTTTGTTAGTTTGGTCTTCCACCATATGACTGATAGGTCTTTGTTTTGTGGATCAATAAAGTACATCTATGTCGGTATACCTGCTGACTTTTACTGATATTAGTCCAACGCTTCTATTATTCTTAACATTTGCTCGTTATAAAATTTTCTCACATATTCAGCCAAAACCATGTTATGTTCATTAGCCTACTTATTAGTTTGTTCATTGAAAGTGGGAAAATCTTTGAAAAGTAGTGAATTTTTTATTTCACCAGCTGATTACTTCTGAACAATTAGATATTTTCTTTAATGAGAGCTTTGTAAGGTTTTGTCATTGATTAATATCAAGCGACGAGCTATTAAAATAAAAGAGCACTGAAAAACCGTTTAGCAACCCTTAACTGTACACAAAAAACCCTAGAATCCTGAGGCTTTGCGACCGTTTGATTAATTTCAGAATATTGAGTGAGAATCTAATGGTACAATTTTAACCATCTTATCGTTCAGTCGTATCAGTGGATGACTGTTTCACTTTCAGTTTAGTTGAAATTGAATAGCCACAAATTCTAACTAGAACATTTTACATCATGAACCTCAAAACATACAAACATCCAAATAGTATATCATGATTGACAAACCTTTTTAAGTCCACCCTCAACTGTAACAGAAATCATGAAAGCACTTGATGTACTAACTATAAAATCTTCTATAATAAATGGTTCCGCACCAATTGTTGCACAAGTAGGATAATCTTTTCCTTTGATGGATTCAGTAAAACTTGATTGGTTTTTTCTAAAGTAATTGTTGTAGAAAACAGTAGAAGGTAAGAACCTTGGGATGAAAAACTTGTTTCGGTTATAACAAGCAAGTTACAACACACTAATTGAGCGTTAAACAACCAATAAAAGTTTACAGCAGTTGTAAATTCGTAATGTAAGGCAATCGTGTTTCATTACCATCATTCACTAACCCCTCACTTGTACCTGTTTGAAATTGATATAAGTTAGAGCTTTTCGTCATTTTGTGATCTATATTTCGCTAAATAATATGAATCTAGAGACAACTACTTAGTAAGAATCAATGAAGTTGAAAACACTAATTTTACTCTGATATTGAATCATAAGATTTTATTTTTGTAAGAAGACTGAAAAATTATGCGGAGATTCTCTATGGCAGAAATATGAACTTTGAGGACGTAGCCATCTAGAAGTTGGTTAAATGATATCTGCTTTTGATGAAACATTAGACGATAGATATATGCATATATAAAAGATTGTTTATAAAGTAAGAAAGCAAACTGTTCTTCTAAACAAATTTTGTTTATCAATTCGAAGCAAATATTTTCATGCTGTAAATAATTAATGAATTAACTAATTCATAGAGATAAATATGGTAGTTGAGTATAGGCTATAGACCAGTTAAGATGAAGGAATCACATGTCAAAAACTACCAAGAAAGAAATTTAGTTTCAGGAAATAGTCCTAATTTTAACTAAAAACATAGCTATCATCCCAGTCTTTGGAAAAATTGCCAGTACCCTTCTTTTAAATATCATTTAGGCGATCGGAAGTTTTAAAACTCTTTTCATTAGTTATCTACTCTGGTTTCAGATGCAACACTACTGTACTTATTATAAAGTGTTAAAAACTATATATGAGATAAACAAATGCTGACAAATGAATGACTGACGTACTTATAAAACTCGGATGCCTGGGAATAACACCCTAATAGTTATTTGTAAGTGATTCATGTCATTTTTTACTTGTGATCATTTTAATATTAGAGCCCTTAAACAACCCGATTCAGAAATCATCACAATTCAATGCATCTATATTTTTGTTCAAAATAAGTTGTACCAATTTACAAGCAGTAAGCAAGTGTCTAATTTTAAGCAAAAAGCACAGCTATTTTAAGACACCCTAAATAAAAATGTATCACTTACTCTGTAAAAAGACTAGTTGTAGAAAAACTGACACAATTCACCGGTCCAAATTTAAGATCTTGATACCAGAATAAAAGCATAAAATTACAATCGAAAAATTTCACTTGTCCACCAGAATCACCAGTAACAATACATTTCCCATAAGGGTGGCTGAAAATATACCGATAATTTAGGTAATAAAGGAGAATAATTTTTAAAAAATATAAATATTAGCTTTTAAGTTGTATGAATTTATTTTATATTCAGTTTGATGATTTTCATAAATTGATTTGTGGAATTTATATCTTCCAGATTACATGTATTTATGAATCATTTGGAAATTATGAGGCATTTTCTATTATTCTACACAGGTTATAAATTGTTATAGGGTGAAAGTCAAGTGATAAGAATTTAAAATGCACAGCCGTTGCATTTACTTCCCGATGAAATTTTTGTTAGAATCTGTGCTTTGAGTATGCTAAACAGTAAGTCTGGTTACAATAAAATCTTTATTCAGCACAAGCCTTCATTTACGTCGTCATTGTTTACAACAATACACAAAAAGTCCTTTTTGTATTGCCTGTTTGAATCTTCCCATTTATGTCTAGTACTGCAGTTGATCAGTCTCTTATTGATTAACTGCAGTCCTAAACATCTATAGGAAGATTCAAACAAACAATATAAAATAAATTTACATTTCATCCCATTGCACAAGTTAGTGGATCTCAGGACTCAGTAGCTAAGTGAATAACATGGTGACGTTTCAAGAAAGCGGTGATGCGTTCGAGTCCCGGAGTGAACACCAACTCTTGAATGTAGGTACACCTAATTGACGAGTCTCAAATAGGTTGCAACGCGCATCCTGAACTCCGCTGCTAGCCATCATCTATCTTTGCTTGTAATACAGTAATAATAATGATAATAGAAGAAGAAACATATTCTATTGGTAGATGATTCTATATGTATTATGTTTTATAATTCAGAAGTTTTGATTTAAAGGACAACTGGTTTGAAGCAGTAATTTATAAGCTTTTTATTCATCGTAATAATTATCTTCACATTTAGAAAAACAATTCAGTTACATAAACAATATAAATAAATTACATACCAAGCTGTAGTTGTAAGAAAAGTTATTCCTTTCTGATGTAATGGTATCAATTTTGTTGCCCGTTTATAGGGTGTTTCAGAATTTTCGCCTGATAAAATTAAACGATTTAAATCATAATAAATTAACACCATGAAACCAAACCAAATAAAACATTAAAACAAACATAAAGTAATATGATAAAGATATGTGATATATGTTTTTAAATTCGGTCCAGATTACACACAAATATCAGTAAAATAATTGTTTCCATTCATTTCACAACATTACAGATTAGTATGAAATAAGCTTTGATTATTCAGCAGAGAAATAAACATCTAAACTCGAGAAAGATTATTCTAAATTATAAGAATTCATTCAGTTGCATTCAAAACTAAATTAAATTGAATTCATTGACGAGTGAAATAGTTTAAAAATTATATTTTATATAAATTCTCAATATTTTAAATTAAACACAACAAAAATGTCCTGAATACAAAATGTTAAAAAGATCAAAGATGGAAAAAACAATAAATAGTGGTATTAGTATACTGTTTACATAGTTCTACTGGCCCCCAAATGCCCTGGTACGGCCGAGAGTGGGGAGAGTCCGCTCTCTCTCTCTCTCGAAATACTCTCACACGGCCACGCGTATATAGCCTCTGCCAGAGAAGTCCTACTCACTGCCTTCTCGTGGCGGGGGTGTTGTTTACGAAAATGAGAGGACGAAAAGCGAATGTCTGGCGCTTTAACCGGATTCCAAACCAATGGTGCACTTGGGCTTCAGTATCCTGCGGGAACAAATGGCGAATGAACCAGTTGTTGGCCACCGGCTTCCATGGGACTGCATCTCCTTACGATGCTCCACTGCCTTGTGGATCAGACCCTCAGGTCGAAGGCTCGGGGTGTGGCCCCCTGAGAAAACCACCTGCTTCGGTTCGTGCACCCGGGCAGTATCACAGCCCTCACACATATCGAATGAGAGTTGTGTGGCGCATATGTATTTGGTGCCTCCTTGTACCAATATCTGTGTTAAAATAAATAAATAAATCTACTGATAAACATTTTTCCTAATTAACAGCCTGATAAATAATCACTGAAAGTTTCAGAAAATTAAAGGGAAAAGAGTAATAAAACACTTAAAAGTAAAGTAATACTCTCTTATGAATAAGTTTTATTTATATTCTTATGAAGACAGGTGTATTTTAATTAGAAAAAAGCACTATGTGATAATCTTTTACAGAAACTAGAAAATTAATAAAAGCTTAATATTTAAAGTACATGCGTTTGCAATCAACACTAGTCAGTCACTGTGTATTTACCAACACCGTATACTCTAATGCTTAGTAACGACCGAATTTAATTGAACTCGACAGTTTCCTGACGATAAGGGAAAGGTTGTGTTGTTGGTAAGAGTTCAAGGCTTTCTAGGGATTGTCTTTAAACGTTTAACTGAGATAACATCAGTTTCACTAGAAACGTTTGCTCTAAGGAAGACAAAATATGATATTTGTGACAGTTTGGTGACCTGTTGCCATGTTAGCACTTGGTTACTAAACTCTGAAGGACATAAATTACTGAGAAACTGCGGGACATACCAATATTTTTAGAATGATGTATACTGATCTCTGAAAATTTGCTCAGTAGTTCCGTTTGTGCTCCTTTGGCACGATCTCGGTATTATTTCGATACCACGAGATCGCCGACAAATATATCGCGCTACAACCTTCAATCGCTTTCTGATTTCTGATTTACTCGGAGGTTTAGCCTGTTCTGGTACGCAATCTTCTTGTAGTGGTTATCATAGTCAACCGCGACTCCACGCCACACTACAAGTCAATCAGTCAGCTAAAAACTGGGACTAAACACATATGTACATCAGTTCAAGTTGCCATACTTCATTAGCACATCAAGATCAAATTCGTAGAAGCAATTATTTCAGTGGTAGCAATACATATAAAAAGGATTGCATAAGCGGATGTGATACAGGGAGAAAGAGTTGATTTGTAAAGAGAAAGATACAAAGCGATTGTAATCCCATAGTTTAAGGGAAGACAGAGAGTGTATAAACCTACTTCATTGCGATATATTATGAGCCATGTCATCCACAGTCTCTAACCACTGGTTATAATAGTCGCGCGGACCCCAACCAAGTGGCCTGCATCTCCCAGCATGGCTCAAACTAAAAATTAGTGTCTTCAAGCAATGATGCCACGTTTTGGTTTGGCCACTCCTAACTTTCTTCCGACCATCCCCAACACTAGTCAGCATTGCGCGTTGTGGTAATCAGTGTTTAGGCATACGTAACACATGGCTCAAACATCTGAGTCGATGAAGATTTACAACGTCATAAACTGATTTACCATCATTCCCTAACACCCTGCGTCTAGCCTCACTACTATTTACCCGATGATCCCGGCATAAGCGAGCAATATTTCTAATACATCTCTAATCAATTACTAGTACCTTACGAGTATCCTCTACCATTAATGGCCATGTTTCGCAGCTACAAAGTAAAACAGAACAAACTGCTGCACAGCATACTCGTCCCTTAATTTCTGCTGACATAGTTTTCTTAGACATGAGCACGTTAGATAAATCATATGATCAAAAGTTTTATGATTCACAATCATGCTCACTGTTACTGAATTAAATAACTTTAGTACTACTGAGAGTACAACAATTCTCTGTGAAACCCTAAACAGCAGATAACTGAAGTATTTCCTTTGTTTCTGAGATAACAGAACAATAAGACAGGAAAACACTGATACACTCGATTTTTGGGACTCAAATAGATAAAGATTATCTAGCGTCAAGCAGTTCGAACACCAAAGATGAGGAAATTGAATTGTAAATACTATTCATGGCTAACAAGTCAGTAATAACGGAACCTCCTTTTTATGTCTTCAATAGCTTTATAAGTGGATCGTTCTTCTGAAAATTCATAATTAGTTACTGGCCACCCTATTCCAGAACCAACTGTGAATTTTGTTCAGACTGATTATGTCGAAATACATACATCATATGCCACGTATATTTTTATTATAGACGTGGTTAGTGTATTTCGTTTTGCTTCTATTGTTTGAAATCAAACGATTACGAATATACATTATGGAAACGAAATTTTCATAATAATGAACAGCTATCCCTATACCTAAATAAAACGGTTTTGTGTACTTTTGTTACATAGCAGTAGTAGTCAGTCAAGCTTCAGAAGTAGGACATAATACACTATTCACTATGAGATCTCTAAGGCTCTTACCTTTAACGGGTTGTTTGTCTGATTCCCATATAACTAAGAGACCGGTTGAAGTGCCAGTTATAGCAATGAATTTATCAGGAATGTACTGAGTGAAAGAGAACTGACCAACTTTCTGTTTAAAATCGTCATCTTTAAGGGAAGGGGCATAGGCCACCATATCTTTTTCTTGATTGCTCTACAGTTAATGATTACGAGATTTCATTAATTACCCACGAATAAAATATGACTTGATGCTCTCCATTCGTGGAAAGATGATAATAGTTATCCGGATTGAACGTTATTTTCGTCTGAAAAGACATTTCGCCGCTTATCTTCACTTGGCAGTGTGGCACATTACTTTCTGTAGTCCAGTTCCAAATAGAGAAACTCTGGTCAATGGGATCAGCGCCTAATGTAGCCAGGTAACGGGCATCCTTGGTTAGAGCAACTGATATAACACCATAGCTGTGAGGTTTGGTGATTGTCCGAACTGCTTCTCGAGTTTTTACATCCCATACTATGACAGCACTATCAATACCACGATCACCCGAAACCAACCAACGTTTATCGCCGCTACATGCAATGCTCGTCACTTCGTTGCACTAATTCGGTAAATACAACATTACTATGCATTATTATCTTACATGCCCCCTCAAAATCTTCTGGCTATTGTTCTTTATGTCAAATAATACCAATAGATGAGCTGACGAATAAAAGACTATGCTCGATCGATCATCACTCAGGTTTATGAGCGGAACAGACTGATTAAATCCGAATGTCCATAAAGGCGAAATTGCTTCTGGTATAGTCGGGTTAAAGCAGGAAATCTCGTCCTCCATTTTACGTTCAGTTAAATGTTTTGGTTCTACAAAAACAAAAAATAAAACAGTTGTTTTATAATAGGAGTTAAATTAATTTAACTCCTATTATTTATTATCATCCTGTCGTCAGATGAATTACTTAAAACAAAAAAGATATAACTAAGTCTTATAGAAAGCTTACCATTCAATCCTTCTGGATTTTTATCACAATCATCATTTTGATTTATATTGTCTGTAACATTCAGGCTCTCATTTGAATCTAGACGAAATTCAAAAAACATATTTTAATGAATAAAATGTATACTTGATGTCTGCTGGGGGCTACCATGATGATAAACTGAATAGCTATTTTCAGATGCATAATTTGCCTCGAGATCATTCATTCTACCTCAATTTCAAAATTGCTCAATAAAAGCGGTCGGCATAGTATCACAATTTCGATAGGTACTAACAATTATTCCTACATGTATAATAACTGATGTGAAGATAATACAGAATGCTATGAGCAAAACGTTGATGGATGATATGGCTTGTTTTACCAAAATAATCATATGAACCGACAGTCGAAATAAGTTGTACGTCCAATGTCTGTGGTTCAGTGGTAGAATGCCCACCTACCATGGTTCGATTCCCAGCCGGCGCACGCAGCTTTTTAAACGTCTTTTCTTGGCTTCAGGAGAGCCATTCTTATGCAATCAAATTGCTGACTGTGGTGGACATATGGACAACCATCCTTGATCGCAAGTGGAAAGTTGACATAATTTGCCTTAACTTCTCAAAAGCTTTTGATAGTGTCAACCATATATGTCTCATCAATAAGCTCAGGCGATTGAGTATCAAATCACCTCTAATTGATTGGCTCGCTATATATCTAAAAATTGACATTAAAGGGTTTGGGTTAATTCAACTTACTCTCAGGCTATGGAAAGTCCTATTGGGGTCTCCCAGGGTTCAGTACTAAGACCTCTTCTTTTCTTGATTTATATAAACGATCTTCCACAACAGCTATCATCTAACTCACTACTTTTTGCTGAAGATGTAAAACTTTGGAGTGAGATATGCAACCAAGAGGGTATTTTTGCATTTTAGGAGGATCGGGCTCTACCTCAAAGTTGGACAGATGACAAAGGACTTACCTATAACACTTCAAAGTATGAAGTAGTCCATCTGAGAAATGTCGCAAACTACAGCTGCAACTTAGACAACTCTCGTCCACAGGCATCTTAAGTTGAACAAGATCAAAGAGTGTTGGTACCCTACAATTTGAAGTCATACACTAGCTGTGATAAATGTGCCTTTCGAGTGAACCTTACACTGGTAACACTGGAAGAACTTCCCACGTAATCTTCAACGATTTCATTGGTCTCCATTTAGAGTATGAAACATATTATTTCCTCCCCCACTCCAAAAGGATGAAGACATTCTTGAGCGTATCGAAAGGCAAGCCACTAACTCAACCCGAGGACTCAAATTGAAGCCTTATGAAGAGCGCCTCCAATCACTGAACCCATTTGGGTACAGGCGTCTTAGTGGTGATCTTCAAATGGCCAATAGCACCCCTAACAATTCCGGACATCCCTTTAAACACCTACTGAAGTTTAACTCCGACACAAACCTTAAGGATAATATCCAGAAACTGGATCACTACACTACTCAGCGGAACGAACCGTAGGCCCGACTTTTATTCCTTCACAGTAGTCAAATGCTGAGATTCTCTGTCTGCTGAACTAGTTCAAGTGGCTTCTCAGAAGTCCTTTATAAGAAAAATTGACATATTCTTCAGGACTAAGGATAAGATTTTACTACAATTTACCAACTTTTTCCTCTTCTATCGATAATATACCTAGCTTCCAACCTGGAGGTACTGGTGATCCACTACTACTAGATATGGGAGAACATTGAGCAAAAGCTTCTCCTATTCCATACAAAAACCATTTAAACCATTTTAGTTCATTTGGCGGTTATTTGTATCTCTGTATATCTTGCAATTCGGGTGAATGTTTTTGTTTCATGCCTTTACAGTTACTGTGATTAAAAGACACCAAACTATCAGGTAGAATATCATTTGGTTACAACGTAAAAAGTACTAGATACATTTTTGATGCTAATTGACGACTTTTCTCAGTAGTAAATAAATAAACAGGTTAGTTAATTAGTAGTGCAGACACACCAAAGGGTAGGAATCGAAAGGGGTATGAAGATGCTACAAAGCGAGTAAAATATGGTGACACCATTATTTTCAAACGAAGGTTAGATCAATGTTAACTGTTAGGAGTTATTATATTCTTTTATATCATATATTCCTATTGGATAATAATTAAATAAACAAATTATATATATTTTTCTATTTCTTTTATCGCAAGCTTTCATTTGACTTATTGGTTACTGTTATATGATTTATCATTCTCAATTTATTCCAAGTGTATTAGTTACGTTTTCATATACACTGTAGCGGTAAATAAATCCCCGAACTAAATATCTCTGTAAGTTTTCGACATTGGATGCTGACCATATGTTCTAGCGGACTCATCTAGCTGAAGGCGCTCGGTCATGCATCCGCACCAGATCACGTGTGGTAACACTGTGCTCAACATCTATCGCAATCTCTAGCCAGATTAGATCAGAGAATTCCGATATATTGGTGATCGCCAAATACACTCTTCCGATGTTCTCGACTCTGTCTTTTGATTTCTCTCGGTGGGTATAAATTATATTAGAAGGTGTTGCTGGTAAAAGCGTTGTCAAACACTGAATACCTGTTCCATCTTCAACCCAAGGCTACTTCTGTCTTGTTCTTATATAATTGTTATTCCTCCTTTCACAGTATGACGCTGTTCAGTGTGCTTGTATAAAAATCGTGTATGTCAGAAATATACAATTCACATCACGAAGCGTGACATTCGTTTTCTGGACTGAGCAGTCTGGGCTAGGCGAGCAGCTACCATACTGATGATTAATGGAAAGTCAGAAATGGCTCGAGGCTGCTCGTACTGGTTGATGCATTATTGATTGAGCACTGGGAAAGGCCATAAAAGTCGATATTACGGTTAACAGCTTTGTCATGTGATATTTGATGAGACACAACATAACAGACGTGTGATAGTGATAATAGTAGATGAGTTATAAAACATGCATTGGGAACAGGTAATCCGGGCGGGAGACAGTAATCCATATGTGAGTACATATTTGTCGATTCCCCTCTCAAATTTATTTATCGAGAGGCCTTTGACCTGTTGAGATAAATGAGAATTGCTAATGGGAGCACCTTTTAGTCAGAAAGCTGTAGGTATACTTTGGTTTCAGCTGTTCACATGCAATTTACCGTGGATTGCCTCGAGAAACGTGGATGTTCGCTTAAGTGCTTACTTTCCGTTTTTTCTGAACCTCTATATCTTGGCTTCGTTTGTGAGCTGGTTCTGTTCAAGTGATCATTGATAAGACTCAGGAATATCAATGAACGTGAAATAGTTCCTTGTAGTTATATTGGTACTCAACCACTCTGTCCTCGAATCCGAACATACGATAAGTGAAAAGATTTACGTTCATCATTTAACACTTGGAGGAGGTGAGAAATGGTGAAGGCAGAAAAATTTTTAAAAACGGCACGGTCAGGCGAATTTTGTCATTTTATGTGATCATTTTTTAAAATGTTAAATATATTGTTCTCTTCTTCAGAATTACTTATCGACAATCGCTGACTTTCACAATATTACGGGTCACTATAGCTGTGGACGGCTGTGGACACACATTTGACTGCGAAAATGTTGAGGTGCAATTATAAGAACGCCGGATAATGTTTAGAAGCTTGACACTTAAGTCAATCAGCAATCAACAAGCAAATTGAAATCGATCCAGTTTATCAATCAATCAGAAAGATCGTGGACAAACACAGGACCAAGAACCAAATCAACGGGAGAAACAGCCAAAATAAAGTAGACGATGTCAGGTTGAAGGTTAACAATAATCAATCAAGATGGGTGTTTACAGGACAAGCTGTCAACTACATATGGAGAAATTCGAACACTTCAATTCCACATAAAGTTTGTGCTTATGATGTCGTTCAGAATAGTAATGGAAGATTCACGACTAAACCATCTAGCTCAGAAAACGAAATTCCATCGAAATAATTCATTTGAGCTACAAATCTTTCCCACCAGCTCTAAACAAATATGAGGATGCTACGTAGAGAGATAATTTCTGATTACGGAGAACTATACAGCTGACACATGCTATTAGTAGACAGAGAATTCCAAGACCCATATTTTCCAAATCCATAATGCTCTTCCTAATGAATGTTGTTTTTCATGTGAGTAAAAGCGATCTGCCCTAGATAGTCTTGGGGAAAATATTTTAAATACCAAACCAAAGGCAAAGTGAAACTAAAATGTACGAAGTCAGAAACTGAAACAAACAATTTCAGAAGCTGAATCAAATAAATGCATCCAAAACCGCAGTGAAATTATTGATATTCGACATAACGTTTTACTACGCCAAATGTCTCCAGTTCTCCTGAAACACTCAATATCCTGAGCTTCGCATTATATTCTGTTCATATTTGCATATCTGATACTGGACATTTGAGGGTTCACAATGATGGTTTTCCGAGATAAACTGTCCACCCGGACTAGCTAAGTTTGTCTTCTTAGACTATTGGCCAATAAGTCGTTTGTAACAACTTATTATTTGGAGAGGATAAAGCAACTTTTCGACGAATCTGGTTGCTGATATTGCCGGATTGCTGTAAACTGCGATTTAACTGGTGTAATACCGTGAGAGTTCACTATGTTGCTCAGAAATGATAGCGATTTGTTTGTCAGATTTACATTTCTGAGGAATAAGTGCTCCACCATCTTCCCACAATTTATCGTGTAGTTTTGTGAGGTGTTGTATGTGTTGATCCGTTGTCATTTTGGCCTCAAGTATGTCATCTGTATATTATAAACAGAGAGTATATCATAGTCAACCTGGTCAACAATAGCTGAAGTGTCTTCCCGGCCCATACAAGGTCCAATAAAACGGACAAAAGTTCATGGACTTCAAATGGTACATTCACTACAGTATTGACAATGTCTTTTGAAGTCATGGAATGTGTCAATAAGCTTTTACAAGTTTTAATTGACCACATCATATGATAAAGAACGTATGCCAGTGGAAAACATATCCCATTTATATAAGTGTTTTTTGGCCGATTCCTACTGTTATTAACAAAATCAAATTAATCGGACACAAACTTACTTTCTGAGCTCATATCCCGGACATTTCTTTAAGTAGACAGACAATGAAAGTCAAGTCCATGTAGGAGAGGAGTTACAGATTTCTCATAACACTTAAATATCAACCATCTTATGTATAAAATACAGATAAGTTAGGGGAAGGACGATCA